AGCGAGGCCGAGAAGTGTATTCCGGCCGAGAAAAGGGCCGGAAACATTGGCTGGTTTCAGAACCTGGCAAATGGCATCACAACCGAGTATTTGCATCGAAACGATATTGCCCGATTTGTCCAAGTGGCCGCAATACGTTCAAACCTGACCTGCAGCTTCACCAAAAGCTTGGCTTGAAGGTAAAGAATCCATCTGCCTATCATAAGCCCGGAGTTTGGGAAGCCCGCTTCAGTTGATATCTCCTTGGTTTACTCATCCACTTCGCATATAGCTGCGGATAACGGTACTGTCCAGATTCCGTAAGTGATAATGCGCCAGTGCACTGAATAGTCAAATAGGCCGAACGTACTAAAGTTCCCCTTCATAGCAAGCCCACACCGCCAGTCACAGTATCAACTAGGAATCAGGTCGAAGCGCAGAACTCCAACTATGCTTGTACAATCCTCATTGCAGTGGTTAAATCCACACCGGTGATGGCTCGCTGTGTGGTAGGGAGAGCACCCATATGCGCATGCACTTGTATACACGTAAAACCTCTGCCATAGCTTGTAGCAGATCGCTCTGGTGGTAAAGCGCAAGGAAATGGAACAGTAGTGATCGATCTCCGGTTTGTCAAGGGCAATCGTGCGATTCTCTAATTTTCAGGCCAGTGTTACACTGGGGGTGGATCTGGCTGGCCATGCGTCGCCATGTGAAGGCAAGGTTTTGCATTCAATGATTCAAGGCCCCCATGAATACTAATTTACCGTGCGTCCGGATCAAAGGAGTTTGCTATCGTATTCGTGCAAACCTGAATCCCACACAATCCTCCTCCGAGTCTTCATCTTGGGCTTTGTAAACCGTTGAAATCGGTTGGGTAGAACCGCTAATTTTTTGTGCACAGACTGGCATGAGCTATGAGAAGCTGCTGTCAGCATCGGGAATTCTTTGAGATACACTAAATACCATTCTCTTCGGAGGATAAAGAGCGGTACGGCGCAGTCGGCCGCAAACTAGGGCCAAGCAGCAACCGCAACTACCCCAGCAATCGCGGAACACCTCGTAGGGGGCTTTAGAAGCAGCTTCGGTGAGCGGCTAAGAATGGCCATCTCCCATATGAGGAAGATAAATTGCCATCTATACCCTAATTGGGGTTGATCATCGTGTAAAGCTCGCCGCTACGATTCCTCTGTTGTCGTGACATTTCTAATCTCTTCTATACGAGTCCTCTGTACTTCACTTGATCGCCGACTCTGGAACCCGTAGCGCAGAGTTGTTGATAGACTAGAATTTCGGCGTTGGTGCGGACGAATCAGATTAGAGACTAAACCCGATACCACGCTGAGATCGACAGCGCTGCGTTTGTGACGGGGAGCCTTAGAGAGTTGACCAGTGGCCCTGCAGTGGAAATGGAGCGGTTCCTACAACTTGATCCGCTTCCTGCAGCGGAAGAACTCTAACGCTGCCGGCGAGACGCGTTTTCAGCAGCTTTTCGGCTCGGGAGCCCATTTCTTGCTCGCTACCTGCACGAGAAGGTGAATGGATCCGATGAACTCAAGATCACCCAAAAATCCCGCTGCTGTCCAAAATAGGCTGTAGAAGGCGTACTTGTAATAGGTATTTTTATCGTCAGTAGCGCCGGGAGATGGTGATTCTTGCATCACATCTCAGTGCCAGTTAATCGTGGGGTAACTAGGCGGGATACAACCTTGTGGCATTCGCCTCATATCCCTTCCGAACCTCGGCGAGGATTTTTAGGTGCATTATAGCTTCCGGAGTGTCGTCGTTAGTTGAAAGCTTGTTCTCGAATACTGCTAGCCCCCATCAAACAGTAGACCGCCTAAACTGGGTGCTCAAGAGGATCACCATGTCGGCCGAAGGAAATGAAGTGCTGTAAGCGAAATTTGAAATGGCCTCTCTATACACTCGGGCAGGCAGGCTTTGCTCCACCAGGTATGGAATGCAATACTAGGACTGACTGTTCGGATCCTGGGACTGTAGATCTCGAAGAGAATTCATACAGTATAGTAGATGGGTGTTTTTCTTCTAACCTTGAACAGCACTTCGAATGATTTCGATATGGGCGAAAAACCATGTACCGAGTATGAGACCCTCATTTCAACGACAAGCCGAGGCTCCATCAAAAGCCTCTTGAGGGACAGCATGTGCCTTCCCCTTATATACGCATCAGCCTCCAAAGATGCCCTGTATATGGGGGTAAGAACTATTTTTTTTTCGCCTTAGTTTTATCTGATGGCGTCAATGGCGTCAATAGCTCGTACAAGCTTGCATATTTTGACATGTTATTATAGCAGTGGTTGCTTCTAGATGGCCCATCCTTGATCATCCCCGCAGTTGCAGAAAGCTTTGACTTCGATATTCTGAGATCTTGCTGATCGTCGGGCTCAAATCTGAGGATGAAACCATTCTTGCTGTGGGTTTAGCTAAGGTTATTTTTCAACGGTCTTGGAGCAACTTGCACAGCAATGCACAACAATGCATAATGATGTATAATGCACAGTGGTAACCAATGCTGTCTCCCTTGGAGAATCTGGCCATACCACGCAAATATAATAGCAGTACTGCTAGGAGCAGGATGCTCTAATGCTAGTGCTATGTAGCATGCACACTCAAGCTCGCAAGATGGAGGGCGGTTCTCTCCACGATGGAAGCTGCACCCCGCTCTGGGCAGGGGTTCCCGGAATTGCAATCGTCGCTTTTGCAGAACACGCTCGCGTTGATCGCTGGTGAGAGACAGATGGACGTATCCTTGGTGCGGTATCCTTGCCGTTCCCTGCAGCCGCTAGGAGGCTTTAGGCAGAGCCCTTGTTGTGGGTTATAGGCTGAAGAAAAGTGCTGGGAGCCCATTCGCTTGCCCTGGACTCGCCCGCATGACCCTTAACCAGGCTTGGCCGGGTGAGGAAAAGAGAGCGCTGGTTCAAGGAACGAAAATGCAAGTTGGATTGGATCATTCGATTCTGAGCAATTGAGGCTAGATTGCCGTTTACTCTTTCTTCTGTCCTTTGTTCCTACTGTATGTACCCCTCTCGAAGACAAGGACGTGGGTGAAAGGACCAGGGCGGCTTAACGACCACTCAGAGGGAAGGACCGGTTTCTCGGCCTCCCATAGGCGGATTTTGGCGCTCTCTCGCTGCTTCCCCCTACCGAGCCCAGGTGCCACCGCCTGTGCTTTTTCATGCGGCGCTTCCAACTCTTTCCAGTCCACCTCTTCTCTCCATCTACTGGTCGACTGTTCGAACGATGCCTGCCAGGTGAGCGTTCCCCGGTGGAAAGGCGATAATCTCACATGACAGGGCTGTTGCTGGTAGTGCTGCTAGGCAGGTAGGGCACTTTGGCACCGCTCCTCTCGTCGTGCCGCTGTTAGGACCCGAGATAGCGGCAAGCTTCCCACACCATTGACGAGATTTTTGACGACACCATCCACAAAATAGCATGTTCCTGGGTGGAGAATATGCATGGCTAATAAGCCATCAACAAGCATCTCGGCCTGCGTGCTTCTCGACAGCGTCCAGCAGCATCCCGCACCCAATGGGAGATAGTTGGCTTGCTACGTATCATTGGCTATGGAGCAGCGCATCCTTGGGTAAAAGAGTGCGCCATTCTCTTGTCGCGGCAGAATCTAGAGTTCCACTGGCATCCCCGTGGCTTCTGGATTCAGTCCCATACTGGTGCGGCTGCTGTCGGAAACTTATACGATGCCTGGATGGTGCTGTTGATGCATCTACTATACATACATACATACTGCTCAGCCCTAACTCATGGAGGGACGGGAGGAAGCCGCCAGAGTTACACGCCCCCGCTACCAACGAGAGGAGACGTGCTAAAATTGCACCAATAGATGATGCGAGCACAGTTGAGAAGCATCCGCTGTATGGACCGGTCCTCTGTCCTGCAAGCATGCCCCGATGCAGCTGAACAAAAAGCCATTGGCGAACAGGAATCAAAGAATCTAGACCGCGAAACTCCTTCGTATATGCACAAAAGCAAAAGTCCTTATGAATCAGACCGGCTGTCTTACAGTATTAACCAATACGATTTGCCCAGGAGATTTCTTGCCTCACAGACAACGACTGAAGGTCGGCATGCTTACGGGCTGTGTGCTACAGGAAGTAACACGCCTGACGTTTTGGATCGTCGGCGCATAAGAAGTTAGCAGCTCACAGAGTATGAGACTAACACCAGCACCGTGAGAATCCAAAATACGTTCTTGTGTTAGTGTCTCCAAATAAGGGTGTGGTGGGCTGCCGAGCATACAGTACTTGGAGCGGCGTTGACGATGAGTCTTTCCAGCGATTGCCCACGCGCCTCATACCAAGTGATAACCCTGAGAAAGTTGACTTCTGGCACAGCGCGCATTTGCGTAGCATAAGGAGCAGAGAACTACTCCGTATTAGCGCGCTATCTGAAGTAAAGCTCATTACGACTTGCAATCAGCGCTTCTTCGGTGGGTGCCGCCCGGATTGCGCGTTGCCCGGTTCGCCTAATTGGGTCTTCCTCCAGTACGCTCCGCAATCCTGGTATACGGAGTACTGTGAAGCACATATAATGAAATGTATAGTGGAGAAAGTGAATACAGCTCTTCTTGCACCGTGAACACCAGTGCATAGGTATCTCAGAACTGGGGGCTGGATGTCACTCTAGCAGACACAGGCGTGTATGGGAGTGTAAATGGCAACTACGTTTGAAGCCAAGAAACTTTGTCTGTCTCTTGGGCAGCTTTGGAACACCATACATGACCTTTTTGATGGAGATTTGTTTCTTGCGGATGCTCCTAGCCCCGGTGTCAGTGATGGTGTCAGTGATCGTCAGCCGGCTAATGGATGCCAAGAGGAACATCCCTTTGTACATGCGTACGTAAGATGCAGCGTAGAGATGCACAACTATTCTTAAAAAAGAGAAAAAGAAGAAGAAAATCTGCTAACTGTGGTGCAGGTACTCTTCGATGGAGAGAGGATTTCGCACATTCATTTCCGTCCAAAAGTGCCAACTTGTGCCAGATTGTGCCACCTGTTGCTAAGCTGAGCGCCACAGGTCATAGCCATGTCTGTGACAGCGGATGGCTGCAAGTCCTACTACTAGTGCTAGTATCCTATGGCCCAGAAGTGGCTAGATGAGATCGTCTTCTTCAGCACGGGTCTAATAGCCTATTTTGGGAGCTATGCCGTGACTTTGGCTGTCCCCCACTCCACCTTCGCCCTTAACCATCCTGAATCAGAAGGGCTATACATTCCACGGTGGAGTTCAAGGCAGGACTCCCCGCTCGCCTTCAGGACGGAGGAGACTCTGTGGGATCGAGTGAGGAAAAGCCCCCTGGACGACTGGCCGACAGAGCCCCTAAGTGTTTGACCCAGCAGCTTTGTATGCAAATGCTCCGTACATACTGGTGCTATACCGCTACTAGTCCTGCTATTACTGGCAGCACTGCCGTAACTGTACGAAGCATTCGGCGAGTTTGAGCTTCTCCCGCGGGAACGCCCCACCGCCACGCGCGTTCTTGCCAGGAACGCTTTTCAGGGGTCACTCTCACGATTGTCGATTTCTGGAGGCTCAAGCGGTTGCTCTGCTGCAGCTCTGATAGCCCATGGGCAGACATGGCCTGCTAGAGTACCAGGTCTATTTGCTGATTTGCTATACTGGTGTCACTCTCATTCTGCGCACTGCGTTTTCAGCTGAGGATTACATGGCCAGTCTCTTTAAGATTGCGCAACCATCACCGGGAGTCATCAGGCGCCCGCCCTGCTTGTTCGCCTCTTTTAACGACAAATTCACACACCCCTGGCCATTGACCAACACTGCCACTACATACAGTAAGTAGGTATACTAATTGCCACTAGGGAATTTTATGACTAGAAGTCGTAACCAAGTAGAGGACCCCGCTAATAAGCATCCCCCAATAGTGAGGAACAGTCGCTCTCAGCCGCAGTACGCTGGCCTGTGAGATCCTTGGATCCCCATTGTATCTCAGAGGCGAGTGGAGAGAAGCCATTGGAGCCTCTCCCTGGGTTAGACCTCAGCACTCTGAGCAAGCCTTGTTTAGCCCCTGTGACATCTCATCACCACATGTACCCTCGCCTCAAGGGCTGAATGGCTCAGTCGGCCTCCAGTGCGGAGGACGAAAGATTTGCTCTCCAACCCCTGTCCGGCAACCCAAGCCAGTGCAGCTCCACAAAACTCACGACCCTACTAGGAATATGAGAGACCCCGGCAATCTGCACCTACAGGGGTCTGCCCGCCTCTTGGACGTTGTGCTTCGAGGCTAGTTCCTGGCCTGGCAGCTCGCTCATGCGAAGTTCATCTGGCTGCTCTGTCAGGCAGGCAGTACTTTATGACCCGCATGCCCTCGCATTCATGCTTGAATGCTGCCGTGTCTGTTATCGTCTGGGTTCGGGGCCAGCTCTGATTCTTTCTATATTCTTGTCTTCGTATCTATCTCGTTGGGAATTTGTATTTTGATACTACCGCTCTCTATTACTGTCTTGGGTAATACCTACTAGCCCCCAACTTCCTTTTCAACATACTTCGAATCTTTTCGGGGCTCACCATGCTGTGATACAACGCCACAGCCACAGCTATTTATCGATACTCTTCTGTCGACTGGCCCAAGAACTTTTCACATCAAACGACTGTCTTGCACCACCTTTGGATGGTTCGAACTACTTGATCATTTGAGTCATATGACCACAGCTCTGTTTGACTGCACGAGGCATCACGATACTCTCAGCATTACAACATCACAATCTCTTATTGCCGCCTCTCTCTTTGACTTTGTTCCTCCGCGGACAACTATTCTCTTTTAGCTTTTACACATTGCTATTCTTTTTCCCCTCTTGAAGGGAAAAAAGGATTACTTCAAACACGCAGCTGGGAAAGCGAATGTCGAGATTTCCCTGAGAAGAATACATTTCGACATCGTTCTCATTGCTTCCGAACACTACCTTTCATCATGACCAACATTACAGGGATCAATCTTTGCCCGGCACCATTCATCGATGCGAGCCTTTTTGGTACTGGAGGCTGTAAGTGTAGATATATGCCGTAGTGTTGAATTAACCCATTAATCGGAGATCTAGACATCGACGGCCGATTATGCCAGGCGATTTCGGGCTCGATTGACTGCTGTCTGCCATGTCCCATGACAAATTGGGTATATCCAGACAGTTTCTCCACCATAGGAACCGTGGCCAACTGGATCGCGACCGTCAGCGTCATCTGCTGCGTTTTCCTGCTGCTATCATGGGCAGTGCTGCCTGTGGACAAGACCAACCGTCACTACTTGAGCATCTGTTTCACATTGGGTATCTTGATCATGAATGTAGGTGGCACGGTTGCGGTTCCACAAAGAGTATGATAGCTGACTGTCGACTTAGATGGGCTTCGTCATTCCGCTCGCAGCTGAGCCGGACCAATGCTTTGATACCATCACTCCAAATGACATGCATACCTTGAGCGTCTGTGGAGCGTCGGGCGCCATGCTGATGTTCGGAGGCTGGTGCGCTGTGATGTGGGCGTTCCTTCGCTCCTTGTCTCTTCACCTGCAGATCTGCTGGCAAGTTCTCGTGGGCCGCAACTTTATGGTTTTTGCCCAGGCCGCTGGATGGGGTATCCCTATCATCGGCCTTGTTCTCGCTCTGGTTTTCAGTGGCGTCTCCTTCCGGTTTGGCGCAACGTGCCATATTAACCACAAGAACAGCTTGGCAGACTTTTGGATCCCACTTCTCATCTTTGCCAGTATCACGGTTGTCACGACATTCACGACATTTGGTTACTGCATCAAAGTTTACCTGGCCTCTCTGAACGACAACGCCGCATCGACCGAAGGATCTAGCCTTCCAGCTTACTCAAACAGCGTTATCACCATGTCCCCGCGCCAGGCCTATCGCCGTGTCAAGCGAGTCATTGCTCTTCAATGGCGAGGCATTGCTATTGTCCTTATCATTATTGCCGATGTCATCTTTTTCTCTGTTGTCTTTGTCTTCCAGGATAACATCGTTCAATCTATTGCCAATGATCCCCATGTGGCCCAGAACTGGATCGTGTGCCTCATCGGAGCACAGGGTGACAAGACGAAGTGTCTCAACCAAGCTGGCTCCTTAGTCGTCAGCGAAGCGACAGTCTCTGCCGTGCTTGTACTACTTTCTGTAAGTGCCAAGAAATTCTGAAGCCCGTGAGCTTTGGCTGATTAATCTGACTGCCATTTAGCTGAATGGAATCTGGATCCTGTTTTTGCTTGGTCGGTGGACCATGGTTACCGGCTGGATTGATTTGGTAAAGTCTCCTTTCAACAGTGGAAAGAAGGAATTTGTATCGGTGGATGCCCGATATGATGGCAAGAATGATATACGTTCGTACGAGATGCTCTCCAGAGATACGAGCGCCGTGGTAACACCACTTTCTCCAGTGAAATCCTCAGCGACCCCTAGCGCCCCCGACTATTTCGGCGAAACAGCTAGGTATAACGCACCGGCACGATCCTACTCGAACCCGCGACCACCGCAAGGCTCCACGCCAGAATGGAATGCGCAGCAAACTTACGCACCGCCGCAATCCCGCGAGCCGATGAACCCATTGGCCATGAACCGCATATAAGACGCTGGGCCTTAGGCCAAAAGAGAACCAAGTACAAGCGATCCGCGAGCACGAAAGAAAGAAATAAAAGAAAGATGGAGAAAGTGGATTTTCATTTTCTCTAACAAGGAAAAGGAAAAGGATGAATTCGACTTCTCGCGACCGATGGCTTCGACCTACCAAAGCTCCTGCTTATATACCCAAGCCATGGTTAGCCATGGAACCACAATTATACCCTGGTGGTAACGCCGCATGTCCAGCATCTTCATGATGCGGCACGATATTGCGTCGATGACGCTCTTTACATCTTATATAATTCTACCCACTCCTTTGCCATTAATGCCGTAGAGATCCAGCATCTCTATTTGCAGTCGGATGGCTCCCTTACTTAGGACGCAGGACAGCGTGGCGCCACGGTCGGACCTTTTGTTTTGTACATAATTATGGATTATACTTCCGTTCCTTATGCCTTACATCATTTTTCTTTCGATACAATTATAAAAAAAGGGGGAGGACATTATGACGAGACAGGCTAGTCTCATGCATTGGAGATGGTCTCCAAGATAGCTGGAGGCTAGGAAGCGGAAATCCCTGGAGGACCTGCGCATGGCACATCTTTGGCTGCACCTTCTGGGCTTACAAGTAACCTTTTGTATAAAATATCATGATTAGCTCGGGAAGGAGATTATGAGATGCGAAATGCGGGAACTAAAAGCTGCTGCCCGGAAGCGGCGGATGGCTGAGAAGGGACAAGAAAAAGAAAAGAATATGCTAGCTCCGTGTGGGGCGCATTCGCTACTGCTACACAGCATCTTTATGTACATAGGTATATACCCTATCTAGGTAGGTAAATCAGTCATATCTGGAAATCCAAACCAGATAAGCCTAATTGACAAGAATCAAGCCAGCTGAGCGGGCTTTCACGAAGCCCTTTGATCGTAGATTTAACTTCCGGGAGATGCATGGTGAAGGGTATCTTGCATACATGCTTAGTAGATGCGTACTGTAGGCTAGGTAATACATAGTGCTGGAGCGTAGCACCCGATCCAACGTCGATGAATCGCTCGTCTTACCCAGCGAGGTACCGCCACCGCGATATATACGCGTATATATGCATCGATTGCCATATGTTGGCAAGTACCTGCACTAGCAGGATGACTTCTCGCCCTAGCGGACTCAATGCCGGATAGTCCCCTGGCCAACCTTCTTCTCTGGCTATGTGCAAGGCCATAGCAGCAATTCTCCGGGTTCTCCGGAACGGCCCTTGTGCCTGGCCGCAGGTGCGATTGGCCGGTGACGTGATATCAGCGGAATTAGCTGTGCCGTCGCTGTTTATAAAGGTAAAGGTGCAGGACTTGTTTATATCTCCCTCGGTGTGAGCTTGGCCGGGCACTTGGATCTTGATTCTTGTTCCATCTGCCGTAGCTGCAGCCTTTCTCTCGCTTTCTCGACGCACCTAGCCCTCTTGATAGTGCAATCTAGAGAAGCTCTACTTTCTGTCCTGATCGCAAAGGACCATTGCTTGATTGTGTGAGATTCATCTATTGAGAGCGCCGAAGAGAAAGCAATCGAGCCCAACGTGTCCAGACACCTCCTTTGGATTTGGATTTGGATGTGGATGTGAGCACGCGACATCTGTGCTACAGCAGCTACGCTTTGATCGATGAACCCCCGCCGACAGCTCAGCACAAGCGTGAAAAAAAGAAAACAGAGAATATAAACAAAAATAACCAGTAGAGGGGAACGTAATTCTGCCTTCTGCCTCACTCTACGATCCCTTCGGGCGATCTGCATTTGCTGTATAAACAACGGCTTGAGCGTGCGCTCACCACCTAGAACAACAAATATGGCAGTCGGCCGGATTCTCGCATCTGCCCTCTCTGGCGGCAACAGCAGCGACAGCGACAGCACCTCACGGGCTGCAAAATCTGAGCGGCATGTGCATTGGAGCCAATCCGTGGACGAGTACCAGTACGCTTCAAACGCGGATGAGCATCTGCCGCTGTATTCTCTGCCTGAGTCGATGGGAGGCTCCGACGGTGCTGGCCGGACGTGGGCGAGCAAGCAGAAAAAGCAGAAATCGCGATCTCGGAAGCTCTGGCGTCGGTCGCATCGGTTGCGGCCACGATGTACGATGGCAATGCTGTTCATGCTGATCCCCATTTTCTTCTACCTGTCGATTCTGTGGATCAAAGAGCAAGATTTGGATGCCAAGTGGAGGCCCGATCGCGACTCGCTTCTGTTCAGCAGGAAGCCCCTGCCTGCTCCCCTGGAGAGGACATGGATATCGAGCTATAAGCTGCCACTAAGAACGCAGGGGCGAAACATTGTCGACGCTGACGACCACCGATTCAAACTATCGTCGATCAACTGGTATGGCGCCAGCGACGAGCTTTTCGTCCCTGGAGGGCTCGATGTCCAGCACCGAAGCGCCATTGCCGAGACGATTAAGAAGCTGGGCTTCAACAGCGTAAGACTTCCCTATGCGGATGAGCTGGTTATGAAAAACCCCATCATCGAGCCGCGTTTGGTGCTTGCCAACCCGGATCTGGAAGGCCTCCACGCCATGGATGTGTTCGAAGCAGTGACAACCGCCCTGACGGATGCTGGCCTTGCTGTCATTATCAACAACCATATCACACGCGCCACGTGGTGCTGCGGGGCGGACCCTTGCGATGCTGGCTGGTCCAACGATCACCTTGGACCACTGTGCCGGGTCAAGCAGACGGAAGAGGAATGGATTCAGCATTGGGAGTCGGTCATGGAGCGTTTCGTGCACAACCCGTTGGTCATTGGGGCAGACCTCCGCAACGAGGTCCGGGGCCTCTGGGGAACAATGCCATGGTCCAAATGGGCGGCTGCGGCAGAGAAATGCGGCAACCGGCTGCTGAAGATGAAGCCGGATTGGCTCATCGTCGTCGAAGGCACCGAGTCCGCCAACGATGTTTCGGGCGCTAGAGAACGGCCGGTTCAGCTGCACGTCGATAACCGCCTCGTATACTCTGCCCATGGCTACAAGTGGTCTGGATGGGGAAGCTGGCAGGGCCGATTCGCCCAGCGAAGCTACAAGTCGTTTGTCAAGACGATGCGCCGCAACTGGGCATATCTCCTCGAGGGCGACGTTGCACCTGTCTGGTTTGGCGAACTGGGCGCACCCAACGATCCTTCTGTTGGGGATGCGCGCTACTGGAAGAACTTGCTAAAGTATCTCAAGTCCATCGACGCAGATTTTGGATATTGGGCTTTGAATCCGCGCAAACCCAAAGATCATGCGAGAGAATCTTATTCGCTGATGCACGATGACTGGATCACGCCAGTGCTGGATTATAGAATGAAGGACTTGCTGGAGCTGATGAGGCAATGAGCTGGGATGATTTGATTTGAGAAAGAGAAGGGGATGTGCTTCGTTTCTCTTTATTTGGTTTATCATAGACGGAGTTATTTGGTTACATACCCAGTTTGACGAGCATATGCATATCTACATTGGAGGCGTTTTGGACGGGCGTGGATGCTAATCCCACGCAAAGACCACTAATTCCATTGCGCGGGAGCCGCAATTGGGCTTTTTTTTTTATGGCGATGATGCGCATTTACATACACTACTTGATGATCTTACCTACTAGGGTACCTATCTATTATGATACATTGCTATGCTAGAAATTGAACAAAGTTGCATGTTGAGTTCTGCTTATTACCTCGTGAGGCTTACCATCTCCCACCTTATGACGCCATCACGGGACCAAGCTCCGTCGCCCTTGCTTTATCGATAAAGCACCGATAAACGTTTACGTGGGGTCCCTGCCACTGCATCATTCCCCAGTTCTTGAAACCTTCAACGCCCCCCCCAAAGTTTCCCTTTTCCGACAACTAAACACAGCTTTTAATATTTCGACGCGGACGCCCCAACATTTTATTCTATCATTATTTAAACATTCATTTGCCCCTTTCGCGCACTATATGTCCCAAAACCGCGCAGCCAGCCCGCATCGGCGAGGCTCCTCTGTGCTCGACGGCCATGGATCGTCCATCGAACAAGCTGTCACCCCCTAGCTTTCCCGCCGTCTCTGTGGGGAAGTGCTATATTCAAACAGCGACAGATAGGGTTAGTCAATTTTTGCTGTGATCACGATGCAAGCGATGTGCGTAGGCATGGTAGACTGATCTAGATGGCCACTCCTATAGTTTGGAAATGAAGCCAAGAGCGCGATCCGGGATCGAGAACGGGCTACTATGGGAATACCCACGGAGGGCCTCGAAGAGCCCTTTACATGGCCGAATGCCGATACCGAGGATACACGTCATGCTCGTAGTTCGATATATCGGCTAGTCCCCAGCATGCAAGGCTACCGGAACAACCTGACTGCTCTATCGCAGGGTTACAACCTCTACTTTGTTGCATACCAAGGCCACATCTTCGTCTATGTTCCTCGATGCGTTCCCAAGCAAACTATACCTCAAGCTCCAGACTTTCAAATATACCCCCGGCCGAGTAAAGAGGCTATTGCCATTGGAGGAACTGTCGATGTCGTCACACCACACACGATCAATCATATCATTACCGGCTGTCTCGGCGAAGAAGAGATTGTATTGGCTTGTTATGACGACGGAGACGTTGTTGCGTACTACGTGAAAGACATAGCAGACTCGATTGAGAACAAACGCAACGAGCCCAAAGAGCAGAGAAGCCCAAGGACGGCTTACACTAGTCGCCCACCAAAGCTGCTCTTTCATGAGAATGTTGGCCTTTCAGCTTGGGGATTGGCTATTCATCGCAAGTCCCGTCTCATAGCTGTTAGCTCGAATCGCTCCGAGGTGACGGTTTTTGCTTTTGCTCTGGCCAGCTGTGAGACCAAATCACGAAAAACTCAAGAATTTTGCGAATGCTGCCAGAGCTGCGACAGCACTGAGTCGGGGATCCCTAGGCGAGCGCGAAATTGGAGAATAGTGATAGCTCTTCAGGCACACGCATCTAATATTCCCAATGTCTGCTTTTTGGACGACGTAGACGGCCAGGCCGAAAAAGTCTGCGCCGTGGATATCAGAGGTCTTCTGTGGATAGCGGATATCTGGAGAATGTTCCAACCCGTTACTGAAGTCCCTCCCTCTGATCACCATGCACTCCAAAGCGAGGAATTTTGGCCGGCTTCATCGAGGTAAGTAAGCGTCTGGTGGGCCGATGAATATGTGACGGTGCGTTGTTGATTTTCTGACCTCTCGCTCTAGGGGATGGGGCGTACTACCTCTCAATGACGACAGCTTTTTACCTGTTAACAGTGTAGAAGAGATGTTTGGACTACCGGAAAGGGCGCTTAGCATCTCTATGCCTGGATCTGGATGCCCACAGCCGATGGCCAATATCACAGATTGTCTCGCGGCAATACCGGACAACCCATGTCCCCCCGCAGCGGGGGCTAGGTCTGGTCAGTTCTATCATTATGTTCCAGTCATGTTGCATGACGAGTCTTTACATTCGATAGTAGATGATGCGAATGCAGCTGGTTTTACGGATGACGAGAGCGACGAAAGCGAAAGCGAGCCTGAAGCATCGGACAACCAGATCAACGATGTGAATGAATTCGATGAGGATGAGGATGAGGACGATGACGATGAAGAGGAGGAAGAAGGAGGAGGAGGAGTGGCCGTCATTGAAGATGTCATTATTGCTTCGGTGGCTCCACAGATAATCGATGCAGATGAGGACGACAGTCTGCTGCCGTTTTCCAGCCTACCTCTAGCACCTCTAGCACCTCCAGGAGAACCTTTCCAACAAGCACTACAAGATCTAGATGAAGCACTTGGACAGCTTGCCTACGCTGTGCAGGAATTTCAAGATGCTATTTCAACTCCGGACACTCCAGAGCCGATTCAGCAAGACCAAGGTAAGACAACACCAAAGCATGGAAGGCGAAGGAATTTTGATTCTGCGTTTTCGGGACAACACAATTACAGCCAATTCAACACACCACCAGTTCGACTCGATATGGCTTTTTTCCCACACAGCGGAAAGATCCAGACCATTCCTAGATCATCAGCGCAGCTTCTTGCGTTTTTGAGAAGGACGATTGAGTTCAATGAAAACCCAGGGCCACCAGTGGCACATCGGACTAAGGACGTGACAAAACGATATCGCTTTATCCGAACGTATGAAAAAGACCTGGAACTGAGAAGCCTGCGAGGAGAGGGTAAGACAGGTTGGCAAGAAATTGGTGTTTTGTGTCCGAACGCAGTCAAGTTTGGCAGTTTTCACGAGCGAAGTGTCCGGCCATATTTCCGCGCAACCAGTCGCCTAAGTATGATTGTACATATCCCGGAGCTTTCTCTGGTAGTGGCAGGGTCGCCTATTGGGCGAGTTCTGCTCGTCACGCCGACCAAACTTGGATCGCCGGTTATGTCGAAAACAGCGGGGACGTGGCATCACGGGCTTCGAGTTGAATATGTTTTGCCGCGGCAATCGGATGAAGAAGAGTTTCGACCGGTGTTGAGACCGCTGCACGGGCTGGCGGTTGGGCCTGTACAGAGCAACGAGAATAGAAATGGCAGCAGCATGACGAATGGCGCGACGACGCCAAAGCGATTCAGACTGATGTTGCATTATCGAAATCACGATATCTTGACGTATGAGTTGATGAGAGAGGATCATACGGGACGACTTTGCATCATTTGGTAGCCCTTCGTTTTTTCTTTTCCCAATTATGAATGGAATGCCCGGCGTTGGTTTAAAAAAAAAAAAACTTTAGAATAGCCAGCGCTTTTTTTGCAGTTTTCAGTTTTCTCATCGTTTTTTGGGTCTTCCCTCTTTTGTACATTCCACTGGTGTTCCACTTGAGCTATAGTTATTGTTACTCGCAAGACTGAGCTGCTAGCGCATCACAATGTATATAGGTCAGTGCCTTTTGATGGTGCCGATATCGCGTGTATGGGTAGCGGTTCGGAGAGTTTTTTGCTGGATATTCTATACTTCATGAGATCCATTTGTGTTTGTAAATGTGAATGTGAATGCGAATGTGGTAATATACTGATCTGATCCATGAATGGACAGGCAGAAATGAGGACTAATTAGGCGATTTATGAGTAATATCGTTGCTTTATTTATTTATTGAAGTTTATGGCAGATACGCTTTATCCGGTAAGTAAAGATTGGCAAAGTATTATGAAACACTTTTCAGCAAGTAGCGTATTTTCAAGTTTTTTCTTATACCACGAGATCAAACTGCAAGCGAGGCGTTTTCCTTGGCGTATCTTGTGTACAAAATCTCTTACATGATTGTATAATAGCAAAGGATGACTTGCTTGTGAACTCTTCGTTGTTTGCATCATAGGAGTCGGTCTCATCTAATTGAGCACAGGTATACTTAATTTCGAGTAATGAAATAGCCGGAATGTAGTAATGTGTATCAATTTCTGGCCTTTATCGGGACTTCGAAGCCGATATAGTCGCACCTGGAGACCTCATTTGGTCGGAAGGATAATCCAGCATCTTTGACTATTAGCTTAGCATGCACTCTTCATGTGGCTTCTGGCAGTAAAGCAGAGCATTTGAAAGTAGTAAACCTTCTCACGTGCCTTTTATTCTTTTTTGTTTGTGATCAATTCTTACATTATCTGTAATAATACTCTAGAGACCTAATATCTTATCCAGTTTACTTTTCACCTGTGTCTATATAATGTGGTTGGCATTGCTTGGTAAGAAGAACTACATAATTCAGCGAATCTTGTAATATTGTTTTGGTCTTATTTCTTCAACACAGCACGCATCCTGGCAGTCGTTTCAATATTCTTTGACCTCGCGCCAGCTCTTCCCATTTCTGAATCCCGGTTCGTTCTGAGGGTGCCATACCTAGGGACGCAGCAGCCGAGGAAACAGCAGTAGATGGGTATAAGTAGGTTATTTGGTAGGTATGTCGGTATGCAAATGCCCTCCGTTGTATGAACATGAGCTGCGATAAATTGAAGGGGTTATTTTGGTGAGATTGGAATGTTGATATTGAATAGCTATGGAGCTGGAAAGGCCGTACTGGATGCTATGCGGGCAACGGCGAGCGTACTTTTTTACCCCGTGAATAGAAAATTAGCAGGTTTGATAGTTGTCACTCAATATTACGACGCGTTGCCAAGAAGAGGAGCGGTAAGAGACTCGATAGCGTAAAGGTATCCATCTTAATGATACTAATTGATGCGAATGCCACAGCCTAATGGCCTGCCATTCCACGAAATGAAGGAACAGGAGTAGAGGCATGGAATCGCGCAGGGCGATGACTCATTTACGCAGACCCGATATGGCATAAATGCGAAGAAATGGAAAATGAATTGCAGTGTTGGGCTAAGAAGGTTTTGTATGTCGACGCCAAACAGTGCCACAGCTCAAACGATTGTGGCTGGGAAATGTATTCAGCCGCTGTGGATTATTACTGCATACTTTCTCTTTAGTTTATATTTTAACGCCGATTTTCTATTTCCAAGGACTGTTTCCTGTTTATCTAAGCTAAATTATCAAGCAGATTTACGGTTAATTGTAAACACTAAATGAATCTTCTCATAAATGAAATTGAGAGGAGTTTTTGGAGCCAGTGTTGAAAAAGTGAGATGTGGTTACTTTCTTTTTAGTGCCACGCGAAGCTATAGATTTGTCGATAGAAACATAGCGGCGCCTACCCTTTCAACTTCTATGTGTGAAGGGGTTGGTGATGATGCCGTTATGCATGTCTGTCTTTTTTTTTTTCCCTGCCTCCCAATTCATTCTGTGATTTAAGAGGCCCCTTTACCAACCTCATCCTAGGTATCATGGTCTCACTCGATATATGGTTCAATACTGGGGTGTGTGTCTCAGTTCAGCAGCAGATTCTTCACTCCAGATTCCATGTTCAATCGTAATCTTGGTCACAAGGTCTCATGTTCTGGGTCAATGTCGAATATACCGAGACTGGTAAAGATGCATCGTTACATTCAAACTGCCTTCAAAAGTGTGGTCTTATGATGGAAGAGCGTTTAAGATTAATCACTTTGACAACGGCCACAATAACACTTGTAAGTAGCATCAAGACCGCATGCGTTGAAACTGCAGGGCATCTTGTCTGATTTTCCAGTGCCGATATCGCTTGATTTCAAGACTGTGTATGATTTTCAATAGCCGTGGTCTGAAATTGCGAGTGCACCATGTGTATGTATTAACCGCTACAATTACAATTGAAGAGTAGAAATGGCCGACTGTAGTGTACATGGCCATAAGATACGCGTTGGCCACTGATATAACATTATATAATTGCAGCTGTAATGAGAGATGCTTCTCCACGGGGAAGCGCCAAGAAGTGCCATAGTGCCATCCATGGCAGCTGAGATCCGACAATAAAGCAGACAAAGGCAATACCAAGCTTCGAGCTTGTACGTATCCAGAACAGCGGCACGATGGCCCGATACGCTCACGGCAGGTTGGCAGCTCCGCAAATCGCCTCATTCGGGTTTTCGAACGTAATGAGCAAGCCAAGCGGTGATTGGCTGGCGGGGTTCTGATAACGAACGGTATAATAGTGTATGCCCGAGATATTCATGTGCAACCTTGTTAGTGCTCCATAGTAAAACATGCCAATGCACAGCAAAGCCGAGGATCTCTAACTGGCACAAATACTAGCATGCTTGGATCCCACCGGGGAGGCGGGGGATGAAGGATTGGAGCTGGGGAAGCGATGGAAGTCCATTCCCTAGTGCTCCGTGCTGTGCCACGAGATTTTCCCGGGTACGTGAATCTTGCAGGCGTTGTTAGAATCGGGAGACAATCGGCATGTGCACGTGAGGCATTACTGTACTTTACTGCCAGCACTCAAAGTATGGGGTTCTGCCTCTCCGGAAGGTCGGCAAGCGATGTCTTGTGTTCTTTTCCCTTTCTGTCTGTAGATTTGAGACAATGGCGTTGCGAAGTTGATCCCAGGTTACTGGAGTCGCCCTGACGTCTTCTCGACGAAGCTCGTAGTGCTACTGCTACTACTGCTGCTGCTGCTGCTACTACTTTGTGCTTTGTGACCGTGGAACAAGCACTCAACGCGACTTCAGATGCTTCTCGCCGAGAATAGGCCAGCTAGGCACCGAAACATCCCACGGCCCATCGCACCCGCACTTTGACAATTGCTATTCTTGACGCCACTGCTACTGGCCACTAGATACTAGTAACTGCTAGTAGTGCTAGTTTCAACGGCGGGCCCTCCGAATCGGCCGGGACTCGGACGCCCTTCCTGACAGACGAGAATGCCGTAAGAAGCGCAGATATCTGTCCAGCGTATCTGGCGAGGCTTGTCTTACCTGATCAAAGGGGCAAGGCTAAAGGGCGCTGCTCCCCCACTGCGAGGCCCCAACCATGCCGGCGGCGCTCCCGCTCCGTAGAGTGGGCTTATCAGGCCTTACATGATGAAGTGACGGCATTCACAAATAGGGCTATCGTTCTTTGTTTGTTTGCCGCCTCAGCTGAACAAAGCTGATGCACGCGAGCAGAAAAAGGATATGGGAGAAGCGTCTTGGTAAGCTTCACATGATGGGTTGACGGAATGCAATGCACCCCCTACTTGTTGCAGCAAGGAGAAAAGAAGAAGAAGAAATGTCTGATCTTTTCTCGGACTGCCGGCCCAATTGTCTCTCGAAGAGAACACGATTTGGGTTTGTCTCGGGCTGGCCAGGCCGAAAAATGGCCTTTTGCGAGGGAAGAGAGACACGCACATGAAAAAAGAGCGATTCGTAATATGGCTTCTCCCTCTGGGTAATAAGGCCGGGTATATTCGGTCAATTTATCAGTCCTTATCAAGCGTGCGTGGGAAATGGAAGGATCATGGAGAGGCGAGGGAAAAAAGTCGTACGAAAAAGATCAGGGTTGGAAATTGGCTGGCTTATCAGGCCCCGTCCCATCCCAGCGGAAAAGCGAGAAGAAAAAGTCGTCTGGAAAGAAAAAAAATCGATCCGCCCCTGCGCGCTGCGTGCGGCCTCACCGATACTCAGCTGATACTTGGCTCGCACAGCAAGATGCGGTGCACTTGCAAGTTCTATTGTTGTCGCTGGACTACTCCGGATGCGGACTAGCGCTATCTCGAACCCACTTGCACATGCGAAAAAGGTACGTACTGGGCGATTTCAATGACCGTATCTTCCTTTTTGTCGTACGTATCTCGATTACAGCACTAATGCGCGCCCAGTCTGGCTGGACCTTATCTCGAGGTACCTTGTATCTATTTCTGGCGCTGCTCTTGCCTGATTCATTTTTTTCTGTTCCCAGGGTTTCGCTGCCATTGCTCTTTCCCTGAAGAAGGTGATGCTATGGTTGGCTCAGATAAAGAGAAGGAAGGAACAGACCGTGGTAAAAATAGAAAGAGAAGAAGAAACAAAATAGAAATTGACCGCTACGTAGACGAGCCCATCATCGTCAACATCATTTTCTCTCTCTCTCGTCTCTCTTATCTTTTGCCTTTCTCCTTCATGCCTCTCAGAGCAATGCAGATTTGCGCCGCGCTTCGAACTAAGCCCTTAGCCCCAGCAATCCACAACCTTCGCCCCATGATAACAGCCGTGAGATGGTATACTCGTCCACAAGCCACGCCCCCTCCAATGAGCCCACCCCCAATCATCTGCTCGGGCCTCTCCTCCAGCAGAGGCTCGGACGACGCACCCCTGGTGTCTTATCTCTGGCCTCAACGGGCCCTGTCTGGGGTAATTGACTCCAGTATGGGCGCCAGGGCTGTGCTGCTGAGGGCAAAAATGGAAGAGGCGTGGCGGTCCTTGACATGGGCCCAGCGGTTTTGGTCGCGGCTGGTCGCCGTGCTGTCGAAATCGGGGACAGAATCCGCTGCTCCCTGCGAGATTGACGGTGATGCGAGTATATACAACACAACTTAGCCTGTTTGTTATCTCTAGGCCTCTCCTCCGTCTCTCCTCCTATCTCTGTCTGCTCGGCTATCCTTTCCTCCTTCTCATCTTTCTTCCTCTCTCCTGCACGCCTTATCTCCAGTTGAGCCAGACGTTACCCTCAAAGGCATCTCACTTCTGCAACCTTATCATAACACTTGCCGACGTGTTGGGCTCACTGGACGCCTTGGTTGTGCCGGCATCCGACCTTTCCTCAAGCTCTCTTCGAATCATCTCATCTCCGCGTCTCAGCTTCCATCAGCCTGGTCCCCGTGGCTGTCTTCTCCAACATCGATTCTCAAACCCCCGGATTTCGCTTAGCCCATCATGTCCTACGCCCATCTCGGGGCCCCGACCGTGTATAACGGCACAGGATCCAATGGAGGTGATCCCAGTATGTAACGACCGTAGCCCTTACCTCGATCCCGTTCCCATGTAGCACATGCTCCTTACCCCAATATGCAAGTCATATCGAGGCTGTGAATGACCAGAAATAACTGACAAACCCTTGCTTCAGGGACCGAAAATCTGAACCAATGGTATCAATCCGGAGACCAGGCCTTCATCCTGGTGGCCGCCTGTATGGTGCTTATCATGGTGCCTGGTGTCTCTTTTCTCTATTCGGGTCTCGCCCGCCGAAAATCCGCCCTCTCCATGCTCTGGGTCACCATGATGTCCTTTAGTGTTATCGTCTTTCAATGGTACTTTTGGGGTTACTCTCTGGCCTTCAGCGCGACCTCTAACAATGGCTACATCGGCAACCTCAACCACTTTGGGCTCCAGAGAGTCCTGGCTACGCCTTCTATTGGATCCCCTCTCGTCCCCGCCCTCCTCTATTCTTTCTACCAGATGATGTTCTGCGCCGTCACCGCCTGCCTGACAGTTGGAGCCGTCGCTGAACGTGGCCGGGTCGTCCCGAGCATGGTTTTCTGCTTCTTTTGGGCCACCTTAGTCTACTGCCCCATGGCTTACTGGGTATGGAACCCTAATGGTTGGGCTTTCAAGAATGGAGTCCTCGATTATGCGGGCGGTGTCCCTGTCGAGATCGGTTCCGGTGTCTCGGCTCTCGCTTATTCCTGGGTCCTTGGCCGCCGAAACGAAAAGATGATGATGAACTTCCGACCCCACAACATCTCTCTCATCACTCTCGGCACAGTTCTTCTATGGTTCGGATGGCTGGGCTTCAACGGTGGATCTGCCTTCGGCGCCAACCTTCGAGCTGTCATGGCCTGCTGGAACTCATGTCTCACGGCCATGTTTGCAGCCATGACTTGGTGTCTTCTTGATTTCCGTCTCGCCAAGAAGTGGTCTATGGTCGGCTGGTGTTCCGGAACCATCTCTGGTCTTGTTGCTGCCACTCCTGCATCTGGCTTCATTACTCCCTGGGCTAGCATCATCCTGGGTGTTGTTGCTGGTATCTGCTGTAACTTTAGCACCAAGAGTGAGCTATTTTCTTCGCGGCCACTAAGACACTAGAAATGCTAATACATGTTCACAGTCAAGTTCCTCATTCGCATCGACGACTCTCTCGACGTTTTCGCTGAGCACGGTATCGGTGGCATGGTTGGCCTCATCTTCAACGCCTTTTTCGCTAGCGGTAGCATCATTGGTCTCGACGGAGTCAATAGCGGCGCCATCGGTGGTTTTCTCGACCACAACTATAAGCTTATTGGATGGCAGATCGCTGTTATCGTTACCGGTTCCGCCTATGCCTTTGTCATGTCCGCCGTCATTGCTAAAATCATCGATCTCATTCCTGGTCTCAAGCTGCGCGCCTCTGAGGAAGCCGAACTGCTTGGTATGGACGATGACCAGCACGGTGAATTCTCATACGACTATGTCGAAGTTCGACGTGACTTTTTGGCCTGGAGTCCCCACCGCGAAGAGCCCGCCCACGAAAGCACAGTCTTGATTGAGCCTACGCACGGCATTCAAGAGCACGCGAATATGGCTCGCTCTGCCAGCCTGGCCGAGACTCAGATGGAAGAGACAAAGGCCGTGTCTTTGTCTGACGGTGGAAGAGACCGTCCAGAGAGCACCGAGGGCACCGAGGGCAGCCAGAGTAACGAGAAACGTGACTAAGGTTGCTTTTCTATACTCTTTTTTTTCTTCCTCTTTTTCCTCTTCTTCTTTTTTTTTTTTTTTTTTTTTTACACAACGGGCGGTTATACAAAAGCCATTCCTTGTTTCTTGTGACATTATTCACGTCCGCAATTTTTAATTCGCATTGCGACATTGTATTTTCTGCTATTATATTTACTTGTTTTGGGTATCATGAATCAGCGGGTGTTTTGGAGCATTTGCCCCGTGGGATAGACGGGCTGGCCTGGTTTATATAGAGCGCGAGCATTTTGGAGATACCACTCGTGCGGATGTCTATGAATGAATAAATTTCATATTATATTATACCAAACTTGTTCATTTGTAAATGCGATGGGCTGCTCCTGCTTGAATTGATGGAATTGTAGAGTCTAACATTGGGGTAGATGTGTTGGTAAGTAATTTGAGCCTTAAAAATGTGGATTGCAACGTCTGAATATTTCCATTCTTCATGGATATTTCAATCTAGTCTTTTGACAGCGTAATGGTACCATTCTACAATCTACATAGCTGATAATTGGCAGCTTTTCACACTATTGTATGAGTGAATATATATATATATATGTGTGTGTGGATGGATGATAAGCCACGTCATGTTCTGATATCGAATATGTTTGCATCATTGTACAAGTAAATGAATACCAGGTAGATATACTATGTAGATATAGATGGAATGACACGCCATATTGCTCGTCCGAAGTCGGATGCTAATTCTGTCTCACACATAAAGATTCATTCCATTATTGCCCAAAAAAAATCCAAGCAGAGCTAAATTCGTCAACAATAGATCCCCCAAGCGCCGTATGTTTCGCCCTTTTCGCAGATAATCCATCGATTGAGGTATTACAAATACATGTACCGCATTTCACAAAATTCTTTTCAAGTCCTTACAAAAACAAGGGCATCTCCTTTTAGAAGATGGGGGCGCCGTCAGTAATTTTGCCATACGGCTCTTTAAGATAATCCCCGAAGCAGGCATGGTCGAAATTGGCCTTTGCCGTCATGCCCTCCTGGATTTTGATAAAGGTGTCAAATTCGCACCAGCCGTCCTTGCGGCTGGCATCGCACTCAGGGAAACTCAGGCCCAGCGGGATGGTTCGCTGGTTGAGCACGAAGTGGACGTACTTCTGCTCTTCGCCACGCAGATAGCCATCGCGATTTGGCGAGACAGGTTTGGGCGTCTTGATGATCTCGATGTCGAGACGGGCGCCAAAGGGGGTGATATGAGCGACGGTAAAGTTGTGGGGTCCGGGATAACGATCGGCTGGGAGCTCCTCTGCGAATTGACGGAGACCAAATGCAGTGAGGATAGAAACAATGTTAGTGTCATGGGAGAAGTCAAAGTAGAGACTCTGGTTCAATGGGAAAGTCTCAGTGTTGTTGTCTAAAGTGACGTTGATTTGTGAGCCTGAATAGCCAAGGGTGTGGTTCTGCAGACGAGCAAGGACTTCTTGCTGGTAGCCAATACCAGTTGCTCTCTGTAGAATAGAATTACGTGTTAGTGTACTGATAATGTCATTGACGTACTTAAGATTCGCTGGTTCAAATACGTACCCCGACAGGACTGTGGAAGGCGTTGCCAGCCGAAAACCACACGTCGATTGAATAGCCAAAACCCTGCCACTCTTCGTAGGTGAACAAGTCGCAAAACATGCTAAAGCCGTATGCAACCGTCTCATAAGGACACATAGTCTGGGCATTATATACGTCATTAATAGTCCAATTGAATCCCTCTGTCATCCCCTGGAAGCGTTTAAGAGCTATTTAGCGTCAGCGGCCGCATTTTCTTTGGTTTATGGATAAGAAACATAGATAATGAAGGCATACCATCCTGGAGATAGGTATCAATCCACCTTTGCCTAGCCTCATTGGCAGATGTCTTGGACAAAGCATTAGAGCAGCTGAGAGCGCCCGCCAGGGAGTTATTGAAGCCGCTAGCTTCGATGATGACCTCAATCGTCGCGTTGTTTTTCCTGTTCATTGTAAGTCATAATCACCGTGAGAGATGCTCGGAGTAACGTTCTCACCAGTCTAGTCCAAAAAACCCGGCCATCCAGTTTTCCGCCGACTTGAGCATACGATCCTGGGTCTACAATATGCTCATTTAGTATTTGATGGGGACAGTTTGCTACTTGGTAGATTCCAAATGAGAAAGAAACTTACCGTTGTGCGGACAATAATCTTGCTTTTGGGATTATACAGACTGCCGTACATGTAGTTATGAAGGACTCCTATACAGATGGATGGTCAGTTTCCACGTAGGATATCGAATCATACCAGAACGAAGCCTCAGTGCCTACCTGAATTGTACAGCTCTTCACGCCCCTTTGGTACCAGAATCTCAGACCCGAGATGATACTCCCATCCCTTGAGGAAGTTCAATGGCCCTTTCGGATTGAACTTGTTGGAGGCATTGGCAATGCGCTTGGCGAAATCAACAACGCCGACGCCAGAAGTAGGGTAGCGGGCTCCGTGGCGGGACAGCATCTGGACCTGAACGATCTCAGCTCCTGCAGGCAGCGGGTACTCGTCCACGCCAAAGCCCGGAGAAGGAAAGTACGGAGACAAATAGCCCATCATCTTGAAGATGGTGTCGTTGCCGGGCTTCATGCCCTTGACGGGAATGGCCGTCTGCAGCGGCTCATTGGGCACGAAAGTCGCCGTAGGATCAAAGGTCCTTGTCTGGGCCAGGAATGCGGCGTTGCCGGTGGCCGTTGGTCCGGGCCACAGATTCGGTGACGTCTGGAAATACTGGGGCACCTTGCTGGGGCGACACGAGCACGGACCGGAGCCGCGGCCGGAGAAGAGGTATGGCAGCGACATGTAGAGATTGGAGGCTAGGAGCACGACCAGAGCCACGACGAGGGCGATAATGGTGGTGCGGTAGCGACGATCGGCACGCGACCGGCGCGGCGGGAGGTACGTTGTGGGTGCGCCGGCTTCTTCTTCGATGGCATCTTGCGAGTCGTCCTGGTGGATGGGCTGGTAGCCCGACGAGCTGCCCGCCCTGGGCTTGCCGGCTGGCGGCTTGACCTGCGAGGCTGTCGGCTTCGCCATGGCGATTGATTGTTTGCTTGCTTGCTCGATCGATCGATTCGGCGATGCCTACCCTGGTCTCGATGGGCAAACAAGAGTGAAGCCTGAGTCACGCACGAGACAGGGCCTCGTAATCCAATCACCCAAAGAGGCTCCGGCAAGACAGCCAAAGCCAATGCAAAAAGAAAACAAGATGAAGGGATCGCCAGACGCGGTAAGCCCGGGCTACAGCTCCTGAGGTGCGGCTGATAAGCTGATGCTCAGCGCGCCCACGAAACTCTCTTTTCTTCTTTCTGCTATGGCAGAGTCCTTGTCACGGGGCCGATCCTCCCTTGCCTCAATGCCTGGTCGTAGCAATTACGCAGTAGTATTTTCGCGTATGCGTCCCAGTCCGACGGCGCGGTAACGATGGGCGATGCGATTCGATTCGATGCGAACGATGGCCACCTTGGATTGGCGCCCCCCTTTTGCATTAGCGAGCAAAGACAACAAACACCCTTGGCTACCGGCTCCGATTCATGGGCCAAGCCCGGTCCTGTGTATGCGAGGGAGGGGAGGGCAGGGGGGCAGAAAAAGAAAGAAGAAGAAAAAACAAACGGCGTCGAATGAATGAGTAAAAAAGAGATTAGATTGCGCGAGATGAAGCTTCAATGCAAGGACGAAGCTGCCCAGCTGAAGACATGCGCGCCCCACTCGCGCAAGGAGAGAGCAAACGGTGTGCCTTGTCGCTGCCGCCAACGCTTAGCACTGTATTTCCAGCGGCCCCCCGGGCCTGCTAGCGCCTGTAGCTGATGGCCGGCAAGGCTATCGAGGCCGGGTGATAGTGGCCTGAGCCGCTAAAGTCACGGGGAAGCCATCCGCCGTTTCGGGTTGCAGGGCCGCACTGTCTGCCTGGTGCTGCTGTTGGCTGTGGATGAATGCATCAACCGAACCAGGCTCTCTGCGGATGGGTTGGTCCGTCATCGAAACCAGTATTTTCTTTTTCGCTTTTGATATGCGCTCAGAATGGGCCATGATGGCCAATCGTCACTCATTCATGACAGTTGCTCTGCATTATTCCCAGCCTTTAATTTGCTTCCCCCCCTGCGGCCTTGCTCATACTCGTCGGCATCTCGTCTCATACTAAATAAATCAATAAATAGTGCTGCTACTTCGATTAGTACCACCTACTAGCCGCGCTCCATACCGCATCCGATCTCCCAAGTCTATCTAGCCGTCATCCGATCACCAGCCGTTCATCTGGTCTCCCTCCTTCTCCATCTCGCTGAGTTATGCATGTCTCGTCCCGTTCGCCGATCCTCACATTCAGAGCCTGTCAAAATCGTGCTTAAGGCGATCTTTGTGTGGCAAAAGAGGCAGTTGAGTCTGTGACCTGTCACAAAAAACTCGCAACCTGATAGATGCTAGTAGTAGCAGTACCGCTATTTAAAAACACTAGCAGTAGCACGTAACAAGCCTTTGCAAGGGAAGAAAAGAAAAGAAGACCCAGGAAAAAAAAAAGAGAAAAATTAATAAATGCGTACCAAGGAGAAAGGAGAAAGGAGAAAAGTAGCAGCACGAAAGAGAAAAGAGAAATCAGGCGCTGAGCGCTGCATTGTTGCCTACCTCCATAGCTTGGACCCCATGTCATGACGCAGTTCTCTCTTCCCAAGGCATACTGTACGTATAATCTATATCCAAAAAAATCCATGTCCTAAGCAAATTACTTGTCATACCCTTTCTTATTTCCTCTTTACTCTTTTTTCCTTCCTTCCTTCCTTTTTTTTTTTTTTTCCTTTTCTTTCTTTTCTTTTGTCCCTCCATTTACACCCTGTAAAATACCCACCCTGCTGGTCTCAGCTAAGCCCCGTCCACCAACCAACCCATGTCAACGCTTCAAGACATGGATACGACTTTTGCCGGCTAGTAGTTATACTATTAGCAATGCCATGCTCAAAGTGTCTGCAGTTTCTTTCCTTTTGTCTCCCTTACTTGGTACCGTTGAAGCCGCTGTCGCGTTTAATCTCCATACCGCCGTGCAACCAAACACTCATGATTCTACACGTATCAACCGCTCAAGACACGTTGTAAAGTCCGCCAATAACAAAGCCATTTGTACTCCTCTACACCCCGGCTGAATCAAAAACCCCCGTCACTAGTCTCGTGATCCATACATCGTGTCTGACAGGGTCTATGTATCCAATGGCTTGGATTATCACTAGATCAGGTGGGATCCACTCTCGACTACATCCATATCCATGGCTACTTGCGATCTTCTCCAGATTGGGCACTAAAACGATCAATGCACTGGCAAACTAGTACGAAATAGCTGAACTCTACGATACAAGATTAAGTGTCGAGTATGAAATGCCGCCTTCTGTTTCATCTTGGTATCGCTGACCAAGGCTTGTGTGTTAGTGCAAAACTCATATCGACGTGGACAGCTACCACCACCCTCTATGCGAAGTCATTAATGTCAAAATATGCATTCTTGGTCAATCTATCTTATCTATTTCTATACTTATCGCGAAAGCCGTGAGCGGCAAATCCATTCTGAGGGAAGTGGTCCCAACGCATCCTGTCTATAATACTACCAGCAAAAGAAACGAGCAAACAAAGCAACGCACTGAGCTTTTGTCTAAAGATCCTTGCAGATCCCCCTGTCTATGTTTTTAACCCCTTCACCCTTTTTTTCCCTTGCCTGTCGTAGGACGGCATCGGGATCAAAACTTCAAAAACATCATTCGCTAATGTAGGGAGGTGTTCTTCCCGATCAGTAGCACTCTCGACTGGCATCACCCTTTCCAACCATCCCATATCCCGAGGGATCTTCTGGTTGTGGGATCTGAGAGCATGTTCCAATCGGGCGACGCTGACTTACCAGCCTAGTTCGGCTGGGATCGCAGAGGGAAGTATCCAGTAGGCATAGGCTCAAGGTGCCACACCTGAGTTCCTGCGGGGCCAAAAGCCTTGTTCCACTCGAGCTGAAGGTCAACAGGGATTTTCCATCCCATATCGTCATCCCGGAGTCTCATGCGCACAAGGTGTCTGCGCTGATCGGCTTCTGCGCCGTTGACAAAGCCCGCACGTCGGTGGAGGACAGCCAGGTTGTTGATGAAGTGAATGTCACCTGCCTTGGTGCTGAACTCGAACTTGGTTGCCTCTGCAATGTCCTGGATCGCATCCAGAGCCTCAACTTGGTTGGCGGTGAGAACTGGCAGATGAGCAGGTCTGGCGTGGCTTGCGCTTCCCATGAGAGCAGCTCGACCGAAGTTGGTGATCAGCCGGCCATCTTCGTAGAAGAAAACAGGTCGGCATTGAAACTTGGGGCTGTGGAATTAAGCATCACTACGTTAGCTTCTGCCCCGTGAAGTCATATCTTGGGGGCTCAAGACACCTACAATGCAAATGGCCAGTCAGATCGAGCCAGAGTTCGGATCAGATCGGGGCGAGTGGCGGAGAGCACGTTGTAGACGGTGTAGGTCGAGGCAATGATGCATTTGCCTCCAGATTTGGCAGCATTCCTGGTGAGCCAGCTCACGATGTCTCCAGCCTCCTCATTGTGGAAGGTCTACACATTTGAGTCAGTGGGTCACATGATGGTAGAAATACATTCCAGATGACTTACAATTGGGGAGGTTGAGTGGCGATGGTGCTCGGCCTTCTCCTTAGATGAGTTATCGGCAATGATGTGAACTGGAAACCTGTCAGCCTCTAAAATAATGCGGGGGGGGCAGTCAGCACCCTCTTACCCAGCATGTTACCCTTCTTGTCCTGGCGGCCACAGCGGTTCGCGATGTAGGCCTGGACGCCGAGATAGATGGTCGTCAAGTCTTCGACAGAGTACTTCTTGGAATCGAGTCCCCGGAGAACGGCAAATCCTTTGCCTTGGTGAAGATCATCACGCATACGGCTCAGCACGTTGGGGCCAACAGTGGGGAGCGGGAAGGTGTCAGGAGTGACGAGATCACCGTCCAATTCAAGAGCTACACGTTGTTAGTAGAGCTGGTGGGAGGGTATATTTGTCACTGGCACATGGCTCACCCTTGAAGTGCTGGAGAGCAGCCTCAATCTCCTGGATCTCGTCCTGGCTCAAATGGTGGATGTAGTCAGACTGGCAAGCCAATTGCTGGCCAGTCCATGCCAAAGGCGAGTCCAGGACAGAGGGGAAGCCATTGGGCAGGCTGGACATCTCGGCGGGAGGATCAGGCAGCTTGAAGTCCTGGTGAGAAGCGAGGAGCTTCGAGTCGGTGACAGGGCCGGCCATGGAATACGCCATTGTGGAGGACGACGAGTGGTTTTCTGGCTGTTGGAGATGGGCTTGATCTGAACTGGAATGGCAAGATGCTGGAAATCAAAAGAGCGAGAGAGCGAGAGTGCACAAGTGTCACAGATCTGACTTGCTGAGCGAAGGTGATGCAGAGGTAGAAAAGAATCAAGATGTAGAAGATGGTTGAGAATAAAAGGACAAGACTCGAGGGAATTGCCTGTCCTTTTAAGCTCGAGTGGAAAGAGCAGCCCTTGACATAGACCGCCATTCGTGTCTCAAGTCCAAGTGGAAGGAAATAGCAAACTTGCTGGTAGATGCCTTCCCAAACACCTTCTCACACCGCATCATGCAGCTTGAGAAAAAGCAATTCGTCTTTCCGGATGGCTTTCCGGATACCTGCTTTGGTGGGACACACTCCCTGCTGAACGTCATCTATTTAGTTTAGACCAGCATTAAACAGGCGAGGACGGGAACGGGCATAAGGCCCCAGTCATGCTTCGCCCGAGATGGTCTAGATCAGGAACAAGTTTCATGGGGCTTGAATAGTATGAAGTAGTAGCATCTGCTAACAGCTAGCATAGCCTCCTACTGGTTTTGCTTCTTTTTTGTCTCCCCTGTATTTCATCTCGCTCATTCATTCTTTTCCTTTTTTTTTTAAGAAAAGAAAAAAAAAAAAAAAAAAAAAAAATAGTCCATGCAAATGTTTCACCTATTAGCTTGCTCTTAGCTTCATCCACAGGCTCCAAAAGCAAAGATATGGAAAAAGGTGCTCAGTTCCTTCTCCCGTTGCTCGCCAGTTGGCGGTCAACAGGCAAATCTGTGCTCTGCCGTGCCCGTCACCGCAGACTTCCCGACAAAGTGACCTCATCCACATTCTTGCTCATACCGGCCATTGGCATTGGAATAGACGGGAAGCAGCGTTTCTGCTGTGGCAAAATGTCGCCGAAAGAAGAGTCATTTTCCGCGCTTGCGAGTTTGTTTGTGCACTGAGCAAGTGCCGAGATGCGGTGCACCGTTGATGGGATGGCCACGGCAGCCCCTACCTGGAATTCTACTGTTAGTCTAGACGAGCTGAAGTCATTAGATAGAGGTGATATGAATCAAGCAGTTGCTCACCGACTTTCGTAGTTGCTTTTGCTCGGGCAGTGGCATTCCGTCTCACCACCGCAGACCAATCTTGTACTGATTCATTGACAAAGGGTGGCGGGAGAAGACGCAGTAAATACGAGCATGTTAGGCTAGTATGTGTACTTGTACCAATTGATCATTGCTGCAGCTGCCTGAGAAGCAGTTGTAAGATATATTCAATATTATTGCTCGTAGTCATCATTCATGATCAATGCAACCTGCAAACCATCTGTGCATCAGATCCACCATATCACCGATCCATCTTGTGATAACCCCTGGTCTACAGGGGGGAATACCACCAAGGACGTGAATAACTGGATGAGACTCCCCAGAGTAATTAATACATGCGCTTTATTGAACCCAATCACCGCCTTCGGGGACCTGCATTATGTGCTGCAGCCAGGCTTTCTAGTATCACCATCATCTCACCGCTTCAACAAGTGCCACTGCTACTTTGAAGACAAGCTAGATAGCCCAGTTTCCCCAACCCCTCTTTCTTCCAGGGTATTAAGATGCTAAAAAATAAAAAAATAAAAATAAATCTCAAAATAAATCTCAAAACAGAGTTACACATTAGTAGTACTTGGCTGCCATTTCTCGTCAAAGAGTTGGCTAACGAAAAAATAATCGTCCTCATATTCTTCATTGGAGCGAATTTTCTGCCACTCTTGTTCTATGAAATGTTAGAGCAGGCCCGGAAACCCGGGTTTATGATGCATGGGTATCTTCTTGACCGTGTATAGGAGACTTACTGTGTCGCTGGACAAGTGCTCTGGTCGCACGGACAAACTGGATTTTTTCCTCGTCTAGTTGCGCCAATGCTCGCAAATCCTTGTCTTCACACTCCTCAGAGAAGGGTACTCTCCCCTTGTTGCAATAGTGAAAATGTGCGAGGATAACGTTTGCTCCTGCATCGCCATCACCGTCGGGTAAGAACCGTTAGCCACTGTGTCTGTGCAACATCGAGAGTGGGGAACGGAGAAAAGGGCTTACCCATATGATACTCTCGTACTTTTTCTTCACGCGCAAACCGACGCTGCGGGAGAGAATCTGTTAATATCTGGAGCTCATAGATCTGGTTTTTGTGTAAGAGAAACTCACATTCATGCCATGCTTGTCGGCATAGCTAGCATCATGCTTTGTAATAAGTGCAATATTATGAAGCAGAATAAACGACACCAGATAAGTCACTAGCCAGCTAGTTGGTTTATTCCTGAGCATTACTTTTTGGAGATTATCCAAAAGCTCGTGCCTAAGTTTGTTTTGGATGTGATGTATGAGAATCATGTCCATCTGTGCACCCATTACTGGGGGCAATGGTATTTTCCCGTGATCGGGGCTTGACTCGTCAAGGATATTTGCTGGCATGTCCAGAGTTTCTTGTCCGACAATAAACGCCGACGTGGTTGACAGGCGAATGGCTACCCATAGCCGGAGCGTCCAATTGAGTAGCCCAAATACCTCTGACGTTCTCTCCTCCTTTTGCCACATGCGGTAGGCCAAGAGATAGGTCTTGTACAGCAGACCGTTGGTACTGCCAAGCATGTTTCGAAATATGCCCTCCATGGAAGCCCGGATATAGGCAGTGTACGCCGATGTGCCGGCCTCTACATCCACAAGTGCATATGGCGGGATAATAGCCGACTTCTTGGCACCTCTATAAGCCCATGTCCGCTCCAGCTTGTCGCCTTCTTGCGGGACAAACCTGCGAACCTTGAGTGGGAGCCGCTCTGTTGAATAACACACGGAAACGTAAACAGTTCTGATCTCGGACGATGCCCATAGCTGGATAGGGTCAGAAGTGCCTTTGGTCCATCTTTGGGTCCACTCATATCCTGGAACTTGGCCTGTTTTATAAAGTGTCATATCAGTGATCTTGTATCGGAGGCATGGCAAGCGCGCTGCCTTTGTATTCTCCACCTTTTTGCAAGGCAGACAACATCCACCTGGGACATCAAACTCGCACTGTAAAAGAGTAACACTGCGTCAGTCTATCTCGAGTATATTGCACACTGTCGTACGGAGCGATAATGATACGACCTTTTGCTTTGTGGGGGATTGTTACTTACTCGAATCCGTTGCATCCTGCACCTTAAGCAGGAACCCATCCTCCTTGTTTGGGCGGTCTGTTCCCGGAGAGCTTGGTCTCTAAAGGGACCCCTCTTACCATTTCGCTGCTGGTTATCAGCAGTGGAGTACTGTTTCTGGGCCGCAGCATTGGCTCTTTCTTCTAACATTGCTAGCTGTGTCACTGGTCGAGTTAAGTTCTGTGCTGAAGGGGCATTATAATTATACACATGGGGAGATGTCGTTTCAATGTCCACCAACAGAGGGTGGGCAGGTCGCAAAGTCGGGGCCGGACCATGCCGCAATGGCGAGCTGGCCTCAATCACTTGAGACCCACCAATTTGAATCTCATCCATAGGCGGCACAGCAATTATTGCCTGGTTCATTGAGAATTTATACGGATCCGAAGACGCAAGCTGACTGGGCCCATTGTGATGGGAGTTAAGCTGGCTATGCTGCTCATGACTTGTGTCTTCAAGTTGATCGGTGTACCCAGGATGGGGCAAATTCTGCAGTGAGGTGTCGCCAAAGGCAGGGTATATTTCAAGAGGCACAGAGTCAAAATTGAGCAGATCATTTGAAAGTACTGGTTGCTGTAAAGACTGTCCATTATCGGGCCCAATGGACTGTAAACAATTCAAGCTCAGCAGGCTATTAGATATTGTTTCTTGTTGCAATAGCTGCCTGGCCGGAGGTGTAATGTTCTGTAAAGAGTTCAGATCTCTTTGATCATTTTGAAGTAACTCTTGCCCTGATGTCTCCTCATTGTCAGGCATGACATGCTGCAAAGGGATCAAGTTTATCTGATCATTCGCAGTAGCTGCCTCCAGGGGTAAACCATTATTGCTTGATATAATGTTCTGCAGTGAGTTCAAACTGAGTAAATCAGTTGTAAGCGATGCTTGCTGTGATAGCTCGCTACTACTAGACACGATGAAAGAGCTCAAGTCGAATTGATCATCGAGCAGTGGTGCCTGCTGTGGCGACTCGCCATTATCGGGTATATTGTGCTGTAGGGAGTTCGTCGTCTGGGTAAGCGTAGGCGGTAATACCTCCATAACAGGTTGCTGAGGCGGGTCATACACCACAGCCGCTGGAGGCGGGAGAGCCTCATACCCTATAGCTCAAATCATTAGCCTTCCACCTAGTGCTAAAAAGGAGCTACAAAGTGGCGGTAAGGCAGCTTGCATACCGGCAGACTGCTGCCACCCGAAGGCACAGCAATTGGTGATAGATTCTGCCACGCGGACCAAAGGGGAGCTTAGAGATTGTACATCAGAAACGGCAGGTGCCCATCTTGGCGTAATTGACGCCGGATCATGACCCGCTATAGGCAGCTTTTCCTGGTAGCCTATGCTGGATGATGAAGATTCGTCTGGAGACATCGAGTTGAAGCCTAATAATCGTCGACGTTTCACCGGGCCAGGGTGATCAGGCGAATAAGCTGACGTACAACCAGTGTTTCCGGAGGAATAACCTTCAGGAGCTATCGTTAATTGTCCAACCAACACCTGGGGATCAAAATTGAAGTGAAATCCCGCAAATGCCGTATCAACGGCTGGATCTGGAGGCACCACAGGTGACGGGGGGACTGCCACTTCAAATGTCCCCAGGGACAGGATTCGCTTTCTACGTGGCCCCTGTGTAATGATTAACTTGACTGTGCCTTTGTAATTGAAACGGAAGAAGAAAGCAAAGGATATGCCAAGGAAGATAGGGTGATGTTGGACGGGAAGAGGGTGTATGGGCAGATATCAACAGGTGATGAGAGAGCATAAAAGCACGAAGGCTATATGAAAGACACAATCTCAAACAGTAGATGGCGGGAAAGAGCCAAATATATGTCCATGCAGGCTACCGCCGTGGGGTGAAGAACATCGCTTACCATGATGCCTGTAGATAACTGAGGGGTGTGTCAGACAGATACAGCGTGGTGGTAGGAAAAGAATCCAATGTATTCGCACGTGGAAAACCAAGTATCAGCTAGACTTTAGAGACAAGCAGCATCAACAAGGTACAAAGTTGTGCACTAAACACCGGATGAAGTTGAGCAACGCCAGGGGAGGGGTGGATAAGTCCGGTGGCACCGAGTTCAGCGTTGGCTGTCGCTATGTAAAACGATAGGTGGAGCGGAATGCTGGGCGGCCAAGCAGGAGCGGGAGCACAGTGAGCTGCAAATATCCAAGACGAGGGTTCAACACCGGTGAAGGGAGTAGCCTGGCGGCTAGAGGGCGAGAGGACAGAGACGAAGGTGGCATGTAAGTAAGGAGTCCAACTAGCGTTGGGTTGGTGAAGCAAGCCCAGTCCAATGACGGTGCCGATCTGCGAAGCGCAAGGGCCTGGCTAGACTCGTCTAAGAGGTGTAATGGTCTCGTGCTTGCCACCACTCTAGTAGCCGATGATGAATGTGTCCCCAGCGCTGGTGTTGCTGCTGCTGTTGCTGTGTTGTGCTGTGCTGTGCTGCCGCCGCTGTTACTGCCGGCTCAATGCTCAATGCCCGGGCTTGCTCGTCGAACGCAGGGATACGGGTAGCGCGGATTGGACTCTGGGGCGTGTTGCCGAGTGCATAGGTCAGCGCCTACACAGTCTAAGTGGCTGGATCCCGAAGGGCTAGACGACGATGGTTGTTTCTAGGAGGAGAGGAGAAGCGAACTCGGTGAAGAAGCAAAGGCCATGGACCCCGGTGCTAAATCATATGTATTTGAATGGAACTGAGGGGTACCGGACGCAGCCAGGGTGTGGTCTAATAGTTGGCATGCGGTGCCCAATTAATTCCTAATGCTCTTATTGAGCAGAGCAAGACGAACGTGGGCTTCCCCAATCGGGCTGGCATCCCATACGGCCATTGAGAATATTTGCGGGCACCCATTGTCGAGACCTGAGTGGCCCCAAAGCGTTTTGCGCAGTCCACAGCTCTGGCGACGAGCAAAAAGAGGATAACGCATTGCGCCAGAGGTTTCATCACAAACATTACCAGCGAGATGTGAGAGCTGGGCAACTGCGGCGCGGGAAATGGCTCAGGTCGTCCGATATTGCGGGCGCCTTCAGGCCAGGAAGACAAGCCTCCGTTGCGTGCCCAACGGAGCCGGCAATCGTAGTATGCAGCACGGGCAGGTATTCTGGCAGAATGGATTTTGAGTCTCCAGCTCAGTTGCGAATAGGCCAATAAGAGCTGGCTTATCCCCAAGGCTATTATGGTGTCACAGGCACTTGTAGAATGCAGCTTACACGGCGGCTCGCTCATTTCCCTCGTTTCGATGCAGGCGGGTCACATGCGCTGCAACCTGCACCTTGGAAAGCGCAGAAAGCAGTTCAAGCCACAGATAGCCGTCTTGGACAAGCAGACCCCAGGCTGTTCTGTGGTCCTTCTAAAGCCAATCGAAGAATGCTCGCCCCGTGATGGAAGAGTTGAGTAATTGAGCGGTATACATGGCTTCCAGGCCGGGGTGTCGATTCAAGTGCAAGACGAGGCACGTATCAACGAGTTGACGGACTTTTGTCCACCGCCCGGCTTTGATGCTAGTACGAGTATAGTGTTAGGCTCGCGAGCTGCCGAATCAAAGAACCTGCTTCAGTGCTACCACACCACGAAGCTCGCCATGGACGAACCGCCTGTAGTGGGGACCGGTGAAGAGGTGCATCCACAGCTTGGAACATCCAGCTAGCACTGCTATCTAGGCTGTTATTCCTGGTGCAAAAACAGACGGATCTGATCTATCCGGGCTCGGAACCGCAGCTCAGTGACCGGGGGGAGTACCTTAAAGTACCTTAAAAGCTATAGTGATTTAATCGAGAGCGGCCGAAGCAACGCAGCATTAGTTCCAACTGCAGGCTGGTCAAGGCACGGGGCGTATGGATATGGATGCTGGATTCGGCTGCGGCGTGGCCCATCAGAAGGATGAGGTTCAGGCCGAGTCGAGGTCAAGGTCGAGGTCGAGGTCGAGGGGGTGCGGCCGCTCATTGTGTTTTCGCGTGGCCGTTCGTCACACAAGACATTCGTTCCCGCTCCCCCACGCCACGGCGGTAATTGTGTCGCAGTCGCCGCAGCACGCGCAAATTGCAAATTGCACGGCATGCGGCTAGGCCGCTGCTCGCAATCATCGGATCAGTCCTCTGTAGAACCGGTGCCTCTCTGCTACTAATGGGAACGAGGCATTCACCGTCGTACAATGCGGTGTCGATGCTTCTGTAGTCATCCCCACGGGGTTGGCCAGTTGACGACTCGTACATGCCTCACTACGCCTATGGCACCAAGCTAAGGGGTGTAAGCTGTCGACTTAAGGTAGGGCGCAGAATAGCAGCGGGCTAGATCCCCGTGCCCGCTACGGAACAGCATGATTAGCAGTGAAAATGCTCCATATTTCTCCGCTTGTGGCCAAAGACTTTCGGCCGGACCTGCCTGCTCTTGTCTTAGTTAGGACGGAAGCGCCCCGTGCCTTCTACAACGCCAGGCCAGCCAACTGCTCCTGCCCAGCCAATGGACGCCACTCGCATTGACTTCCGTCCGCTGGTGCAATTTGCAATGGATATCAGAGGGTTAAAGAGGCTTTTGCAGAGCCTCCGACGAGCGAGTGCTGCGGAGAGTCTCGCGCCTTCCGCCCCTTCACAGCTTTCCCCCGCTGCTGCTGCGGCTGTTCGGGCAGGTGGAGTTGCTCAGGGCCCATGCAAGTCAACGTCATGGCAAGCGCAAGTGCCTCGTCCGTGCTGCGTACATGCACTCTGTCTCTTAGTCGTTCATACGCAAATGTCTCAGCGAGATGCATATTACGAAAACGCAGCTGTCAGAAGAGCCACTCGCATTGCTGCAACCGCGTTATCAACAAACGGTAACGTCTGCTCCGTATTCCTTCCCTTATCGTGAGCGACGCCGAGGCTAATCTCTTCATCCAGCTGACACCTACTGGGTATTTGGGCAAGGCTGCACAACGCCAGGTAATTTCGCCATCTATTCCAAGACGCACGACTCACCGGCCAACTCTATCCACAGGCGCAGTGTGCATATGCAGGTTGACTCGACTTATGACAGTCCGCCGCAGGCTGTGACAGTATGAAAATGATAGGCCATGATTCGAAGCGGTTATAATGACAAAGGGAGTGTGGCTCGAAGGCCTCGCAGCCAACAACGAAGGAACTTGTCCGTCACAATATTCATGTGCACCCGGCTGCATCCAAACGCTGCCTTGCTGTGCAAGAGCACCACGGCCCCAAATCGTTTCTGTCTTCCATTCCGAACGGCGTCCTGCAACCTCGTCGACCGGTGAGCTTAGGTAGGGGCGCCACAAAGCCGCTAGCTATGCGAGACTGCTTAGACTCTGGCGGGGGCTAGGAAATTATCCAGCTTGATGGTGTCAGCGTGCTCCTCGGATTCTCGCAGCTTATGCTGTTCAGATGGATAAAATTGTCTGCGACCAGGCTGCAAGGTACCGCTGGCCCCCCCAGCAGGTCACAGCGAGGACGCTGATACTTTCAGTCTAGCTCAGAGACTTGCGTCCTATTCTAGCATCTGGTTGAGGGGCCGATTATCAACCTCCGAAGAGCTACTTGTGATCGGTTGCTACCTTATGGGCGTGTGTGCGCGTGTGTGTTCGTATCAATGCCTTTCGACAAACACCTACGTCAGTCAGCCTCGGCATGCCACATTCATGGCTTACGGCCGCAAGTGCTGTTGCATATTAAGGAAACCAACACCAGCCATGCTACGGATGCATTATTCATCCTAGACCTGTCGACTGCTTGGGCCCTGTCATAATTGCTCAACTGCTAGCATAACTAGTTCTTACAACAAGCGTGTAAGTGGGTGAGAGGTAGCATGATTATGACGTGCCGGTAATCCAAGCTACGTTACGCTACGCAGCTAGAATACAAGTAGCAATCGGCTTTCTGAGCTTCTTGCGACTACTAACAGGCTTCAATGAGTTGTGCATGTAATACTACCAGACCATAGCATGGCAGCATATCGTGAGCTCCGCTCCACTTTCTGCTGCGTCTTTACGGAATATTTCTGGTCAGCTCAGCAGGGTCCTGGCTCATCATCAGCCACGCGCTCGTTCCGTTTAAACGTCTTGCTGTCCGACGTACGTCACATGACGGTTATCATGGGTTGTTGCAGCTGAGGATGGTTGCATGTTTATGACATGCCAATATCACAGAGTGCTCCATAGGTAGGTTGAAGCTATGGCGGCCTGCCAAGGAGCGTACGTACTAAGTGCTATAATCTCCGGTACTATTCACACACACTCTCTCTCTGCCCTGGACGCCATTGCTTTTGTTTTTTTGCTGTCTTTGCTTGTATTGACTTTTCTAAATGGAGAAAGACAAGGCTTTGGGGGCCAAAAGTTGCTTTGCTCCACCCATTGCCGTCCTTCGACTCAGCTTGAGCAAACAACAGCCGTGCTTGAAACGTACTATCAATTTTTCTCTGCATACGAAGCGCCGGTGGCGGCAAGGTATGGCGCCAGAATTGGTATTGAAGACATCGACTCTTAACAAGATTGTACGTGAGGGTAAAAAAATAGGGGAAGAGGCTAGTCGACGGGACAATCAGCCGCAAATAGCCTCCACGCTCTGTGTCGAAGCTGCGTGTCCCCTTACTGTAGGTTGCCATGCTTGTAGCTATCCAGCACACTGATGGATCTCTGCTCAGCCTCTCTGCCCAGAACTATTCATTGTCCATATGCACTGAGCCTATTGATGTTAACAATGTCTGTTTTGCTTGCCTAGGGAGCAGGGCCAAACCATGCCGCCCTATGCGAAGGCAGGCAGGAGGATCGTAATCCTTCCCATCAGCACTCAGGTGAAATAATGCATAATATGAAGGGAAAACAAGCACCTGGGCCATTCTCAACCCCTGGGAGTAAGAATGCTGTCTGCTGTAGCAATCATTGCCACCGCTGCACGTCCTTGTACGACCTGGTAATTGCAGTACTGACAGCTCCATTAGAGGGGATGCCGAGCTTGGGCACAACCTTAGCCCCAGCCGCGAAAACAGCCTAAGCACCAGCGTGGCGTGAATATCGCGCTGCGGTCGGGTTTCGATTGCCGCTGCAAACACAGCTCGTTTGGCCGAGTCTCGAGCAGCTTTCGCAACAAAGGCCAACTCATGCTGGAGTTTTGCGAATGGCATTGGAAACAGAATGCAGGTGTACTTTGGTACTCCCAAGGCCAAATCATGTGATCAGGCAGGCAGATAGCACTGGGCTACCAAATCAAGCCAGATGCAGCCGGTTTATGCATGCCAGAAGCTGGGCAGCTCACGTCACAAATCACATCAAGGCATAACGAGTGACACGGCCGGAGTCCTCATCTCTCTAGCTTATGAGGGGCTGAACGAGTCGACTGTCGCTAGCTCTGTGACAAACCGCGCTTGACGGGCACAGAGCAAACAAGGGCTCTCCGGTCGAATGCCTCACGCCTGAAGAGCTTATACGTAGAATAGGTACCCCCTCCAACCCGCCAGAGCCTTCGTTCTGCATTCCTTTTCAAAGCTCTACAGTCTGTTCGCTCAAGCAGTGCCCACTGGCTGATAGCGGCAGTTCCATCTAGACTATACTCCGAGGGCGGCGTGCATCGAGACACAATCGCGGCATGGAGCTCAGCCAGCAGTCAATCCACGATGTCATCCACCCAACAGCAGCATTCACCGATGAGAGTGTCTGGAAGCAGGCTGCCGTCGCAGCTGCCATCCACGACGCCAAGGAGATACCGTGGGAAGAGTCCCTGTTGAATCCCAAGAACCGTATCGATAGTCTTGAACATCTCAAGAAGCCCTTGTGGCGCATCGATGGCTGCACTGCATTTGGAACGCAGTTTTATGCCGTGCCTCTTTTTATGGAGTCGATTCCTCCCTTCCGGATTGACGTATTCATACCTGAGCCAGCGACACTCTCTCCCGAGCTTCGCAACGTGCTTGACATGGGAGTAGCTTTCTACACGAGAGACGAATCTCGCATCTCGCAGCTTGGAGTTACTCAGCATTTGCTCCGACTGCTTCAACATTGGACATCGACCCTGGAAGATCCACGCCAGATATATCAAAACATACCCTTCGGCTCGAGGATCGTCTTCAACAACTTCCCCAAAGATGTCAGCCAAGCTCAGGTATCCATTGCCCCAACGTACTACCTCGAGCGCCAAATGCTGTCTGTGCCATCTTTCCAAAAGATCTGGGGACCCGGAGTAGATCTACCCCAGACAGTCGACATTCACGACGTCGTGTATCTGTCGCAGTTGCACGACAGCGTCTGTCTCATTGAGTATGAGGGAAAAACCTGGATCTTCAAGGCCTTGACGAGCTACACCAAGTACCTCTACCACGAGCTGCGACAGCTTCTCATTATCCAGCCCCATCCTAACGTCATGGCACGGCCCACTCACCTCATCACAAAGAAATGCAGCTTTGGCAGCAAGACAGCCGTCCTCGGATTCACGCTAGAGCTCCACGTCCATGGCAGCTTGCGTGATTTGATCCCCTTCTTGCAAGTACACAATCAGGTATCGCTAGCAGACAAGGCTAAATGGTCCGTCCAACTCGCCTCTGCCTTGGTGCACCTCCGTGAGGCATGCGGCGTCTTCTATCCGGACCTCCGGCTTGATAACATTGTCTTGACGGGATCTGGCGATGTTGTCATGGTCGATTTCGAACAGCGTGGTGTATGGTGCGAGTTCGCAGCACCGGAGGTCAATGCTATCGAGTACGTCCGGCTGCTGGCAATCGATGATGAGATTCCCTCGGAGATCAGAGATAAGTATGCTGCTATCTTGACGAGTATGCTTCCCGGGTGGGAGGAGATGGGTCAAGGAGAAGACTACAGCTGGCCGTGCAAGGGGTACAACGTGCCGTGGGCATGCTTGACCCCTAAAGAACAGGAAGCCTGCGAAGTTTATATGCTGGGTCGAGTTCTCTGGTGCATTTTCGAATCCAACAGCGCTCCCCAGCGAGCTGCCGTGTGGCTCTCCTACCGCTGGGAGCCCTTAGTAGAATTCCCCGGTTACACTCGTACACCACCCGCGATGCGAGATCTCATCGACCGCTGCACCCGTGGCAGACAAGCTGGGCTTACTAGGCTTATCGTCCGCCGTAGGGACAAGCTGGTGCTCCGAGAGTTTGAAAACACAGGAGAATCCACGGCGCAAGAGGTTCAGAACGTTGCGCGCGACTGGTGGGCAAAGGAGATTGCAGACTCCGAAGCATGGCTCCAGGAGCGCGCTGAGGGCATGAAGAGGGGCGACTGGAACGAGAACTACTATGATCGGCCTACTCTACGCGAGGTTCACGATGAGCTGGAGAAGTTCCGTAAGAACACGTTGGGCTAGTTTAGGTGTCTAATAAAAACGCCTGGTCCTGTATGCGAACCGTGGCTCGTGTTTGTGGAGGGGTTTTGAGCCAAGGGTGTTGATGTGATTTGGGGTTTGAGAAGCACATACAACTTTAGACCTAGCATGGCATGGCATAGCACATAACATGTCGCACGGGAAGATACCTAGAAGTAACAAATTGATGATATTTTCGCAGTTCACTTCTTCTTAACTTAATGATTTCATATTGACTGTGGTTTATTTTGACGCTCGTCTAAAAAAGGTTCCGTATAAGTGCTACTCTATATAGCCAGTACAATAATGGTACATTTGCTCCATCCTCAAATGTGATCAAATGAGGGCAAGAATATTAAATAATAGAAACAAGTGATAGAAAAAAGGTTAGAAGCAGTGTCTACACCACGACCAGCGTGGCTAAATCTAGAAGAGAAGAAATAGAAGAAGGAAAAGAAAAGACGCAAAGAAGAAACCCGCCACATAGGTTATACAGTATTCACTTCATTCTCTTAAAGTGTCGATAATTGCTGTCCTCTTCTTCAACCTGCCTCTTCAGACTAGACCCTATAATGGGCGTCCTCAGCCGGCTCAACAGCGATTTGAACTTATCAAAGTACGACAGCGGAGCGCCGAGTCTCCCAATGTCTTCGAATATGGCCTCCAGGCTATGCAGGTGTTGGCTCGCCGCCTCAGGAAGCAAATTAAGCTCCGCTATCACAAAGTCCATATCCCTGTCGCCGATCAGATTGAGATATAGGTTGTGCTCTGTTCGCGTCGTGCCGCGGGTGGGGGAGAAGGCAACGACGGCGTCGTCGAGGACGTCGACGTTTTGGTTGCGGGATACAACGGCGGAGAGGATGTGGACGAGCGTGCGGGCGGCAGAAGTTGCCTCGGAGGGCTGGAGCGGCCGATCGCGTGTGTATATGCACGATTTGATGAGTTTCGTGCAGCCTAGGATGTGTCTTGCTGCCCAAGAGGCGTCTGGTGGCGTTTCTGTCGAAGACGTTGCTGCGGAGGCTGGGTCTGAGGCGTATGAGTCGAAAACGCGGAGCACGCGGTCGACTCGCTGGGAGAGCTTCCTGAACAGGTCGTTGATGGGATCTCTGGGGCGAGATACCGATTGGAAATAATCGAAGAAGTGGTGGTTGTCGAGCAGCATGCGGAGGACTGTGTGGTCTAGATCATTGCGCTTCAGCACTTTCTTTCCGCGAGGCGTGCTGCTGCTGCTGTCAAAGATGTCTGGGCGGAACTCTTCCGGCGGCATCCCATAGACGGCTGATAAGAGTTCTCGAGACTCTTGGACTCGGCAAGATGCCATGTCATCTTTTGAGACGGCTTTTGGGTCGACGACTGGGCAGTGGAGACCATCGGACAGGACGTCAAGGTGATGCTCCGAGATGGCTGTGAAGGGATCGCCGAGCTCCTGCGCGAAGCCATCCTCAGTCATGGTGAGAGGTGTTTTGGGATCGTAATCGTAGAGCGTCTGCTTGGCAAGTCGATCCAGGAGCCATATCAGGTGCGAGCATGGCTCAAGCTCTCCGCCATGCCCGCACGAGCATGTTAGCTGCGAGGCAGACCCGTCGCCAGAAGCGCGGATGCGAACAGACTGGGTGACGAGTTCAGTCATCTGAAAGGCATATGTGTCGTCAATGAGCCGGCATTGCTGCAGGGCAATTGTCGGTGGCTCACTAAAGACCCTTCGTACTGCGTCCTGGGCTTCTTCTGGGAGGTGATCGATGGTGTAGGAGAGCTCAGACGGCGATTGCACAATGGCGGGCAGTTCGTCGTCATCGTCACCGTCATCGTCAGAAATCTCCGAGTACGACTCATAATCAGAGCTTGAATCTTCCACCAGTAGCTCTTGGTGGTGGCCAGCCTCTGAAGCAGCAGGAACACCCGTTCGACTAGTGGCCGACATCTCTTCGAGGGTCAGTCTGCTGAATGGGGCAACTGGTATTGGCATTGAGTTGGCCGTAGGGTGGTTGAAGGAACTCTTTCTCTTTTCGTTATCATTAACCAAAATATGGTTATGGTACAGTAAGAAAGTTAATCAAAAAAGGAAGACTTGACGGTTATATAGAAGGACGCGAAGATATGATGTCAAGGGGGCGGTATGACTTGCTCTAACCAACAACATTAACCAACAGCAAGGGGGATATAGCCGAGCCTCTCTTTACTCATGGGGTTGGTGTAAGGTGGTTATGAGGTAGAATGAACACACTAAACGTGCATAAAACCTCGTAAGGGCAGGAAAGATCTCGTGCTTCTCACTTGTCATTGGACGAGAGGCTATGAGCTTGGAGGGAAGGCTGTCTGCCATAAACTCCATGTCTCGCCACAAGAGAAGCCACCCACCCGGCTCCCTATGCCCAGGGATGTCATCAATGCACCTTGGAAAGGGGCTGTGAGGGAGTCAAAAGGCAGAGAAGCCTAGTACCAGCACAATGGAACGGTCTCTGACTGGCCTGGCGATGCCGGGACTGGGCCGGGGCCTCAGCCGGTGATGTGGGACCCGGCCGGAGGCTGTTGCTATTGGCGGTTCAGCCAGGTCCATAGGATGAACACGTCGTGATACTAGAGTTCGTTCTAATGGAGACTGGGATCTCAATTGCCATCTCCAGCCTCCTATTGGACTCTCCGGATAATCCAGCTGCACCACAACCCACTCTGTCATCGCACATGCCCGGATACATTGTCCCTGGCACCTAATATCACAGGACATGCTATATGCACCAGCATAAGTTCCTGACGTGGCTCCGTCGTTTTGCTCTAGACTGCATATCGTGAGGCTTCTTTGTCCTAAGGTGAACTCATGATCAGCCTCGTCTCCCAGCTCTTGGAAGATACAAACCTGTTCCTGGAGCATGGCCAGGCCGGACGACTGACCTAGCGTGTGCAGCCAAGCCCTTCTGCTGCTATATCGATACCTCGACCTTAGTAGGAGGCCTGAGGCTTTCCATCGTGCTGTTCTCTTGGAAATGGCCTGGAGATGTGAATCAATCAACTGTCAGCCTGCTCCGCGCGGCTCGCTGCAGCTAGAAGATGAGGAGGACTCTGTATCTGCGGCCTCATGTACATGTAGTTTTGAAACCAGCCGGAGACGAACTCCACAAAGGCGACCGCAAAAGAGACCCGAAGCGCTGCGCCACGAACTCGCCTAGGGTCCTCGCTACAGCGCACTCTGGCACTAAAGAGTTGCTGCTTCAGAACCCTCTGCACAGCGCTCCAGGGCCAGACAAGCAGAAGCGACAGCGCTCTCGCAACGCTGCACCGCCCGCCCAATGTCCACTTTGGCCGGCCCGTTTCTGCGGCCCGGTCTCCATCGCGGCGTTGGTCGAAGCCCATGAGCAGTCCATTCGTAATTCACGCTTTCTAGAACACCGCCCGCGAGGCGAGGCCATCTCTGCGACCGGCTTATAAGCTTTGGATGCGACTGAGATTTATTCCCAAAAATACCTCTACGGTAGATGTTCTGGGGGTCTCGAGCCATGTCGGCGGCCCGCAAGGCGTTTTTCTTCCTCTTTCGCCCGGCCATCGAGTAGAGAGGTGTCAGCAAGTGCCGCGCTCTCTCTCAGGTCATCTGAAAGTGAAACGGTGTATCATGTATCATGTTGCCTGTAGCAGGGGGGGAAAACGATGACCAATGTTTCATAGAACAAAGAGAAGGTGTTACGACTACGATTATACGTTGACTAAAGCGGGTAGGAACGTCTATGGACTTTAGTAGTTGCTAGGTTACCATCAAATATTATGTCATATTAGCCACTGGTAGACAGCCATTTGGCGAATAGTTGGTCAATTCCATTTGATTCTATATCGTCTATGTCGTACGTCATTGAGTTCCGGATAGTAGAATACTTTTGAGCAGCTCTTCACCATCTATCACAACGGCAAGGGGCCTGTCTTGGCTGCCAGGCGAATAAAAGCTGCAGCAAATCATAAATATTGAAACTGGCTCACTCAAACGAAAAAAAGAAAACTTCCAGCCCTTCCTTCAGTAAACTTGGTCAAAGGTTGGAATACGCGTGCGCAGTTGGGACATGCTGTTGATTTCTCAGGTCAAGGCCTCGACAGGCAGCAGATGTTCGCTAGTAAACATGGCCGCAAAGTAGGCTCCGTCCAAATTCCGAAAAAACTAAAGCAGTTTATGTGTGACTTGCCGTGTCGTCACTTGCCGTATAAACGCCCTTTGAATTTCCCAGCTCCCCAATCTGAACCCACCCCTTCCATTCCCATAGATATAAGACTCATTTCGTGATTGATTGATTTGTTTTTTTGAGGGGTGACTGAACCGGTGACTACTGGCATTAAGGTGAACAAGATGAAGTTGTGTGCCAGCCAAGGCGGGGAAACAGAAAATAAATAAAACGATAATAGTGCGTATTGTTGTATCACTCCGTGGGCAACGTTTCGAATGCTCGGTTTTTAGGCAAACGACGGTAGAGCTGCGCGTAGTCCTTCTGCAAATCGGACGGCTCGGGTGTGGACGTGCCCACTGCTCGGAGTGGCCTTGGCTGGCGACCTGCCCTTTCGCAGGATTGTTTTGATCTCTGACGAAGAAGAGGAGGACGATGATGATGAGGAAGACCGGCCCGCAGACGAAGAAATGGTCTTCTTCTGCAGGTTGCCTACAGACCGGTCGGATTGTCAATCGATGCCGTGCTGCTTTTTGAGCTGCGCTAAAGATTCCCGACGGGCGTCGAGGTCCTCTTTAGATTTTACCATCTTGTCGGGCTGATGATATAATACTGCACAGACGTGTCAGCAGGGGCGTTGCTAGCGTGAATTAAATAGTAAGCTCGTCCAGGACGCGCCGTCACGTACCAACGAGATAACGGTTCTGGAAGTTGAAACCGTTCAATTTGTCACAGGCTTGCTTCGCATCCATGACATCTTCATAGACTACAAAAGCGGTACCCTTGGTGTTGTTGGCAATGCCTTGACGAACCTGGCTGTTGGGTGGGTTAGCATGGCGTAACTCGACAAAAACAGATATATGGACGACAGCAATGACGATGGCGAGATCGAAGAGGAGCGGGTTCTTGGACATACCGGATAGGTCCGAATTTTCCAAAGAGGTCGAAGAGCTCTTCAGGAGTAACGTTGTAGCTGTGGCAGGTTAGCGTCGGTTGCGTGGCACTCGTCTCGATTCGAGATATCGTAGTCGATGGAGGCATACCTCAGGTTCTTTACGAACAGAGCGCTATAGAAAACTGGTCAGCCAAGGTTCTTTTATGCCGTTCTCTCGGTCATCAAGGCGAGGCGTGCCGGCCTTTCGGTCGGAGATTCGGGGACCGCGAGGCTCGCAGCACGGCCAGACTGGCGATAAGGCCGGAAAAACTCACCGATTGACTTCGGGGGCAAGTTTCCCGCCGCGACTACTCATCTCTTGGATGATTGAGGTTGTGGTGGTGATGCTTCAGACTCGAGTAGGGTCGGAGGTGGCGCCGGAGAGGGAATGCGAAAGATGGATTGGAAACAAGATTCCCGGGTGGAGGCACAAGTCGCAGGACGGCCAGAGAGAATGGGCGATTGCGGGTGGGCCCTGATAGGACGAGCGCACGTGACTCGCCTTTTTCGCCTTATTGTGAGGTACGTACCGGCTCTTGCGGTGCGGCGCCCCCACTTTTAATATTTTCTGGTGGTGCGAATTATTAGCGCTGCTATCAAGACACGTTCGACTGTATCTGCGCTGCCTCGGTGGGAGGAAAAGTACGGCATAGATCGCTTATTGTAGATGGATCTGATAAGCTGTCGCGACGGGCTGTCACGACGACAGTGGAACAAGAATAGAGGGCGGTTTCATTCCCCAAGTTATCCCGCACGCCCACAGATGCTGCTCGCTTCAGCCTGATCGCCGCTACAATTACCCGTGAAATCAGTCACACCATATCAACTCACAGTCGCCTAACCGCGACACAGCGGCCACAGAAGAGGACAGAAACACGGTCTATCAAACCAAAATCCACCCGCGCCGCACAAGCACGCACAATGGCATCACGCGCCAGCCTGCTGCAGCGATTCACGGTGGGGACCAGTCTTTGATGAGTCAGGCGACAGGCCATTCAGGGGGGCAGTCTGGCCATGCACCCCACGAACGTCTCGGCTTTGACGGCCGACCGACCAGCAGAGAATCCATTTGCGGAACAGTCTGATCTTTTGCTACGAGACTAAGACCTATTCGTGCTAACTGCCAACACCAACTCTGCTGTCAAGTCGAGATGGGACGGAAAGAGTATCTTGGCCTGGACATATCTGCTTATCTTATCTCTAGATAAGAGATGCATTCAGCCACTGCTTCAAGCCTCATGCGTAATTAACTGGGTATATTTCGCTTCAACGACGAATGACGTTGAGAATGGACCGTATCGGTGCCGTTAAAGTGGCCATACGTGAGCCATTAACCCTACGTTTTCATGGCTGAGGAATAAACTATGAGCGCAACATCAGCCCGAAACGGAATACAATGCATTACCTACCTAGGCATGAGTAAAAAAATTGCAGCCTCAAACATGATACATCATAATAGAAACGTACCTACTTAGAAAAAAGGGGAACTTATACTTTTTATAAGGTTAAGGTAGGCAATGTTCTAGAAAGGAGGCATTTTCTAGACCTGATATAGCGCCGTGCAGTGCACTTAGTGGAGGTGAGTCTATAGTGAAGGCCTTAACGACGGCCGTTTTCAAAGCAACAAACCGCTCCTTATTCAGCTGTTTACTCAGCACATTTCCTCCATGATTTTGAAATCCTTTTAGATGCATTTCCCTTTCCTCTATTTCAAAGGTGCATGTGTTATTTAATAAACATTGCTATAATGGTAGCTTATTTATCTCGCCTTACTTCTATCAAAACTGTTTTTACTGGACATCGAGTATCGGAGCCGCGTACACTGAGTTGCGCTCCATGAATTGCAGCGCTATGTCGACGTCTTTCGGCCAGAGTATTTTATCAGTGTTTGATGTCTGGGAGGACTCGCTAGCATTTCTTTCTGAAATACTAGAGTCTAGAGAGGCGCCAACCGATGAAATACAAAGTCTCTTTGACCAGAGCCTCGCTGGAGGTGCAGAGGACTGGCATTGCCTGATCGACTGTGCACGGTCAATGCGATGCATGCATGATCACGATCCTGACAGCCTTAACGGCAGCGACATCCTAACTTTTGTTTGTGAGATACTCAATGGACGCCACGGAGAGCCATCCCCTCCCGAGGCTTGGGGAGAGACGGATCGCCTGATTGCGCTCGCGAAAGACTTGGAGAGAGATGTTGAGATCTTACCACCCTCGTATCCTGCTTCGCAGCAAGCTCAGGAGATTGAATCAAGAAGACCACGCGTCAAAAAAACGCGACTAGGAGTAACATCTCATTACTGGGCTGACAGGCCTTCGACCCAAAGTGGCAGCATAAAGAGCGAGCAGAGCACGCGTTTGGACCGTTCTGTACCTGGATCCGGCTATCGCCAATGCAGCCAAGCACGATTACACGAGGAGGCCATCCATCCGGGCACGAGTACTTTCATTGACGCTGTTGGTTTTGACGACCCACCTTCAAATATCGTGGCGTCACTCGACTGTCCCCGCTTGAATAACCTAAGGTACTCTCATACCTTATGGAAATCAGAGGATGAGAGGAAACCACCAAGAAGCCAACGCTCTGCTGAATCACCATACTTCTCGCAGAAACCGTCAGCAAGCAACAGTCCATCAAAAACACGGCCGCCACCGGGTACTATTTCATGTATTCCGTTTCCTCCTCTTGATTCATCGTCGTTTGGGATAATTCAAGAGGAGCTGGCCCATGACCCATTTTGGTTACTCATCGCAATCACGTTTCTGATCAAGACGAACGGGAAACTAGCTCTGCCTGTTTTTCGTCAGGTGAGAGAGCGATTTCCTATGCCGGCTGAGCTATTAGATCCGTCCATCGAAGGAGAGCTCCTTGACATGATACGCCACCTGGGCCTTCCCAACGTGCGGCTAGCATATATCCAAAGGTATGCAAAGGCATTTATAGAAAACCCTCCCAAGGCTGGCGTACGGCATAGAGTGAGGAACTATGACAAACGTGCTATCAGTCCTCTGTGGAGAGATACCAGCAGCGGCGACTGTGAAGATCCGGAGAGGTCGCATCCACTACCTGATGGCGACAATCAGGATCTCGAAACATGGGAGATTGGACATATGACTCAGGGCAAGTATGCCATCGACAGCTGGCGCATATTTTGTCGCGACGAGTTGCTGGGTCGAGCCGAAGACTGGAACGGGAAAGGCCGGGAGCCGGAGTTTCAACCTGAATGGATGAGAGTGAAACCAAGCGACAAGGAGCTCCGAGCCTGTCTACGATGGATGTGGATGCGCGAAGGCTGGGAATGGGACCCAGCGACGGGAGAACGCACGGTATTGAGGGAGGAGATGCGAAGGGCTGTGAACGAAGGGAGGGTTGAGTATGATGATACTGGCGCACTGAGAATATTGGCCGAGTCGAGCGATGAAGATGTCATGGAGATGGCATGAAGAAAGCAGGAGGAATCTAACAGCAAGTTTATAAGCGTATATTAATCGGAGAGAGAAGATATGGGATGAACCATTTAAGCACTTTGATTAGATGGATGTCACATAGACGCATGTTGGAGATAGACATTTGTTAGTCTTGGCATTTGGATAATTCGCGTTATCAAAGGACAGAGAATAACTGTAGATACATATGTAAGTGAAGCGCCGAATTTTCCCCGGCTATGAATGACAAGAAGAGTGACAAACTCACGTCATTAATCATGCAGAGAAGATAAGACGACTTTGACAGGGAGCTGCCGCATCTGATCCGATTTAGGCTTGCCTGTTACGCGCATTCAAAACAAATGACACATGTCTCATCACTGCCAATAGCGCAGTTGCGGAGTATGTGTTTCAAGGGACTTTGGCAGGGCTCCGCGATTTAGCACGGTACCTACCTGCTTTGTTTAGGGCACCGCAACCGAAGTTCCCGCATTTTGCATCATTATTCCAGCCATTGTACAAGAGGAGAAGAGCGCCGGAATCTCTCCAAGTGGACCGGGTCTAGCGGTCCCGTAGGCGCCACTGCTACTTGCGATTGTTTACCTAGGTAGGCAGGTGGGCACTTGGGCATTCTTCTTTACACATGGAGGCAGAGGACATTTGGTTCGACGAAGTCGTCTACGCAGTTTCTCGCAAATGAGGAATGCAGATGATTCTTCCAACGAGGCGTCGGTTTGCATTACATGGTGTTGTCGTTCTTCCTGTGGGGGAACTATGCAGACGACATTGTCCACCTGTAAGTCAATCTTGAGGAACACAAGGAGCAGCTTTCCATTGACATGGGTAAAGAAGCCTCTGTCATGCTGCGCCAAAAGAAGAAGGGGGGAACAATATATACAATAGCAAAACTAGGTAGATACTTAGTAAATATGAGATTTCAGAAGGCAAGGGTACCTGTGGGTTTCAAGATTAGGTCTTGTTGGGAAAGCTTGGTTGAATAGGGATCCTCAATAGAAGATGCGGCTGTGCGTCACATGCTAACTACGTTAGACATGGTCAGAGACCAGATGTACAGCAGCGCACAGGTTTAATTCAAACTTGCCTGCCTGTCCACTAACTGTTATGGAACCTAATTTCCCAAGAAAAAAAAAATCAAACACAACGCACACTCAGGAGCTTCTCATGTGTAACAAATCCTTCTGATCAATGTTCTGCTGTGTCAGCGGAAACAGAAAAGAGAAATAAATCCTGCCACTACCAAGAATAACCTGATGCCAAGAACTTTTGCCGCGATAGCTAGTGGTACCTTCTATTATCTTAGTAGTAGTTTATTTTTGGCGCCTCTCACCCCGCTTGCCGCATTGCGTACAGGTACTAGATCCGGCAGCCCGCAATGGCGCTCACGTAGGTATCACTACTGCAGTGCTGCAAGCATGCAAATAGCCTGCCTGGAAAACCTTGAATCGGGGCCGGTTCACGCCTCGCCACAGGGCCCCAATTAGGGAGGTCCAGCTGCTGCTGACCCGGACGCAGCTGTATTAGGGATCTAGTATTACTTGCTCGCTGCTTGGGGGGGTTCTACGGGACGTGTCAAGCTCAGGTAAGTCAAAACGCCGCCGTCAGAGGTTGGCGCGCTACCTGCTAGCACTGTACCGCAGGTACCGGCAGCAGGCATTCGCCTGGTATGTACAAGCCTCCCTCGGCAAAGCTACATGCCGTCGCGCACAGCTTCGCGCCGGCCACAAGTCCTTGGAGGGGCCATCGCAGGTACCTGCGCAAGAGACGAAAAAGCCAAAGCTGGGGATCATCCATTGATTCGACTCCACCACCTGGTAAAAAGTGGACACCTCGGGACCTGCAACATCACGGGATTTGGAAAGGACACAGTGGTATGTAGCAGGATAATCCGAGCGCTTTTGAGGTCATAGCCATCACAAACTTATCCCCCTTCGCCCCTCCTCTGGCTGCAATTTCGCTTCTGCTTCTCCGTCGCACAATTGTCCTCATCCCATTCAATTCGACCATCGGTGCTTGTTCTGAGCTGCCTCGGGCGCGCTGCTGCTTGTTGATCTTGCCAGCTCTTTTGCTTTGGTGCCCCCCCGGATCGGATCGCATCTCATCTCATCGCATCGCGCTGCACCGAAAAGCTCTTCTTTCACTTCCCCAGGGAGCTCCAATTCGCCCAAGTCGCTGAATAGGGCCCGCAGCCGTCGACAACACCCCCGAGAGGCAGACGAGGAAGCAAGGCCGAGCTTGGAATAGGAAGAAAAAGTCACAGGACAGCTCTGGTCAAAATGTCGCACCGTGGTCCTTCTGGCTATGGCATTGGTGGCCCCAGCGCCTATCCTGGCGGCGGCGGAGGTGTTGGCGTTTCTGACGAGTCCAATGGAGGCAGCATCTTGGATCAGCTGCGGCCGTACACCAGCAAAGTCGAGGATATCCTGGACACCGCCAGCGAGCCCATCAAGCCGTAAGTTGTCACGATCACGTAGGTAGAGGGGTCAAGCAGCTAACGCGCCGGCGCATTGTAGGTATCTGCCTGCTATTGGAAGATTTCTGATCGTCGTTACCTTCCTCGAGGATGCGCTCCGAATCATCACCCAATGGAGCGACCAGCTGCTGTACCTTCACGACTACCGCCACAGTAAGAATTGGCCCCAGCACATTCGCACATGTCCCAATGTGCAGTATTCTGGAATGTATGAGCTAACACGTTGACAAGTTCCATCCGGAATCACTCATATCTTCCTCCTCTTCAACGTCGTCGCCATGGTCTCCTGCTCCACCCTCGTCATCGCCAGAAAGTACTCTGATTACGCTGTTGGAGGTCTCATGAGCGTTGTAGTTATTCAGGCTTTCGGCTACGGCTTGATCTTCGATCTCAACTTCTTCCTGCGAAACCTGTCCGTCATTGGTGGCCTCCTCATGGTCCTCTCTGACTCTTGGGTCCGCAAGACCAAGGCCTTTGCTGGTCTCCCCACCTTGGACGAGAAGGACAAGAAGATGTACTTCCAGCTGGCCGGTCGCGTTCTCCTCATCTTCCTCTTCATTGGCTTCGTCTTCAGCGGCGAATGGTCCTTCTGGCGCGTCCTTGTCTGCATCCTTGGCGCTGGCGCCTGCGTCATGGTCGTTGTGGGCTTCAAGGCCAAGTACAGTGCTACGCTGCTCGTTGTCATCCTGAGCGGCTTCAACCTGTTGGTGAACAACTTCTGGACTGTAAGTTTTCTGCGCTGCTTTCTCTTCTCTACGTGTTTAGCTAACATGATGCTTCCTATAGCTTCACGAGCACCACCCCCACAAGGACTTTGCCAAGTACGATTTCTTCCAGATTCTGTCCATCGTCGGCGGTCTGCTTCTCCTGGTCAACAGTGGCCCCGGCCAGTTCAGTATCGATGAGAAGAAGAAGGTTTACTAAATCCGAAGAAAACAAAAATACGGACAACCCCCGATGTTTGGATTTGATGGCACGTGAGCAACACTGCTCTTCTACGATCTGGAATTGCATCACAAAAACTCTTTGTTGGAGTTATTTTTTTCTACCTTTTTTTGGGTCGTCTGGGATCAATGGGAAGTGGATTTGCTGGTATGAGTCTACATGATGAAGTATGGACCTTTTAGGATGTTGCAAGTTATGCACATACTACATAGAGAAGAAAACGAAAAACGGTATCTATGTCGGGAGTCACGGAGGGAGAAAGGAATCAGGAAACATAAAAAAAAATCTGTTAACTCTATGCATACGTTTTATGCCAAGCTTTATTCATGGTATATTGGCCACGATGTGAATGCGGGCTTAACATGCCTGGCTTTAAGGCCATGTATCGATTCTGTTCGCCCAAAAATCTCAAAGGTATAGTTATTTTAGTGTATGTTGATGCTATTGCTTGATACGACATTGCTGCTCCTCTATCTCACTTTTATTACTGTCATCAAAGTCTAAGTATATCATGTCCTCCTCTTCTTCATCTTCTTCATCTACCTCGTATGCATCCCGTCTATCTCCTTCAATGCACAACCAAACACGGGTTTTAAATGGCTTTAGATCACCGATTTTTCGGCTTGATGGCCACCCACGCTTAATCTTGCGGTAGAGAAGAGCGCACACTCTTTCACCCGGAAATTCGACAGAGACTTGCGCGCTGGAAGATGTTTGACCATGGCCATGCACTATATTGAGAGCGAAAATAGTAGCCTAAGAGTAACCGTGCCAGAGACTATAAGTGAAGAAAGCTCGGCAATTTTAAAATTACTTATAACTTATTGGTCCTGAGCTGACCCTATAGTGATGCCCGGGTTGGTCAACGTTTAAAGGCCAACTACCATCTAAATCTTCTCGTGGTGCAGTGCAGCCATTTCGATTCAAGATTTCGTCTCAGGTAAGCTAATAGCTTTGTCAAACCACGAAGTAGAATTATCAAGCGATTATTCGCTGTCATTGGCTTCGTCATTTGAATCTTGAGATTGGTAACGCTAGAATGTTTAATGGACCGCCCATACCTATCACAGTTGTTACTACATTGCTCGCAGAACGATACGATGAAAGAGGCAGCACAGAAGCATTAGAAGAGGCGATAAAAATTATGGAAGAATATGTTGAAGCAGATAATCAAGGCCATGCACCACTATTTGGGCTCCTTGGAATTAAATTTCTAAACCGCGTTACTGCGAAGCGAGACAGGAGGTTTCGCGCATGGCAGAAAATTTTCACAAAACCATTTTATTTTTTGCAATCTATGGTGATAGAGGAAGTATGTTGCATTAATCACTTCATTGACTTGCAAATCCTCGATAAAATCCTTTCCCATCGATACGAAGAGACATGCCAGATAGCACATCTCACTACAGCGGTTTCTTCTGAAGAAAGTCTGTTTTGCTCTCACCGGAGAATCATCCCAAAATCATATACGCGTACTGCAGTCCCGGATGGATGTTTTGCAAGCTATTTAACAGGACAAAAGATGTTGAAAAGAACCATGAGATGAGACTCATTTTCTTCTTGCGTGGCGAGAAATTTCCAATAGGCAATCCGTCCATCGAGCTAGTTGTGGTATTGGCGCACTTATAGTTCTCCTTGCACTGCGGATGGATGGTCGCGCTATAGATGTTGGAATCGCTGTTATTAATTTGCTCTCAAACCTTCAATGACGGTCTCTCAGCCTAACCGACCAAGAGTGCCTCGTGTTAATGTTTAAAGGTAGCGTCTGTTCTATTTCTCGTGCTTCTTTCTTCTACGCGCCGCCTATACAAAGCATTTTAGTATTTTGAACAGGGCCGTGCAGTCACTATCAGCCAGATGATAGACGATCGCAGCGATTCGTCAATCCTTCAGCAGAGTCGCCTTATAATTGCCGGTCGGTATCAGTGACTTGTTAATGGAGTTAGTTCTATGTACCAGTCCCGGGGAGAATCACAGGAGTATTCTCGAGAAACACCGACATTAAGTAAATGAACTTGACCAATGCTTGATAAGATTAGGGCTCTCTTTTGGTTACGAGCGCTTGTTGATGGGGAAAACTGCTAGAGACCTGCATCAACATCAACGTGTAGGGGAGGGAAAAACCGTCATTGTAAATGTAATGCCCACCCGCAATGATTCCTTTCTCATTTGTTTGGCTCTGGGAAAGTTGTGTTAAGCGCATCATAAACATAATCAAGCTCATACGAGCCAATCTGAAGAAGGGTCTACCCAAAGTTTGGAGGATAGGCGGCAGCTTCGGAAGCCAGATATCTTTTCACGATGCGGGATACCATGAGCATGGAGCTCTGGATAATGCCTGGTCTATGGTAATATCATCATATACACCGTCAATCAAAGCACTCGAACATTCTCATTTCCAATTGAGGCGGGCGAAAGGAGTACAACCAGGATACTTATGAATCTAATGCAAACTACTCCAAAAAGGGCAAATGAGAAAAAGGCTTTCAAGCCTCTTCATGATATACTGAGAGAAAAAGATGAGATCATGCCAATAGCTCAGGTTAACGTCGACACTGCTGGGCTTGATCATCCTAGTGTAAAGTCTTGAGTGCCCTCGAAGAAGCTTTTATTGCCCACTTTGCCTGCCATGGAATATCTGATAAAGACGTTCCACCCAATGGCGGCCTAATTCTGCAGCGCAGTGACGCACCCGGCCGCCATATACAGCAGATCATCTGGCGGTTCAGGATATTACCCGTCTCGGACTCACTCATGCCAGAATCGCTCATCTCTCAGGTTGCTCAACTGCAGAAAATGAAAAACACAATAACGGATGAGGTTACCCATATTATGAGTGGATTCCAAGTGGCTGGATAACCTCATGTTGTAGGATATCTTTGGCCAGCTGCAGATGAAGTTTTGTGTAAAAATGCCGCGGAGTTTGACCCTCTGCCCTTAGTTAAAGATGGGAAAAAATGCTATGGACGAAGATTTTGCATGATATCTTCAGAAACTGGCGATGAAAGCACGAGAAGAATCTCCTACCACACCACACTCGAATAGGCGTAACTTGTGCATTACGGGACATAAGGCACAGTGTCGCATAAAATGTATTCAAGGTAAATTCCATGGTATAGCAAAATGACTGAGAATCTTGGGTGACTTGATAGCTAATATCCGATCTTATGATGATGGACATTACACGGTTTCTAAACAAAGAACTCGAATCGTCAGAGCAACCCAAGCTTTCACGGCTTGCCACTAAGCACGGGCCGAAAGTTAGGGCCGGCCCGGCCCGGCTCAAGTGCTCTTTGAGATGCTTCTTAACGGAAGTTGCTCGATATACCTAGAAACTGTCGAATTTAAACGACGTTGTGTGTATAATGTCGAGCAGCAACGCTAGGGGCGTCAGCGTCAAAATCATCACGATAGAAATCCAAACAATCCTAAAGCCACAGCTCAATTTCAGCTAGTAGTCTTCTAATACTATTCACTAAACGAATTTGACACTGGGATGAATTTCCAACTTTGGGCTACGCTTGGTTACATTTTGCTCTTAACGTATTATTATTTTAGTTTATCTGGGAGAATACCCTCAAGAAGGCATCAATTCTGCCTCGTCCACTATCACCTCTAAAATAGACTGCTCATTTGTAAACCACAATTGAAGGGTCCCACGCATCGGAAAACATGACCACCCCACTTCGCCATGCTTATGTTCAGACTGGTAAGAACTGCTGACTTTTATCCCTTTCAACTCAATAGACGTTCCTGAACGGTTACGCGTGACTTGAGTAAAGCACAAGCATGCAGGGCTCTTGTAAGTGCATACTGGATCCACGCCAATTCGGCATTCGCCGAGGGCACGCTGGGAACCATTACCGTATTCAGCGAGTATCCCCCGACAGAGGCCAGTTTCAGCATCCGAATATATCTGTAAAAGCACTATGCCCTCCAGGGGAGCAGATGAGAAACATGCTTCCTGGAAAGGAGCCTTACTAAGCCGGGCAAATGGTGTTATCTCACTGCTCTCGTTAGGATAAGCACTCATTGCCGATATAGCCGCAAGTTCCGCCACGTTAAAGATGAGCAGCAGCTGTTCTTTCACAGGCCATATGAAATCTTGCGTCGGCCCTAGAAAACGAGGCCCGACTATAACATCGCCAGCCAGTTCAAAGCGAAACTATACGAGTTAAAAAGGCAGCCAGGCTCGGAGGAAAAGGGAATACCGTACCAAGTAAGAATAGTCAGCTGCAGCCCATGGGGACCTCGTGAACTTATGCGGAGCCCGGATGCCAAAGTGGGTAATCCGATCTTTTGAAGGGAGAGGAACGTAGATCCAAGCAGCGTGGCGTTGTCGTTGGCGTGAAATGCGATCAAACGTTGTTTCAGGGTGAGATCGTCTACGTGTGTGGCCGTGTACGGCGAGGGTGGATCCATTTGCTACGAAGAATGTGAGAGCATTCGCTTTTCTTAGATCAATTGAGGCAAACTGGGTGGTGCCTGTGATCCTTGGCATATTCTGGAGGCTTTCTAAAGACGGCGGCGTTGGCGTGTCCCAGAGCTGAAGATCGACTGAATCCTTTGGCACATCTAAGCGCCCCAGACCCGACTGCGGTGTGTTAATAAGGTTGCATACATGCTGGAATATGATGAGATAGTATAACGTACTTGGAATTGCACTGTTACGTCTCTTAATCGCTCTTGCGCCTCTATGATATAAACTTCTGTATCCGATCGTTTACCGGCAAATGGAGGGTTGTCCACCAGCCTCTCAATTCGTTTTAAGCCCCAGCAGTCAATTGTAATCCTCACGATGGGATGGAGGCTCTCATTGACCACGGCATGTCCACCTCGCTCCCACGAAGCGATTTCGGAGAGTGGCAGTGATTGTGGCCAGCTCTGTTCTTGGCTATTTAAATCAGCCGCCAGATCAATAATAGCACGATAGCGGCCAAGAGGGCTTGGTTGAGCATATTCCCCTATCATATGCAATATCTCAGCTGGGACGGCCGTCAGTTGGGGCAGGGAGCAAGCTGTTGCTGCAAGCTGCATCGTTTTGCTTGCATCGACATCAGGGAATAATCGAAGGGATGGGGCTCCGTGCCAAGGTCTTCTCCACGTCGCCGTCAACCACAGGCGATACAGCGAATCGTTATTGTTGCAATGTAGTCGAAATAAATTGTAACAATCGACGTGGATCGTTGCGGCGTCCGCGGCTCCATCGTTACATTGAGAGCACGAGGGTTTGCGGCAGAAGTACCAGTCGATATCTGGCGCTGTATCATCACTGGCACCGTAGTCAGGGAAAGTGTAGGCATTGATGACTTGAACAGAGCGACTCTTGCGAATGGCTGTGCTGAAGCATTAGCAATGACCGAATAGGCTTAAATGAGGCTGTGGAAACATATCAGTACCCGCAACGATCTTCTGCCCAAGCCTGAAGTCATCACCACAGGCTCCGCAACGGGGATGCAAAGAGATGTGCGGCCGAGTCATGATGGAACTGGCTGAATATTATCAACTTTATGTGCAAATTTGGCGATGGTCAAAGCTGAAGTTCTCGTTGTTCTGGCAATTATTTATAGTAGGAAGACGGGAAAACGTCATCCGTCCAGCACGAGACTCCATTTCAGTTGGAATGCAGCAACGCCACAAGAAATATACTTTATGCAGACTCAATCCGGGCGAGAGCAGCATTCGCCAGAAGAGGCAATATTGTTGGTCGCTGATAGCACATGTACGTCGTACCTATGGAAGGATCAGATGCCGTGCTTGTCAGGGAGCACGAACGAGTCACAGGGGTTGGTGGGACGCCCTATAGTGGTATTGTGAAGAAGAAGTAATACAAATGCTCCACATTATTTTACAAGTGATATAGTAATGGAGAAATAAAATGGTAAACTTGATCGGGTGTTGTACAGCGTATAAGAAGTGCATGTTTTTATTATGTACATTACTATTATGCTACACAAACGTCATGGAATAGTATCAAGGTTGATATTCAAAGTACAAGCATACAGGGATCCTTACTGCCTTAGTACCTACCTACTTGACACACTCTTCAAATACATTTACTTATAGTAAACATACAAAGTCAAATGCACATACACATATACACATATCTAAATGTACCTGATTCATATAGAATGCTAAATAGAAAGCTATTTTTATTGTATATTAGCATAGAGTTATTTTTGCATGTGAAATGTCGAGTTTTGAGATCCTAGAGTACATGTACTATACTAGGTTAAAAGACATCTTGTTTTGGCGGGGCGGATCTCATTTTAGCCCACACCTTGATTCTAGCAATGGCTGATTAAGGAAAATAATCGCAAACTCCTTTCGTGGGATGCTAAAGGGAGGGGGGGGCCGCCATCTAGAAGTGAAATCCTCCGAAAGGCTAGCAAATCCGAGACTAGCAATAAAATTCCCGTTGCGAATTTCGGGATATAATACTCCGTATGAGTCCAAGGCCATATCGATACATCAAGACATCACCTCTCAGGCGCTGGAAAGTCGTTGGCCCAGCCGACTGTGTCAGCTTGCCATATACCTATTAGTATACCTACCTATATTAGGTCATTGGTATTAGTACTACCCCGACGGCGTGTAACGCATTGCCGCTTCTACTGACCGTTTTTGTCAACTCCCATTAGTCAGACGGTATCATTCATATAAACTCCTCAGTGGGAATCATGTTCCATCTAAACCTCGACTCAAATGATTCACTCTTACTAAATCTCTCTATATATATCTCCATCCAGAAAAGACGCTGTCGTCATTCCTAGGCTTCATTTTTGTGCCTCAGGTTGAGTGATGCTGAATCGCCGGCATCGAGTTCAAGAAGACAACTTCAATAACGGGGCACTGAGTTTTCTTCGCCACCTTACTGCGGATGCAATGCGTCAAGTGATGATATTGTATAGGTAGTTGACACGGGCTTTACCGCACTATGATGCTAGCCGTATCCTGTGTCCCATGCTATGTTTAGAGAGTTGCGGATTTTATATGCCCTGCCCACTGCTCATCTTGAAAATTGGAGACGTCGGAGATAGTAACATTATTTTAGTGTTAGAGAGTGCTAAACCCAGCGCAGTCTACATGTGGTGAGCGGTCAGGACAATGTGGATACAGCACATAATAGTCTAAATAGCAGCAGAAACAGGGATAAAAAACAATTGAGGCTGAGCCGAAAGCCGCTTATTATGCGATGGAACTTTTTGGGCTTCATTTCCTGAAACAGTTTTTTTTTTTTTTGTCTTCTTTCCCCCTGTGCTTTTTTCTTCTTTTTTGTTCTTCTCTCCTTGTGAAATCCGCTTCTCATAGCCAAGGGGCCATCCATCGCGCGATCGCCAAGAGACCAAGTGGTCTCCTCTCTGCCTCTCCACTACCTGAAACCTGCATCTATCCATCCGGCCGGGGTTACAGCGCTGCAACATCCCCAATGGCGGAAGCACTGGGCACCGCCATTGGCGTGATTGGCTTCATCGGCCAGCTGTTTGACGGTTGCGTCAAGGCCTACGGCTACTTCACCACGGCGGCCAATCTGGATGCCGACAGCCAGCGGATGCTGTGCAAGGTGCGCATCGAGGAGATGCGCCTGACGGTCTGGGGCCGGGAATGGGGCGTCGCCGAGGGCAAGTTTGATGCGCATCTGAGCGAGAGGAATCCGCAGCTGCGGGTGTTGGCGACGCAGATCCTGGAGCAGCTTCACGGCACGGTGACGGACTTCAGGAAGCTGCAGGATCGGTATGGCCTGGTGGGAGAGGAGGCTGCGGCGGAGAAGAATGGCAGCTACGAGTCCATGGGTGACGATGAGAAGAAGTACAAGACGAATGGAGCGTCAAAGAGGAGCACGAGCACGAATGAGAGGAGCTGGAGGAGGGAGCTTGGGTTGAGGACAAAGTGGGTGATAGGAGGTAAGGGCGTCATCTAGCATCTCTGCGTGCGAGTGAGTGTGAGAGTGAGAGTGAGAGTGAGAGAGCATGAGGGTGATGACGATACGACGACATATATACTCACACATGGCCCCCTCACAGACAAGGACAAGTTCACCAATCTCCTCAAAGACCTCAAAGGCACGTATAAGCCCCCATCCACACACCAACAAGAAACAAGCTGCTAACATCAAGCCCCCCAAAAAAAAGACTTCAACGACGGCCTCGAACGCCTCTTCCCCCCCTCCCAAGTGCCCTCCTTCCAGCGCGCCTGGACTCACCAGCTCCTCGACCGCGCCCAGCGCGACCTCGCCGAGCTCTCGCTCCTCGAAAACGCCTCCTCGGGCATCTACCCGCAGCTCACCAAATCCGCCACCCTCAAGAAGCTGCGCATCAACCTCGACAGCAAGCCCCAGTCGTCCTTCAGGCCGACCTTCGCCCTCAAAGTCGACCGCTCCTCGCTGGCCATCAGCCAAGTCGTCGTCGACAAAGGCAGCAGCAGCAGCAGCAACGCCGATCACCAGCGCCGCTGCCACGGCCACCACAACGTCGCGGGCGACGTCCTCGTCGAATGGGTCGACTACGACCGCGAGGCCATCGACGAGCGCGTCGCCCACGTCCGCCGGATGGACGACCTGGCGCGCATGATGCACTCCGCGTCGGAATGCCACCCGGACCTGCACAGCATCGACTGCCTCGGCTACACGGACGACTCGACCAACAGCCGCTACGGCCTCGTCTACAAGGCGCCCGCCTCGTCCCACTCGACCCTCAAGACGCTCATCTCCAGCCCGGACCTCAAGACGCCGGACCTCGACGAGCGCATCCACCTCGCCCGGACGCTCGCCGTGGCCGTCTGGTCGCTGCACTCGCTCGACTGGCTGCACAAGTCGCTCTGCAGCTCCAACGTGCTCTTCTTCCCGTCCGCCTTCTCCACGTCGGCAAACTCGCCCACCGCCTCGGCCGCCCTCGTGCCGGACATCTCCCACCCGTACCTCAGCGGCTTCGACGCCTCCCGCCCGGAACTCGACACCGCGCTGTCCGTGGCGCCCAAGAACCCGTCCATCGGCGATCTGCACCGCCACCCGGGCTCTCTGCGCGGCAGCCCGCACATCAAGTCCTTTGACATCTACAGCTTCGGGCTGGTGCTTCTCGAGATTGGGCTGTGGAAGGTCCTGCAGGCGTACTACAAGGCGCACTACTCTGCCGAGCGCTGGCGCGATAAGGTCGTGCTGGCGGTGCTGGTTCCCGCGCTGGGGAGTAAAGTTGGCAAGCGGTACAAGGAAGTTGTGGAAATGTGTCTCCGGGTGGATGAGGATATGACGAGTATCGAGGCTGGGGAGTTGATGGAAGAGGTCGTGAGTAAGCTGGAGAGCATCCGGGTGTAATACGATTTTTATGATGATTCGATGACGACTGAAAGAGCATGATGATAATGAACGAATCAGCATAGCATAATGGCAATGATGAGATGGCAAAAGCGCATATAACAAGCATATAGACGAGCTGGTATTATTGGTTATGGGAAAAGAAATGCTAATGTTATTTATTACCGTCTAAACTTTCAATCACAAGAACACAAAGTCACAGCCCAAAGAGATTGATTCTTTAATGCAAAGTTCAGTTGATAATTAATTAGAAAAGTTGATTGAATATCATGCACAAAATTGATATATGAACAAACACCCCCCCACCACCACTTGCCCTTATTTCATAATTAGGACAAGCAACCGACAGCAGCAATGTTGCATTACCCAAATGCTCAATTCCACACTCGTTAGACCAAGTCGGTAGTCGTATTAACCAAAGAAAAGATAAGAAGTATGAAGGGCAAGAAGAGAAGAGGAAGGAGAAGAAAGAGAAGAGATAACAGGAAAAGAGCTTGAAACCGTTAAAAAAAAAAGGATAACCAGTACCATGCTAGAAAGAAAAAAACGTTGAGAGAAAAAAAGACCAATATACCCCAGATTCGTCCGTTCCCTTTCCGTCCATTGCGCCATCGCCGTCGTAGCTTTCTTGTTCCTCGTTCTCTCTCTCTCTCTCTCTCTTCAGCCTATGTTAGCTTTTCTTCTTTGCCCCCCCTCTTCCTCTTCATCTTCAGCTTCCCTCTGTCAACTTATGGAAAGTGGACAATGCTTGGATGCAGTGAGAGCGTTAGAAGGTGCCTCCTAGTCCAAAACTCGCAAATGCAACAACTTCCAGCGTTGTAGTAGCGGTGGTAGTGGTGGTGGTGGTGTTGGTGATATGGTGGTATAAAAGTCATCCTGCTTCTCGCCCGTCGCGCCTTGGAAAACTAAAACGCCCGTGTATATGCATACGCATGAATCGCTCGTAATAGAATAAAACGTGAAGTCATGATCGTTAAGATGAAAAGTTTACAAGGTGCTCAGCCATTTCCTTGTGAATGGCCGTTCCGGCTCGTCGCCTGGTCACGGTTGCCTAAGACGTGCCAGAGACTCTTCGAGCGGTCGACGAAGCCGCTGGTGATACGCCTGCTCCGGCGCTCCCAACACGGCCACTGGTCTTGCGGACACCAGCAGATTCCTTGGACCGCAACGGTGAATCCGCAGCTTGCCGTCTCGCGCGGACCTTGGCAAGTGTACCAGACTGGCTGGGGGGCCGTTCCGCAGATTTAGGCTTCACAGTGCCAATGTTCTCGGCATCAAAAGAAGCGTCGTTATCGATCACGAAGCTCGTGTTCTGACTTGTCGACGTCTTTTCGGCAGTTCGGTTTGATGATTGGGCCGCTTTGCGTTGTTTTCGCATCCGCAAATGGTGCAGCTGCTCTTCCTCCGACTCTGGGTTCCCCTGGGATCGGCGTTGAGGCGGCGCCGCAGCAGCAGCAGCAGCCTCTGCCGCTTGTGCCAAAATCTGTTCCTCAGACCCCGATCTGCCATATGGATGATGGCGATCCCGTGCTGCCTTTCGCGGCTGGCCAGGCGTTGGCGCTGGCAGATAGTCCTCATGCACTCCGACATTGCTGCGGTCGTGGTCCACCTCGCTGAGTGGCGTGCGGTTGGATGGGCTGCGGTTGGACGGTGTCGCCGCCTGAGCGTTTCGCGAAACTTTTGTGGCTCGCATAGGTGTGCTTGGTACTTGGTGACCGCCAGCGGCAGCGGCAGCGGCAAACTCCCTTCTGAGCTTTCGCTCGATGCGCTCTTCGATCCACCACTCGCGGAAAGTTCCCTGGTTCAGATGCAGCCAGTGCTGTTGAGGCCCAACAACCATGCCAGGTCTCATAAACCGCATGAAAGAGATAACCTCGTTGGCGGTGAAACCATGGCGGTATATCAGATAAGCACCAATCAGGCAGCCAGTACGGCCCAGACCAGCCTTGCAGTGAACAGCCACGCCCCTCTTCTTGACGGTAATTGTCTCGTGGGCCATGCGAATGAACTTGCGAACCATGGATAGAGGGGGGCAAGTGCCGTCATCGAAAATCATGTCAATGTGCTGGATTCCCATGGACTCGAAGTAAGACGGAGAGTAAAGATGCGAGTTCAATCGGACGACCAAGCCAATATTGCGCTCGGAGAAGTGGGAGAGCACATTCTTGAATGGCTGGGGCAGAAGTGGGTGATCCTCGACGGCAGCGACGTCCCTAGGTAGCAGCGGATATAGCTCAGAACCCTCGGTAATCTTGGCCACCGGCGTGTGCTGGGGAGAGGCAAAAGCAAGGAAGTTGGGCGTGATCCAGTTGAAGTCGCCGTGCTCGACTCGCTCGTACATCTCATACTGGTCCAGGTCAAAGTTATCCAAGTCGCAGCACTTCTCCTCCTTGGCCTTCCAGACACCATACACTACATCTTGGACGCTAATTCCGTAGTCGGCCTGACTGTAGCCAGCATCTCGGAAAGGCATCAACGGAGGGTCGATCTGAGCAATCGGGGCCAAGGCCAAGTGAGGCGGCCAGTTTTGGATCAGAACCATGTAGCAAGCCAACATGCAAGCGGCATTTGCGCGGCCTAGAAATGATTCGAGTTCCGTTAGTTGGGCCATTACAAGATGCACTCCGTATGAAAGGGCTGAAAACTCACTTCTCGGGTCGGCAAGACTGTAGAAGACAATGGGTCGGTCTCGGTTCTCCTTGGCGCCCAGAATATCGTGGAACTTGATGGCAAACCGGTACAGGTGCCCGATGTGCAGAGGGCCAAAGTCGTGGTGGAACGCGTTGTACAGAAGAGTGTCATCGACGGTGAAGTAGCAGGGCGGGTTTTTGTTGGTGACCAGAGGCGCCGGAGCAGCGCCGTCGGCATATCGAGAAGCTCGTTTTCGGGGCGATTCGGCGCCGGGCAGCGGCGTGTCTGGATCCGGGGTGCGAACGTAGGCGCCGAGATAGAGTCGGTCTGCGAATCGAGCAAATTGTTAGCGCCCGAAAAGAAGATGATTTGGCGCCATCAAGAAACAAATCCCAGCGCTTAATGTGAAAAAGCCACAAATGCTCGTTCGATGAGAGGAAACCGCCATACCTGGAATGTATTCGACTACATGGCCCAGGTTCTGGGAATGTCTGGTAGCAGGAGCCATATTTCCAGGCTCGCTTTTCGCAGATCGCAGTAGCAAATCGTTGTCCGACGAACAGTACTAATATACCACAGTGAAGAATGCTGAATTGGGGATGTAAAAAGAGATATCGAATTGCGCGGTGCAGGTGCGCAAAACAAGGAAATTAAAGCTGCGGTGAAGCTCCAAAAAAGGGTCGTGTGATCGGTTAATGTAAACAACACAAACGACAGCTAAAAGGGGGGTTTTGCCTCTGTGGGATTTTGATATCCCAAAAAAAAATCACCAGAGTAGCTCAATTGAAGCCGTAATAATTCACCGTCGATGAGTCTTTCGTCTCGTCGCAAAGGAAGAATAATACGTTGGGGGATAGCGGATGTTCCGGGGGGGGGTGATTGCCGCGACTGCACGATGGATACGCCTTGTCTGCGCTCGGTCTCTATCTCCTTTAGTCTCTCGTCTCTTCTTCCGTCAATGCTCTTCAACCAAGGCTTCCAAGCAAAGATGTGAATTGAAGAAGAAGAAGACTAGACAGGCCAAGCCTTCGTTTTGGGAGGAAGAGGCAAGAAGGGATGGAAGGAGGAGAGGAAGCCGTGGGCGAGAGGGGAAGCGAGAGGATTAAAAAAATAAGCCGGTGATGTTTGGACCTGGTGATATGTATGGGCCGTCACGGTGTTTTTGTAACAGGGGTTCCCGCCCAGCCCAGCTGCAGATGTTATTCTTACAGGGCCCTTTCAGCCCCTATGAAGCCTGCTCCCCCCCGGTGCAAGCAACGCCTAAAGCCAGCGCAGCGCTGTTATTGCGGGTCGCGGCTGCGTCACCACGGCAACATCACAACATGGCCCAAGCTGATGCTCTGCTGGCACGCTAACTGGGAGCTGCTGCGGAGATACGTGCCCCCGTCGTTTTTTTCTGCCCACAGCCAGTTGGGCTTCGACACCGCTCGCGCCACGTTTGTGGCTGACAGCATTCCACACACACCATCATCGCATCATCAGGCGCAAAAGCTTCGACTCTCCATTCCTCGCATATACCAGACCCGTGAACGACGGCAGATCCACATCACCACCCCGGTCTGTTATCCCGACGCGCACCAGCCACTCAGCTGCCATCGTTTAAGCCCTGTCGAGCGAAACGAAGGAGAAGAAAAAGAAAGAAAGAAAGCACACGCGCAAGCGCAGAGGCCATTGCCAACCAAATCTCCCAAGCGCCAGGACAAAGAAAAAAACCCATATCAAACAAAAAGAAAAAGAGAGGCAAAGAGACAAAGACAAACAAATCTGCGCCGTTGTCTCGGTCAAAACTCCCCCGCCGCTCGCCGGTTGTCCCGCCACAATGAGTTCCGATCCCAAGTTCCCATGCAGCATGCAAGTTACCATGTCCCCTCTTCACTCCTCGCGTTTCCCTGCCAATAGATATAATTTTAGTCAAACTCCTCTTTCTCTCTCTATCTAATATCTCGCAATCTCTAACGCCCAGGATCTTGGGTTCTCACAGACATCTGCAAATCCCCTTCCCCACACATCGACTCGCCTCCACGGCCCTCAAAGCCCTCCAAGTCGACCCCGAGCTATCGCCCCTCGTCCAGAGACATTTCTCCATAAACTCTGCTTCATCGACGGAGCCCGAGGAGAGGGCGCAAGTGCTGCAGGTGGAATACCAGGCGACTACGAATCGCATGCTGCGAGTTGCTGTCAACTCATTCATGGAAGGCCTCAAGCTGGTCTTGGAGGTCATGGAACAATTAGATGTCGACGTCTTAGCAGCAGAGAACAAGGCATCAATCAAATCTCCGTGAACATGTACCCCTCGGCTGTCCTATACCATATCGAAGTGACATATCGCCATATGTGCCATAGCACAGTGATGGTAAGCAGTACCAACTACCTAACGATGCGATAAAATCGACTACCTCCCAATACATGGCCATGAAAATTGTATGAAGAAAAAAGATTACGCCCTTAGGTGCGTTGTGCTATTCAGGAGTCTACTCTCCACAGAGCTTAGATTACACTATCATGCATATAATAAGATAGTAAAGAAACTAAATAAGATATGAGGCACATAAAAAACAGAATGTGTCTCCCCATTTGACATCAATGCATGCCATGAACAAAGAAAGTAAGAAGGGGGGAATCGAATACTGGAGAAATCGTGAAAAGGCCACCCGAATATGCCATGATCCATCCCCATTCTTTACTCTTTACCGACCAGAAACACCACACGACACGCAATATCATTATAATGATTGTATCCCGTTGATAACACTATATTCCCGCTCCAGCTTGTAACGCCCTGCTCAGCACATAATCAACGTCAGCTGTTTTCTTCGGGCTCGTCTGTTGCCTCGTTCACAGTCATTTTCATATCTCCTTGGGCATCCGGGCCGCCGCCGGCAGGACGCTCCTCATTGATCATTGGCAGCGTCTTGTCGGCACTGCCGCCGTTTGATCCTTTTAGCTTCTCAAGTTGCTCTTTCAAGGCTTGTAGCTCTTGCTTCAGATCCCCATTCTCCTTCTCAAGGCTCTTCATATGAACAATGGCATTCTCCACAACGCTGGCTTTACTGTTTGACGCATGAGATTGCTTTCCGTCCTTTTTATCGCTATCATCACCCGATGCTATCTTGTTTTTGCCATCCGGGAGGAGGCTCGCCATGATCTGCAAAGCAGAGTTGATTCGGTTACGACGACCTTGTTCCGCAATTTTGTGTGATGTCCGCTTTGATGTGAGATTTGTCGACAACTCGCTGGGGTAAGATACGCCGGGAACTTGGTTGCCTTCTAGAATATTTTGATAGTTCGATTTCGACATCAACAGTCGCGATGCTTGGTCCTCGGCAGACATTCCAGGAGCCCCGGGAAGTAGGGGTTTGATATTGGGGGATATCTTGGGCAGTAAAGCCGGAGAGGCGTGAATCGATCCCGTAGACCGCTTACGGCTGTTCCGGGCGGATAGCTGCGGTGTCTTTCGCTGGCTAGAGCTGGCTGGCCCAGGCAGTAAAATAGGGCTCTGGGTTGCTGACGAAGTTCCTGTTGCTCTTACAATCGGTGAAGGCATAGACTGAAACGTGACACCCTTGGACGCCGTACTCGGCTCGGGTCGAGGAGTTTGGGAAGCAATTCGGACGTTAGCGAGACTACCAGCAAGAGACGGGTTCGATATTGATTCGGGAAGTTCAAGTGATTCGATATTGTCGGATAGTTGAGGCTCTTGATTTTGATGGCTTGCTGCGAGTTTTTTTGTCTTGGAAGCAGGCAGCTTCATCAGCGAAGCCGGCGTGGCAGGGTGAGGGAGGTGCTGTTCTTCGAGTAGAGCAGTCGCGTGGCTTGGTTGCATATTCGTTTGCGGTCTGATGTAAGGCGATTTGCTCATTGAGCGCCTGTTGGGAATCGGGGGAGGAGGCATCTCTGAAAGGTTCTCAGGCGAAACAGATGCATTCTCATCTGACCCATCAGTAGAAGCAGCGGGTAATGGGAGCAGTCCGTGCTCATTCTGCAGATTCCTCTCTTCAACTTCGCTCAGCACCTGGGATACCATAGCCGGGCTAGGTCCAGTCTTTCGTCTCATTGGTTTAGAAATGGGCGAGCTCTTGACGCCAGGCTTGCTCTTCGCCTTGGTAGCTTGTGTCTTTCTTGTCTTTTTTGAGAGATCCAAGTTGACGGCAGGGACTACTAGGGGCTCGAGATCCATCTCTATCGGTGAGTTGTTTGAGTGAGTGGTGTGATCGTAATTTGATGATGAATCATTCTGAGCATGGAGTGCTGGCGAAGTGAGCGGACTGAAGTACGCTCCCGGCACAGTAAAGGCATTATCCATGTTGAAATGGGGATCAAGAGGAGTGACAGCAGGCGAAACGAGGGGAGTAAATGCCATCTATGGAATATGCTGTTAGAATACGGTATAAACTCATAAACCAAGAAAAGCTAAGGATAAGAAAGAAAGAAACAAAATAAAAGGGAGAAGCTTACATCCTGTTCAGCCAACCGTTGATGGTAACTCCTATCATAAGCACTTCTTGATGGTATTTGCTCAGCCTGGGAATAAAACTGCCCGCTGCCAGGCGTCATCTCCAGGCTCTGTGGCGTCGGGGGTACGGAATGGCCCTGGTTGGCGAAGAAAGTAGCCTGCTGCTCTTGCAGCTGTCGCTGCTGCTGCTGGAATTTCTGTTGCTGGAGATACTGGATCTGGGCGTCGATGTTGGAAATAGCCTCGTGTGACGCCGATGCCGCCATCATGTGGGAGGACAGCGGTGCCATGGCCGGCGTGTGGTTCTGCAGCAGTCCGTCACTTCTAGCGATCATGGCGGAGGGATCAGTGTCGCCCATGATGGCGTCGGTGGTCTGGCGAGGCTGCGCCATGATGGAGTGGGAGCCGTCATCCTGGAATCCCTGGAAATCAAACTGCATTCCGTCGCCCATGTTGGCCATGCCGCTAATGTCGAGAAACTGCTGAAAGTCGTCCTCTGATGCCACGGCCATGGCCTGGTCCTGCGGATTCCACGCTGCAGAGCTCATCATGGCTCTGTGTTAAGAGGTGCGCCGAAATGGGGACCTCTCCGAAAAGTAAAAAAAAACGCACTCTCGACCGTAGCGATAACTCCCCAAATCAAAGATATTCGGCGATCGAGTCCTAGAATGGCGTCGTTGCGACACGCCTTTTCCCCTTCACGGTAGTGTGCCCACAGTGCGAGTAGTATTCTCAGACACCGCTTTCCCGAAACTTTGTCTTTCAAACAAAGGGGGAGGGGGAAAAAAAAAAAGAAAGGCAAAAGCAAAAGCCGAAAGAAAAACCCCGAAAGAAAATGACGATCCCGCCGTTGGTTTGAAGAAATGTCGGGCCAGAGAAGAGCGCCTCGGTCGGGGAGCAACGGCAGCAAATCGGGCGAAGGCCGTTCCGCAGGGACGCACAGGCTCAGCAATTGGCGAATAGTGACGCAACGGTAAGAGAGTCGAGAAGTCGTCAGCAAGCCGGTCGCTGAAGCAGCATCTGGCGATGGTCAAGGCCGCAAGCACGGCAGCGTCGATGGCCAGGAGAAGCAGCCAGCAAAAGGGCGAAAGAGGGATGAAGAAGGCCAAGAGAGAGCGAAGAAAAAGGCCCGGACGGGGTCAATCTCCGGGGCTGAGGAGAAAAAAAAGAGGCCACTGAGAGGCAGGTAACATGGCCCGGCGGCACACGTCTTGGTGCTTGTAGTGCCGTTCGCTAGCGGTGCCAGTGCAAGTGGTCAGTGTGGCCGCAGGTGGGGGATCGCAGCAGCGGATCTCGCGTGGCCGAGTGCTAAGCGGGCTAGTGACCACAGCGGTGCGCGACGCTAAAGAAGTTCGGCGCAGGGTCCCAATGCCAGTCGCTGTCTGCCCCCAACTTTTTTTTACTTTTTTCTTGCCGGGTTCTCTTTTAAAACAGCACGTGCATTGGTGCTACTGTGATGCTGCACTGTTTCGAGCCCGGGAGGCCTAAATGCCACTACCACCACCAGGTTAGGTCGGCTGTCACACCCAAGAGAGGACGGCAGCGCGGTCACAGCACATGCACCAACATTAAGCACCAACGGCCCAGCACCCTCTACGATGCAGTGAAGCGGCGTTGCAGGCCACCAGTTCCAGCACATCCTTGATCCTACACCGTCCAAGCATAGAAGCCTGCAACCGCACTGTTAGAAGCCCTCAGTGTTTCAGCAGAGGTGCTCGCCGTCTAAGACACATGGAGTTCCAGAACGGGACTACCATGACCGTGCGTATTCTGTACTCCATACTCCATACTCAAGCTGGAGACACCATGCCTACAGGCCGAGTTCTGGCTCGTAAGCGCTGGAGAGAAAAGAACCTCCAAGCCTAGCTCCCAATATTGCTAAGGTCTGACTGCTACTCCGTATGCTCTTATGGCCTGTGGGGAGCCGTCGTTCCTCGAGTCAGATCCATAGACTGCTCCTATTCCGCATGCCGCCTCTATACAGGTAGGTACTGACAGAAAACCCGGCCCTGCCTCCCCTGTATCTGCGACGGCAGCCCTCGACCAACACACGCCGAACAAGCAAGCCGACTCAGGCACTGCTATTGGCTCGAATCTGCCCTCTCAATCGGCCTGCCTGGCCTGGTCGTGGCTTGTCCGCGATCACCAGATACCGCTCATATGCACGGAGGAGTGCTAGGAATCCGAATGGTCACCATCTACCGTCCATCCGCCCTCCCACCCGTCCAGCTGGCGGCGCACTTCCGAATTGTCGCGACTGAGCGCTATGCGTTTGCTACACATTAATTCCTCTTTCTGCCAGACTGGAGCCAACGGCCGGTAAACTTAGCCGAGGGGACTCGAGACCCTCTCTTTCAAATCCAGGGTCGGTCGCTAATAGTGGGGGCTCAAAAAACAGTTGGAAGCGGACCAAAACCACTGCTCTCTTTTTTTTTTCGGCGCTTCGCTGTAATTCCCCGTAAAGCCAATCCTCTCTCTAGCACTTGGGGTTTTATCCCCCGCCAGAGCTCCAGCGCTAATTTATATATCGTATACGAGTATTGATTGATAAGTTTTAGGTACCAAACACGGGAAATGGGCCCCATGTTATTCAAGTGCAAGGTAAAACGTCCAGAGCCATCAGTAGCCGCGTCTTGTCAAAGAGAAATTAGCGCATACCTAGAGACTAATTAAGAGTTTCTAGACTCTCCATATAGCTTTCTTTTCTTCTTTTTCGGCACTTCACCTGTCCATCCTCCTCGCCAATCTCCAACACCCGAAGGCTTAAAAAAAGTAGAAAGTATAATAAAGTGACACGAAGCAGAAAGGGAAAAAGAACAAGACAAAACAGCGTTCCATGCATCCTCCATGGCTCGTTAGTTCCGAATAACACCTGCTAGCATCCCGCGCTAGTGGCCATGGGACGAAAGCTATGGACGAAAAGAGCCCGGGTGTAGGTCGGTCTGCTGCATGCATGCATGTAACAATCATTTATCACTTGTCTTTTTTTTCTTATTCCTTGCTTCTACATACTACTTGGACGGGTAGTATGCATTACCTACTCTATATTTCTCCCTTTGGATCATTTACTGCTATGTACTTCATGTCAATTACTATCCTATTATAGAAACTAATAACATTAACAACTAACAAGAAGCCAAGAAAAACTCCGACCTCGTAATACATTCCATACGAAGAATTATTTCAAATAAATTCATCCCCATATCTCGAACGGAACTCTGAAATGAGCCCCAGAACAGAACTCGTCGCCATCGCAAGAACCAGGGCGAAAAACCCGCCCGTACCAAAATTTCATGTGATTGATTCCCTTGCCAAACAATATACTATACAATTACGTCCGAGCTTGGGCTCAATCAGGCAAAGTCCCGCTCGCTTGATAAGCTGATAGGCAAAACTCGAAGCAAGCTGAAGCTGCAAGCTTATTTCCAGCTTCGTAAACCCCATTGGTCAAGGCTATTCCGTAAATGTAAAGGGTGCAGCCATCCTTTTGACGTGCCGCATTCCGGCTGAATAGGTGCATGTGGCTTTCGGAACAGGGAATCGTACACGAATTGGCCAAATGCTCTCTGCATTGTGTGATAGGTAATGGTCGCCTTATCGATAGGAGAGATTTTGCCGGAACGTTGCTCAACGTCACCAAGCCATAGTAACTCGCAGATTCATAGTCGCTCACATTCACATTGTAAAATCGAGCTAACTCTTAGCAACAACACACATATTGTCATATTTTCTTCTACCCATTCTCCTCCTCCAACTCTCAACAACTACCCACAACCTAACAGCGATACCCACGCTCCTCGCTCTATCAAAATCCTCCTTCTTCCCATCCGCCTCCTACCCCTGTCCACATCAACTCTATCCACATCTACCCCATCCATGCCCACATCTAACGTCTACTTGCTCCAACTTCCATCCAGCGAATTACTTATAGGGAGATGGTAACATCAATCGCAAGACACGCAAGGAAAACGGCCAAGCCCGGGCCTTTGCTTCTAGAATGTACAGAAAAAAAAAAAAGAAAAAAAAAAGAAAACAAGAGTATGAGTCCAATATGTCCAAACAGAGATATCGACGCCAAGTTATGCGGTGAGGCCAAGATAACGGACACAGATCTAGGCGCCCAGGTTAACTCAAGTCGAAATTGCGATGCGTAGTGCTTTTTTCAAAGGAACCAGCGCTTCCGGCGGTACAATGTCTATTACGAACACACGAATTTGCTCTGCTCCGGGCCGCGAGGAATATAAAACAAAAATTGAGAGAGAGAGAGAGTGAGAGAAAATTAAAGCGGCATGCCGCTGAGAATACCGCGCCCAAAATAAATTCGAGGATATAAGCCAACCAATTCATAAAAAAAAAATTAATTTCGCTCAAAAGACTTTGCTCCATGATCATGTCGTTTGACTCACACCCGTGAATTCTCACCAAGGTTAAGCCAGCTCATGTCATTTGATGTTGACGCCGTGGCAAGCTGAGGTTGTTTGCTCAAGCCCAGTCCTTGGGGCTGAGCGCTGGATACTATGCTGGGAGCATATGCACTGCTGGGAGCACGGTTGGCACCCCAAGACTTTCCAGCATGCGTGGGATCCCACGACTCTTGTACGCTCTCAGGGATTCCGCTTGAATAGCCAGACGACGTTGCTGACAGTGCCGAGACTGCTGAGACAGGTCGCTCAATCTTACCCGACATGCCCTCTTTCCAGGGGATATCCGGGTAGGACGAAACCACAGGGCTTCCCGTGTTGACTCTGTTCATCCCAGGGGGGGCTTCAAAGTTGAGAGGAGGGACAGTGGCTGAATCCTGTGTTGCTCTGGCATTAAGAGTGGTAGGTGCCTGTGAGTAGTGAGAGCTTCGATCCGATACGACCGTGACTCTCTGTGCAGGTGCTTGTGCGGGTGTTTGTGAAGGTGGCTGTGACGCTCCATATCCGAGAATATTCAGCGCACTTCCTCCTGACCAGTATTTATTCCAGCCCGAGCTTCTTCGGGTGCCATCATCTGCTCCTGCTAGTCCGTCTTGGGGTCGAAGCTCAGTGGCTGAATGTTCGAAAGTATCGCCCTTCTCGTCAGAGATCGAAAGAATGGGGGCCTGCTGTGGTTGAAGAATTGGCTTGCTAATTTGGCTCTTGAAGTCGTTGCTGAGCTTTCTTGGCTTGTGCTGGCCCACACGGCCCATCAAGATCGCCATTGAAGAGGTTGACTCTGAAGATGCCGTGTGCTGATGACCTTTGAACTGTTTTGCCACTTGTGGAGGGAGAGTACCTTTCGCAAACGTACTCTGCGCAAACGTAGCATTGCCTTTCTCGTTAATTGGGGGGGTCTTGGGCTTTCCTGTTTCCGGATGAAGCTGCTGTCTTCTGCGGCAGCGGAGAAGGAGCAGAATAAGGCCAAGGAGCGCAAGAAATCCACCAATGGTGCCGAGAGTAATGCCAAGAATTGCGTTGGAGCTGGGACCAGAGTCGGAGCTTGCACTACCGCTGCCAGTTGGGATGGCAGGGACAGACAGGTCGGATATACTAGGGTCTGCAGTGCCCGTTGCAGTGCCGGTAAACGAGCCAGTTGTCGAAGGAGAATCCGTAGTTGCAGTTGAGGTGGCGTGTGTTGTCGACGTGTGCCGCGCGCTAGAGGTGGTCTTGGTCTTCGACGCCGTAGTTGCTGATGATGAAGGGATATCTTGGATGGATATCTGCTGATCATCCAGCAGGGCCTTCGCATCGACCCAGCCATTCTTGTCGGCATTGAAAATAGCAAGTGGAACCTGGTCGTTTCCACCAGAAAAGACTACAGTGCCGTCGGGTGCCTGGGCCATGGCGAAGTTTGTTCGAGTGGTAGTAGGAGCCAATGTCGAGTTGTAGTCTGGCCAGTTGCCCAGAGTCAACGCGCGCTTCTCGGTGCTCCCTGCAGGAACAGGAGCTGAGTTGGGGATGGGTTTGCCGGCGGCATCTTGTACGATGGTACGGGTGACGGCGTTGGGAGACTGCGACAAGTCAAAAGTATAGAGACTTTTCGACCCATCATCTCCAGAAATCAGCACAGCATTTACCGAGCCCGAGGCTTTGTTGAGTGGCTGTGACAAGCCAGCACCAGAATATCTCCAGCCGGCTTGAGGATTGAACCAGTAGATGTTGCCATCATTGCCGTCGCCGCTCATCATGGCAGCATCACCGTTGGTCCAGCTCGTAACGAAGGGAGAAACAGCCGGCACGGCGCTAGCTGGAAACGAGCGAGCTCCGTATGGCTCAGAAGCATCGATGGTGAATGTTTGTGAGGAGGGACCAGCGCTGCCGTCTTGGCTACCGGCGTAAACCAAGATGGCATTGTCGGCCTGAATATAGGTGGCGCCATGGTGTAAACGATTCTGCGTGACCGGAACCGAAGGAGTGATAGTTGTCCAATTGCCTGTCGAAAAGGTGTACTTTTGGAGTCCATTGTAATCGCCTGCAGCGGTTCCTCCAACAATGAATAGGGCAGCATTAGCAGCATCAGTGGGGTTGGTTTCGACGCAAACTCCCCCAGTCACTGCCACTCCCGAAGGCAGCTTCTTCCATTCTGCACCACTTTCCAAAGACAGGGACAGGAATCCCTGAGGTGAGTAAGAATAAAGCGTGTTGTCATAAATGACAGAGCACGAGTTGTCCAAAGACGAAGGGGGCTTCGGTAAGGACATTGCTCTTCGATGAGGAATCACAAGGGTAGCTTCAGGACGGTATCGAGATCTTTGTTGTTTGTTGTAGAAGTCGTTTCCTATAAGCGCATTGCGGTGATACCAGTGCTTAACGTAGAGCGTCTCTAATTTCAAGAGGTATTTGTTAGCTTAGCAACGAGGGCACTGCCAAGTCGTTGCTGTTGGGTGTTGTGTGTGTGTGTAGGTTGGTGAATAGAGAGGGCCCGTGATCCAAAAGTGAGCGTCGATCGGCGGGCAAACAACTAAAAAATGAATGGCAGTCGTTACGAAAGTAGCGACAAGAACGTATTACAGTACGATGAAAACAATAACGAATGTATCTAATAAGCAGGCGTGCGAGAGTAATTTCTGTAGAGAAGTTGGTTTTCTTTTTCTGTTTTCAAAAGAGCGAATAGTGGTAGTGGTGACAGTCTCGATCTAGTGGTCTAAAGGCGCAATCGTGGCGAGTCGTCGGAAGTGGTGCAGGTTTTCGTTCAGCAAGAAGAGCAAGGCCGTGTGTCGGGACGATCAACAAGGTGAATCAACAAGTGAAGAGGGCAAATGAACGTTTTCTCAACGCTCTCGTTCCAGACGTATCAACGGCGGAGATTCCAGAATCGGCAACGAATATCTTGGTGTTTCGAAGTCGGAAAGAGAAGAGAAGGCGAAAAAGAGCAGCGCGAAAGACTCGACTTTACAAAACACAAGCAAAGGACGCAACAAGGGAGAAAGTGTAGCTCAGCCAGCAGGTGAAAATCGACGGCCAGTGAAGCTGCTGCTACGGCGTCTGCAAGGCAGGTCAAGGCGAAGACGAACGCAAACACGAAAAGAAGGGAAAAAAAGCCACCAAGCCACAGGTAAAGGGAAGACAGAGAGGCGAAAGCGAGGAGGCGGAGGAGGAGGATTAGAGAGAGAGAGCTGGGCTGCACAGAATCTGCGCTGCGACACCACCCTGGCCGCATGTCAGGTACCGGTACACGCCGCCCGTGCCTGGCCGGCGCTGGCGCTCAGGTACCAGGTCGGCGCTGGCGCTCAGGTACCAGGTCGGCGCACTCTTTATGCTGGAGCGCACGAACGAGCCTCCCCCTGCCTGTCCTCCAGCGTCTTTCCCTGCGTCCTACCTTCCTGGGCTCTAGTTTTCGGCCAGCGGAACCCGCTTTGAGACACGAGGATGGGCAGGAGGCGCTGCGAATGGAGCTCAGGTACCGCTACACGGCGAGCTGGGGGGAGGGATCGCTGGTGTTTTGCGGTGCATCATCCTCGCGTCGTCCAATCAGCGGGCGCATGCGGCGTTCCATCGGCGCAGTCCCGGGGTAGGCCCCAGGTTTCAGCGGACGTCATGGTACCTGCAATCCGGAGGAGCGCGGCATTAACGACAGGTACTCCTCGGCCCCGGGGTACTTCCAGACGACCCGGCCGTGCAAGCAAAGCCCCTGCCTTGCGCCAAGATTCGTTCCTGAAGGGTGACAACTTTTTTTAGGTGAAAAAGGGGTAGCCGCCAATCACGCCGCTGGCTTCAAGTGCCTTGGCGCCTGCAGAGCTGCTACCTAGTAGCTAAGTAGTGCTAGTGCTATGCAGGTGTCCATGCTCCTCGTACCAGCATAGCATAGCGGCTATTAGCAGGTGCTGCTTGTATGAAGCGTTTCCATTTCCATCCCATGAAGCCCGCATGCGAGAAGCGGAGCGTCGAACGAGGGCTCGGTGAAGGAGGGGAAGAATAAGCACCTACATAAGCAATTTCAGTCGTCTTACGGGCTAGCTAGCACCAGCTTTATTTTTTTGTTTGGTTCTTTTTTTGGTGTTTTGGGCAGTGTGTTCTGTTCATCTCGTCTCTCGGCCCCGTCACGGTTCGATGGACCCTTGAACCAAGCCAGCACACGCCAATGACATCAACAGCAGCACCCTCTCCCGCCTGTGGGCTTTTGCATCTTACCTGGACAGCCCTCGCTTGAGCCCGACAATTCGCGTGCTATGCACCCAGCCCAGTGCCTTCGAATTAGTGAATCCTAGCACCTCCGTATCCGCACTTTACCAGAGACGCAGATGCTGGCAACGGCTCATACGGGTGCTTGGGAGGGCATTGAATACGGATAAATGCTGGCGCCTGAAGTAATTACCAGCCCTGGCCCAGAGTCGCATTCGCTCTAATAGCCCGCAACGATGGTTTGGGTGTCCCGTATAATGCCCTCTGTACTAGTACAAGCGCAGTATCAGCCAACAACTCGCTCAAGTCGCGATCCACGAACTAGTACAAACCACCACAAGCACGAGCTATCCTCACACGAAGGCCCCTCCCACCAAAAACCGCACTGACTGCTCCCTAAAACCAAATCCGCGCCATGAGCTCTGCTTCAGGTGCAACCGGGCTGTCAACGGACTGAGCACCGCCGCCTCCCTCGCAGCACCCCAAAACTGCGCTGCTGAGATTGCAGTGTTGCCTTCCACCAGGCAGTGGCATCATAGAGTACTACTGTATGGAGTCTTTGGCCCATCTTCTGTCAACAGCACCGCAGGGCATGGCATCCGTTCCTGGCTGGGGATTCTCAGACCCCTGGTGATCGCTTGCAGTCCAGTCCCTCATCCCCACCGACTTCAATCACTGTGAAACGCGCTACCAGGGATGCACCCTGACTCTGCATGCATTGTTCAAGCCCCCTAACTGGACTCGGCCATCTACGGCCATCACTCCACCTGCATCGAATTGAGACTCCGCGTCAATCACGTTTGCTGCAGAGAAACAAAAAACGATTGACTGAATGGAGATGAACGGATAAAATGCTAATAATGGAGTAGTGGGAGGACTGGGGGTAGAGCCATCTCCAGCGCTTTGTATCCAAGTCGAGTTGATGGTTAGCAATAACCTATACTACTTTCTTTGTATGCCCAGGCTGATTCCATCATTTCATATCGAATGCTATTCAGATATCTGCGATCGGTGCGATACACCAGATGAAGATCTAGGCTAGAAGCAGCATCGATACTTTGCAAGAGAGTCTGACAAAGCAGTGAGCATTGGGTGCGCAGATCCATAACCGCGCCCGTAAATCCAAAATGAATGTGAGATTTTTTTAATGTTTAAATAATCCAATGTAGGCCTATCTACTCCCTTAAAATGGCTGGTTGTAAGTTTATTCGCGATGCAGCTCGTGGGACGTGGTGGAGTCAACCAGCCTCTCCATTGATGGCTACTCATGAATATGAGTGATTGATTCTCTTGATCACTAACAAAGGAAAAACTTCAACAACCAAATGAAAGTTTAAACCACCAATAAGAGGAAAAAATATCGATGGCCGATATGTACAGGGTAGGCATCTTGATATGCCAATTCCAAGACCCAGCGAGTGACTGCTAAGACTGTTGGTGTTGTTAGCACTCTGCTATTGGCAGATGGCTTGTGCTCGCACAGGTGCAAGTACCTGCTCGTATTTGCCTGCTCCATTTTTCAGGTATCCGACATGCTTCGTATATAGGCGGTATATACTCCGTAGGGGCCGCTTAAACAGGTGGCTCAAAATTATATCCGAGTGCTCGAATAGTCAATCATAGCCATCGCTACCGCTGCTTCATCTCTCAACGTTGACGGCGGTCCAAAGCAGCGCTTTGTATACAAGACCTCGTGTCTGCATACAAGGTATATAACTCTATGCTATGTTCTCACAAACCACATCGCTGCTTCAAACGGTCGCATAACGGAAAAAAAAAAAAAAAAAAAAAAAAAAAAAAAAAAAAAAAAAAAAATAGGCAGATTGACAACCCCTGTTAATAATATTGCACGTAGTCTTGGCATTGAGCCGCTGCATCCAGCGACTTGCGTAACGTTCTCTTGGCTTCATAAACCGCGCGGATAGGAGGTTTCAAGCTTCTAAGCTGTGAATTCCTCTCCCGCTTTAATTGATTGGTTGAAAGCGCGAGCCCAAATGACGCTACGAAGTCTGCAATCTAATAACTTGTTAGCATATATGCAATTGCCAACCGCTAGGCAGTATTGTCAAGGAAAGTTGAAGCATGGAATTGCCACATCGATAACGCAACAATCTTAGTTTAAGAACGACAATATATGAGCTTTAATGATTTTGTGGCATCTATTTATTCCCAAAGACTTATCACCATGCAGGTATTTCTTGTTTTCTTTTGCCCGCAACTATTATGGACCTTTTTTTGGTCATCCCTCCTCTCCCTCCCCTCCCTTTTCCGTACACGTAATACACGAAGCCCCTTACCTCCAAACAGTACCAATCTCTATAAATACCCGACCCTATAAACGACAAAAAGCTCCATACAAGCCCCATTTCTCCTGCCAATCTATTCTATCTAACCGCTCAGTGTGGGTATTGCCAAATGCAGAATGACTTGAAACAGCCCTTCTAGGTGGCTGAGGCAAATGCTTCTGGTGGTAGTTGTGACTGTATTAAAAAAATATGAGCTTCTAGTTTTGAGTAGTACTAGTTTCAAGAAAATGAATTGTAACATACCTTCTTCTCGTTGAAGATGACCAAAGCTTTGCCAAAGTCCCATTCGACCTGTGACAGACACATCTCCGAGTATTGCGGCACCATGCCTGTCTGCTTTGACAGCTCGGCGATCATTGCTTGATGTTGATTTGCTGTATCCGCAGGGGCCGATGATGGTGCTACGAATACGTTCGGAAGGGGGCTGTATGCTCTTAAGGAGAGCATGTCGCTGACGACCCGAATCTGAGCGGACCCGGATAGGCCCGGCGCCAGCACAAAGGTACGAGAGAAGCTTCGCTTGCCAGTAAGTCCTGATTTTTGGTCGTATTCCTCGAATTCGCCATGAACGGCAATGATCAGGCCGTCCACACCCAACTGGCTTTGGCCCGTGGGGTCCGCCAAGCCTGGCAGTGGGTGACAGTCCATAATGTATTTACTTAGCTCATCCTTCATATTGGGATGCTTAGTCATGGGAAGGTCTCTCCATAAGTTGTAAATAGCGTTTGCGCCTTTGAATAGTCGTTGTGATCGGGCATGTAAAGTCGTGATTTTCTGGAGGTTGCGAGATGATTTGATGTAGGCTGCCCAAGGTAAAGGAGGTGGTGCGTTCGGGTCCCTGACAGAGACGGCGTCAACGGCCAGGGAAAATTGGCTGCCAGCGTCGTATAGTCTGGATGTAAGTGCCTCGCGATTGCTGTCATAGGCTGCAAAAAAATCGAGTAGGAATTGCTCGCCAATGCCGTTGACATCCCGGAAATCAGGTCCGCTCTGTGGGATCGGTTTTGGCTGACGGGCGGCCTCCTGCTCGGCAATCTGCTGTGCAGTACGAAGTTCAATCCCATTAATAATTCGTAATTTGGGAAACCATTCCAGCAAAGTCGCTTGGAAGTTGGCGTCCGCACCCTCGATCGGGTTCCCCGTTGTATATAAGGTCTCGAGCTCTTTGAATTTCCCCTTCCATCGCTTGAGTCCCTCCATATTGCTAATTTGATTGCCACTCATGTCAAGGTTCTTTAGCTGTGGAAAGGATGATGCCACAGACTCCACTTGAATAACATCGTCAATGCTGTTATTAGCAAGACTGATGCTTTCAATAGCGTCCTTCTTTTCCTGCGGTGTCTTGAAAAGACCATCGCAGATAGCCATGAGGCCCTTGAAAGTCTTTAGGGCCCGTTCTCGAGTTTCAAACATGCCCAGGGTTACTAGCTCCGCATCAGATGCAAGAGCATCGAGCTTGAGTAGTTTGTTGTCACCAATGTAGCGCTGGCTGAGGATAGCTTGCAGCTTTGAGCGCAACTCTGCAGTCTCTGGCGATTCCGTCGCCTTTTTGGGAGGCGCAAAATCCTCGTTAGACTCTACTACCTCCAGCTTAGTACCAGCAAATGTAAGAGCGTTGATCTTGAGAAATTCATCCGCATCCTCCTTGTTTGCTCCAATGAAAACGTAGTCTCCAGCTCTATGTGACTGTGGCGGGTTAGCAGCTAATAAAAGAGAGAAGATATTCAACCTTGAGCGCTGGGGCGAAATAAAATTTGACGCGAAGAATCTCCCCAGAGATGTTTGTCTTCCAGTCGCCATTCGAGCAGCTGAGACGTCGTTTGATGTTGGCACCCCTGCTTTCTCGTCAATGATGAACTTACTTTTCTAATCGTGTGTCGTCTTCGTCCAGTTGAAAGGGAAGAGGCTTTCCTCTCCATGAAGCTAAGCAGGTCAGAGAGACCCCCGTCTGGGTTGGACGCAGCCTTGCTTTGTTTGAGACCGTGGATCCTCAACCAGGTAAGCCCTTCAATAAAACCTCCTCGTGATCTAGTTGGCCGTGAGATCCGAGCTGATAGGTCCGAGGAGTTGCCGCTACCTAGTTGCTTCATTACGATTTGAGCTACCTTTGCAGCTCCTCGCGACGGGCCTCTTCCTGAAGGCCGTCCTCTACCACTTGGCTCATTTGTAGAACCTCTGTTTAGTCGCTTGGAAGGCGCGTCCATGTCAAGATCTCCATCGTTGTCGGTCTTAGTTGGACCTCTTCTCTTCTGAATGCCACCTCTAGAACTTGACTTTGTGCCCAGAGGATTTCGGGCTTCTCGAGCCGGTTGATTCTTTCCGCGGGGAGCCATAGCTGTATCCCACAGGGATGTTGAAATTTGGATGTTCGGCGTGGATTCGATTGAAAGGGAAGGATATCAAGTCCGCGCGGCGCCGCTGATGATGCCCGTATCGGATCGAGCTCAGATCCTTGAAATTCGAGTTGGATCTTGCGCAAACACGACCAAGGAGTGGTTTTGACGAAATTGTCGAGAATTTGTTGAATGATTGTCGTCGCTCTGGCTCAGCGAGAAGCCACACTGACCCGGCGCAAGAGCGCAAGAGGTTCAAGACGATCTATCGAGGCTACGTCGGCTGCGATCGAGGCAACTGGCTCGACGAGAACGGGTGGATGTTTCTGAGAGAAAGATGGAAAATCTGGTTGCTACTAGAAAAATCCAGGGCTTCGCTTTATGAGATGCCGTACAAGAGCGGCTGTGCGCTGTTGAAGAAACGAAGCAGTAAAGTTTCGCTTTGAGTTTGTTGGGAGAAGAAATGCGGCGGCGCATCATGGGGATTTGAATTCAGCTGCCGGGCCTAGGCTGCCAGCCGGATTTTTTCCTGCCTAGTGCACTATTGCCCATTGCAGCCTAGTGGACTTCGCGCTGCCTTGTGTTCTGATTCAAGGCCTTCTTTGCTGTATCGCTAGCATGAAAGCAAACAAAAGGAGCAAGAAGTGGTAAATGCAGTTTCATTTGTTTGAAAGCAGTAGGCTATTTTGATGTAAATTCTTTTCACTACGGTTTCTTTTGTAAAAAACGCTCAAAGAATAAGACTGATATGCAGGCGCTGCTACAAGCAGGTACTATTTTGAGCCGCCGAAATGCAAGGTTCAGCCATTAAAACCACGTGATATGGTACCTTTTTCGCGTCTTGGTGACCGTATGGCGCGTTGCATTGGCGACACAGCTTGGAGAATAGAGGGAAGATCTACGGCGTACTTTACGCGACTCAGTATCATCATTATAAGAGGTGAGATAAGGACCAACGCATTCATCTATGTTCTGGAGATACTTTCAAAATATGCGACTGAGGGTTGTTTGATATTCGGCGACCATATCGCATGGCCATTAACAACCATGGATTCCGATGAATTCGATGACGATATCGCCGATGAGGATATGCTTGCTGCCTTTGATCAATTCTCGTCTTCTAATGGAAAACAAATTGTATCCCCATTTTTTCCCAACAGAGTTAATACGAATAACTCTCTTGGATTGAATGATGAGCAGAGAGCGGCCCAGGAGCTCAATGATTTACCTTCAGATGCATTCTCTTCACCGGAACCTCCCAGAAAGAACGTGCAGGCATCGGCAAGACCGGCAGTAACTGCACGCACTGGCTTCAGTCGGACGAACTCGGGGGCTTTTAGGCAGACTACATTATGGGGTGGCCATGCAGCAACTGATGATGTTCCTCGCGCATCTCAACCTGCGACTACCAGGGTCTATCGCGCTGATCTGCCTCCTGAACAACCCAGTCCGCATCAGCTTGACAGAGAGGCGATGAAGACTTGGGTGTACCCTACAAATTTGGGGCCAACTCGCGACTACCAGTACAGTATTGTCAGGAACAGCCTGTTCAACAACACATTGGTAGCCTTGCCAACAGGCCTGGGAAAGACGTTTATTGCTGCCACAGTGATGTTGAACTTTTACCGTTGGACAAAAACGGCCAAAATCGTCTTTGTGGCGCCGACCAAACCGCTTGTGACTCAGCAAATTGATGCTTGTTATAACATTGCGGGAATTCCTCGATCGGAGACGACGCTTCTTACTGGCGACATTGCTCCTGCACTGCGGAGCGATGAGTGGGAAAAGAGACGAGTCTTCTTCATGACACCGCAGACCCTCCTCAACGATTTGTCACACGGATACGCAGACCCAAAAAGCATTGGACTTATTGTCATTGACGAAGCACATCGTGCGGTGGGAGAATATGCGTATGCCAAAGCCACAAAACTTATTCGTCGATTTTCTAATAGTTTTCGAGTATTGGCTCTGACGGCCACACCTGGATCAAAGGTTGAGACGGTTCAAGAGGTAATTGATAATCTGGGGATCTCGCACTGCGAAATCAGAACCGAAGAGTCTTTGGATATTCGGCAGTATGTGCATCAGAGGAGTATCGACCAAATAGTTCTCGACCCTTCAGATGAGATCAATCTTATTGGAGAGCTCTTTACTGAGGCCCTCAAGCCACTGACTGAGAAGCTCAGCGCCCAAAATATATGGTATGGACGGAATCCAATGGCTCTCACAACTTACGGTTTGATACAGGCGCAGAAGGAGTGGTTTGCTGCGCGCGGGCATCGTACAAATCAAGGTGTTCAGTTTATGATGCGGGCGATATTCAGCGTGCTGACCAGCCTTGCTCATTCAATCAAACTGCTGCAATATCATGGTATCCGGCCTTTTTACGATAATATGGTCGACTTCCGCAGTGAACAGGAAGGGAAGGGTGACAAGGGATCCAAGTACAGACGCCAAATCATTGACAGTACTAGCTTCCAAGAAATGATGGATAAGATTTCTGGATGGCTCAAGATGGATGGCTTTGTAGGTCACCCAAAACTAACCGCCCTGGCTGATTGCGTGTTGAACCACTTCATGGACAACGGAGAGGCAACACGAGTCATTGTGTTCAGCGAGTATCGTGATTCTGCCGAGGAGATTGTGCGCATGTTTAATACCCACCGGCCTCTCATAAAAGCTACTGTCTTTGTTGGACAGGCAGATGGAAAGCGCGGCGAAGGCATGAAGCAGAAACAGCAAATAGAAACCATTGAGAAGTTTAAGACCGGTGCCTACAACGTTTTAGTCGCCACGTCGATTGGAGAGGAAGGTTTGGATATTGGTCAAGTTGATCTCATCGTATGTTATGACTCTTCAGCATCACCTATTCGAATGCTGCAGCGAATGGGCAGAACAGGACGAAAGCGCGCAGGCAACATTGTGCTGCTCCTGATGAGAGGCAAAGAGGAGGAACAATTTGCTAAGTCAAAGGATAACTATGAGAAAATGCAACAGCTCATTTGCGAAGGAAGTCGATTCAACTTTCGGTTTGATCTCTCTACAAGGATTGTCCCCCGGGATATACGCCCAGAGGTGGACATGCGTCATGTGGAGATTCCAGTTGAAAACACGCAGAACACATCATTACCAGAACCTAAGAAGCGACAAGTTCCCAAGGGAAAGAAAAAACCACCCAAGAAATTCCATATGCCAGATGGCGTTCAGACCGGTTTTCAGAAGGTCAGTGATTTTATGAAGGTCACGCCAAACACAAAGCAGCATTCGTCCAAATCCAGCTCGAAGCCGGAGCGGAATCAGGAGTTGGATGATATTACCACAGTCCCTGAATTGGAGCGTGTTGTGCTTGGTTCAGATGAGCTTTATGAGCTCGATCGAACTTATCGAAATTTACCATTCAGCCGTAGTGTGGTTGAAGAAACTGATTTGCCGAGCATGACTGCTTATCCGACATTACAAAGACAGTTACGACCGACTGCCCTAGTTGCTCATGGGACTCACACAAAACGCTACATCAAAGTATTGCAGAAGATGGGGGCGCATCCTGATAGCCTGGTGAGGCCGTGTCGCGATGAGGATACAAGTGATTATCTCGAGATCCCAGTAAAGCCCTTTGTGTTTTCTGATAATGGTGAGACGGATGCGAGCGATGCGAGCGATAATCGGAATACACCAGATGGAAGAAAGCGACCAGTGATTGAAGTTGATTCGGACAACAGCGCCCCAGGAGGTGAGGCTAAGCAGCAGAAGAAGAGAAAGATTTCAGCTCCAAAAACTCAGCCACCAACCAAAAAGACCCGGCCGAAAAAGATTGCTCGGCCTGCCACCCCACCGGAATTGGATCCAGAAGATGAAGAGCTGTTTGACTCTGATCTTGACATAGATGTCGAAGAGGAGGAGCCTGGGCTACCACCTCGACTAAGTGAGGCAAAGAGACGGAAAAAGTTGAACGCAAAATCTAAAGGCAAATATTCACGGAAAGCTGCCATTGGAAGCGATGAGATAGGAGACGACTGTGAAAGAGATAGTGATCTGCTGGACGAGAGTGACTCGGACGATGGGGCAGATCTGCTAGATTTTGTTGTAGGAGATGACCAGGCAACTTCTAGCATGCTAGATTCTGAGGCGACATCACCTATACGGCCGAATGAACGGACACCCCGAGCAGAAGCGAGAAAACCCTACTTTGTACCAACTCAGTTTACAGCAACACAAGAGAGCGAAGACGTTCCCGAGTTTGATCTGCTTGTTGGCTCTTCCAAGAGTCGGCCGAACGAAACGTCTGCACCAGCTAAGAGGGCGCGACGGGGAAGACCTGCACTCTTGGACAGCGATGACAGTGATTATTAAGATGGGCAATCAAAGGTCACTGGAGTTTTGAGCAGTGGCAAGACTTGAATGGAAGGAATGTTCAAAGAAGAAGACATGGTATTTAAAATTACAGAGTTTTGAAATTCTTCAAAGAAACTATCTGCATGCAGGAAGATTATAAAGCTACTAATTCATGACTATATGCGTCGCATGGATAATTCGTTCGAGTTTCGCCTAGACATTGTCGACTTGATCGAACATTTTTACCTAATAAGAGCTGATTAGCACCCATACGAGAAATGAATATGATGGTATAATTGCTCCAAAAAACACAACATCTCTTCAACTAGTTTTCAGAAACCCAGGTATAAGCACAACGACCCCCACCGCCGCCAGCAAGGCCGTCGCGGAACACCCAATTGCGCATATGACGATGCAAATTGAGCGTTGGTACCCACGACTGCCCTGCTGGAAGCGACCAAGGAACAGCATCCCCAAGCTTCCCAGAAGGGTCACTTGCATCCGCCGATCGGAGGCAGTCTCAGACGGCTCTTCCTATAAAGTGAATTGGGTGATATGTAGTTCATCATGTAAGGAGAAGGAGTTGTTGTTTTGCGTGTAGGCGTGATGGTTGCGCGGAGAAAATAGGAGGATAATAAACATACATTTTACAGCTGTGCAATTGGCTGTCTGTCAATAGAAAAAAAAAAGAGTAGCAATAAAAGGTTGAGAAGGAAAGAAACTAGACAGTCAATGTAGGCACGCTTCGATATCAAAAGCGCGACTGCGAATCATTTTGTTTCTTCCTTTTTGTTTTTGGATATATCCAAGAAAGAGTTTAGTTTTGGAGCAAGAAAAGAAAAATTGTAGCTGTGGTACGGCAAAGCTGTTCGCGTAGCACGTGAATCGCAATAAGTGGGGATCATACATAGCTCAACTCGCAGAAACCCCCACTTCAAAACTTAGTCATTCACCCAAGAGCAGTCTCCATAATTTTTTAGCATTAACTAACTGCCTAACTTGCAGCCGCTGTTGCTTGCTTCAAAGGCATGACGTGACGCTGAATCAATGCTTTATCTGCCTTATCTGCAGAGCTGCGTTCCATCAGGCTGGCACGGCCATTTCTTTTTGCGACCCTGTTTCTAGCTTAATTCAACCATCTCTCCCTACTGCTCCGTAGCTCCGTAGCTTTTCTTCCCATCAACCTCCCCCCCCACCTCGGATCGCAACCAGATTCTACAATCAATCGCCATGGCAAAGGGGATTTCGGTCCTCAAATTTGTGGGCACAGTGTCCCTTGGCCTGCTGACGGTGAGTGCTTCATTGCTGTGATGTCTCTTTCATTTGTTGTGCTCTTCTCGAGGAGAAAGGGCCGTGGTAGCAACGACGAAAAATAGCCGACTGCCCCTCATCTCATAGCGAAGCCGTATATTCGGCTGCACCACCTCATCGCAGCTTTAGCCGCCGCTTCAAATGATCGTTGTGTTTTGCGAATTTAGAGGCATCGAAACTGCAGCAGCAAAACGGCAATCAATCGCATCATCACTACCAAGCAGTCTCACCTCTAGTCTTCGGCATCGAGCATGAATCTAGTGCTGACTCTTCGGTATTGCAGGGTGTCTCATATACCGTCTCGGCCCTCACTCTTCCGACCCTCGTCAACCTCCCATCATCATCTTCCGCCGCCCACGCCTTGACCTCTCTCCAATCCGCTCTGCGTCTCCCAGTCCTCGCTCTTTCATCTCTTGCCGCCGCTCCGCTATTCCTGTCGTTCGTCTTGTCCCCGCGCTATGCTCGCCACCCGTACCTCTTCTACACGTCCCTGCTCGCTGTGCTGTCTGCCGTAGCTCCTCGCTACATCCCCAAGCCAGCTACCTCAACTTCGAAGCCTGCCGGCGCGCGTAAAGCCACATCATCCAGAGCCAGGATGGAAGCGAGCTATGAGGTCTTGGGTGATTCACACAGCGAGGGAGACTTGCCTAGCGAGTCAGAGCTTGAAGATATCAATGGCGAGGAGGTTAGAGCCAACATTGACGGTGCCGCAAGAGCATACCTTGCCAGGACTGGCTTTGCTGCGGCTGGCTTTGTGCTGTCCGTGATTGGACTCTGGGGTGATGGTGCTCCCAGGTCCATCCGCTATTATTAAGCCATGAGCTGGCTTGTGTAACTTTGTAAGATGTTTGCGGCAAGTCTGATTGGCTATGTTTTCCAGTGGCTGGATTGGAACAATGTATCAACAATCTGGAAAGTTAGTCCTTGCAACTCAACGCGAGGTGGCTTCACCACTCCCTCATCAAGCATTATGAAAGAAAAAGCAGAAAAAAAAAGGATAAAAGAAAAGAAAAAAAAAAGTTACAAACGTCAGGTTATGGAAGATACATGTTAATGAGTCTGTACATTTTGAACCCTTACTATTCATAGCTATCCAATACGAATCACGTCTTGGCAGTAAAGGCCGCTCGAATCATTCGCAATATTTATGATATGAGTGGTGCTCATCCCATGCGGTAAGTAAAAGGATTTATCAAACAGATGATCCCTCACTTGGTTGGCCAATCAACAAGGCATAGCTTTATTTATGGCTTAAGTCGCGATGCAGCACCATCGTTGCTGACAGGGGTGATGTACGCGCCCTGTATTAAAGGTGCCTCCAACCTCAGCCACGCTCGCCGCCGTTATACAGGGATCGAGTGCATAACCATACAGTCAGTCAATACTCAGATAACCAGTAAAATGATCCTGAAAACGTCCACGTGATGAAGCCCTGGATTACCCGCGACTCAGGGGCGCATTTGCTGGCAAATATTGATTTGACTTGTACCATTTTAATGGTTTACAGCCCCGCCATATCTCTTCGAGTGACTGTAGCTAATGCAAGCCACAAATCCGTCCGTATAGTTTGTGACCTATAAAATACAGGAATAATTTCAACTTATTATTTCATGCCTGATTCTTTTGTTTATCCTATGAAAAGCCTTTATGCAGCTGACTACTCAGACTGACCTCTCAGAGCTACAGCCTCTACCGCGACCCCGCACCAGAGCCTGCTCTGCCTTGCGCCTTATGTGGAGGTAGTGATAACCATTGTGTTTTCCGCCAAGAGGATGTCTACCGTAGACGAACATTATTCCTGACCTGACTGTCGACTATATAACCATTCTATTTTTATTGTGTTTATTTTGTCTTACAAGCAGCACTTACAACTGTCGAAAGTATCCGAAGCTTAAAGCCTATGTCTTATAATAACAAGTGTGATGGACAACATACGATCCGAGCTTGTTCTGCTTTTAGCTGGCATCACTGGCGTCGTATTCACATGGCTGTGTCTATCAACAGGGAATAAACGCTCGTCTATGCCATCGAATAGCTCCCGCAGATCCCTGGCCTTTAGGATTTCCAGCATACCTCGAAGGGTGGACAAGGACGGGTTTCGAGATATCTTGACCAGGCTGCCCATCAAAGCTGAAGGTACTGCCAGCCAGCTCAAATGGACCTTGACTGGATTCTCGTACTCACATTCTGCGGCCACGGCCCACGCTGAGCGATATGCGGTGGCCACTGCCACCTTCGCAAATGCCCCAAGCCCGAGCGAGCTTGAGACGGCTATCAAGCGTGAAATTGGCATCGATGCCAGCCGATTGAAGGTTGACCTGGATTTTTTCGGCCTCACACCACTCGCTGATCCTTTACATGATATCGCTGTAGAGTAGGTCATTTGCTGCTCGGAGATCTCCTAGCCCATAGCGCTGATTGCTGATACCCCTCTAGCATTATTGCAGTAACTGGACTTGCCGGCCATGCATTTGGATCCTGGAAATCGAAAAAAGAACCGGACATGTGGCTACGAGATTTCCTCCCAGAAGCCGTTCCAAATGCACGCATTCTAACATACGGCTACGATACCAAACTACCTGGGAGCCAGTCTGAATCATCCATCCCTGACCTCTCAAGGAGGCTGCTTGAGTCTATTAAAACGATCCGATCAGGGCACACAGTAAGGGACTAATCCAACAAAAACGTTAAGACTAAAGCTCAAATGCTATAGAGAAATCGACCTCTCATTCTTATTGGACATAGCCTCGGTGGCCTTGTTGTGAAAGAGGTATGATGGAACATCCATGGAAACACTATTCAACTAGAGCTTTTTGCGCTGTTAGAAGGTTGCGACTAACTATGTACTAATGCAGGCCCTTGCTGAAGCATCTGAAGGTAGTGAAGATGACCAATCTGTCTTTAGGTCTTGCTATGCTGTTCTGCTCTTTGCTGTTCCTAACAGGGGCCTTGAAAACTCAAGCTTGATGTACATGGTCAAAGGACAGCCCAACGAGGATTTGGTGAAAGATCTCAAACAGTCATCTCGATTTTTAAATATGCTTAGCCAGAGGTTTAACAAATATTTCACACTTGACGGTTCGAAGATAATAAGCATATACGAAACCAAGAGGACCCCGACAGTTAAGGTATGCTATTTTCTATATTTACACTATATTTACATTTCATTACACTGAATATTGACTTTTCTGCAAAGTGGTGCTCGGAGACTGCATCATGGGAAAGGACTGGTTCTAAAATTATGATGGTTCCATTCACATCTGCTATTCATGCTGGTCCAAATGAGAAAGTCTATGATCAAATATCGATAGAAGCAGATCATTCCGAAATCGTCAAATTCAGCGACATATCCAACCATGACTATCTCATAATAGAATCAAGAATAAGAGACTTGGTTGCTGAAGCACCAATTGTCATTCAAGAGCGTTTTGCGCAACTCAGGAGAAGTAAGTGACTTTACTAGTAGTAATAAGTTATTTATTAAAACAATAAAATACAGAACTTTCGGATTCGGAGAAACGTTACATTGAGGCCCTCAAGGCTCCTGATTATTATGCGTTCCGAATTAACAAAGTCGATAAGCCAACACCTGGCACTCTTAGCTGGTTCTTGAAACACGAATTAGTTCAGCCATGGCTATCGACCCCCGAGTCATCAGCTTTATGGGTATACGGAGCGCCAGGCCAAGGGAAAACAATTCTTGCCAAATTTCTTTTGGACTACCTGGAAGAGCTCTCTGATAATTCGAGCCATCGCACAACGGTCATATATTTCTTCTTCTACAATCAAGATGATAACTACAGCACTATTAGTGCCGCTTTAAAGGCATTTATCAAGCAACTAATATCGGCACCACATGCGTTCCAAAGCATTTCCGATAAGTTCAACCTCGAAACCTCCACAATAACCGATGAATCGATGTGGGCCATTCTAGAAGCATTGCTTCATTCTTCTATCTTCGATACAGTTTACTGCGTGATTGATGCCCTGGATGAGTGTCAGGACCTTGAGGCTAGGCAAAGGCTACTAGGGCTTATTGAGACGCTCGTTCAGCCACCACTCATGAGAAAGAGAGAAAAGTGTACTAGTCTTAAAGCCTTCTTAACAAGCCGCCCGACCGTGGTTTTAGGTCGGAGCCTAAAAGGATTTCCGTCCATCCAGCTTAAAGCCAGTCCTGATGATCTCAAAGTATTCATTCTTGGCAAGATTCAAAACATAGGGCTACCCGCCGAGCTCGAGCGCAGGGCAATCGACTTGTTAAGCAGCCGTGTAGAGCAGACTTTCTTATGGATCTCAATCATCTTGAAGAAGTTGAGAACAGTGACGACCTTACTGTCAGAGGCGGATATGGAACAAATCATCAACGAGAGCCCGTCAGATCTAACAGAACTCTACGAAAGCATTGTCAACCAAATCATGCAAAGCAATGATAAAGTCACACAAAAGCTCTTGATCTGGACAGTCTTTGGTCGACGAGCACTGACTTTAAATGAGCTCGAAGATGCTCTTGCAATCCAGGAAGATTCTAAGAGCATTGAATCTATCAGAAAATATAGGATACAGGATCTCACGGACAGCAAAATCACTAGTGCTGCTGGAATAATTTTAGAAATTGTTAATGGGAAGGTGTACCTCATACACCAGAGCGCCAAAGATTTCCTTCTTGAGAGTGAGCATCTAGCTAAAGCTGTCTTTTGCAGAGGCCTACGCCCTGGCATTTATTTGGCAAAGACCTGTATGACATACTTATGTTTTACAGACTTTGTTGAAACAGGCCCTTGTCAGGATTCTGCCCAGCTGGATGAAAGAATTCGTCACTATCCGTTTTTTCATTATGCCGCGCGCAATTGGCACAGACATATTAGGATCGACGACGATATCAATATTTTTACCAGCATTATCAGTCAGTTGACTAAGCCACACTCACCAGAACTCTTAGCATGGGGAGAAGCAGCTGGGATAGCGAATCTTGACGAAGCAGAAAATGCCTGGGATATTGCAACGATGGCCAACATTCCATGGTTAGCTGAGTTTCAATCGAGGTACGATGTTATTACCGAGGAGATGATCAATGAAGCGGCAAGCCGCGGCTATGCAGGGTATAATTTTATAAAGTCTCTCACCGGAAAGCCTAGTGTTCGTCTTACGGAAGGGGCTGTTTATGCAGCTGCTAAATACTTCGATCATACAACAATTCACCAATTATTAGACAAGGACGCTAGTGTGATTATTACACCTGCATTAATAGAAGCGGCAGCAGCCAACCAAAAGTATGGTAGACTTGTGATGGATTTGCTGCTGGACTTGTTACTGGAGTCTCAAGACCGCTTTATTGTTACGGCAGAGTTGGTACAACTAGCAGCGGAAAACCATGAGAATGGCAGAGATATCGTTGAGTTGCTCATGCACAAAGAAGATACGGACATCTCGGAAGGCGCAATAGCTGCAATAGCGGCAAGATTTAGTGTTGAAACTATGAGAATCCTGATGAACTTGAGAGAAGACATCAAGGTCACCAAGGCAGTAATTGAAGCAGCAATAGGAAGAAGATACGACAGGGATGAGATGGTAATATTCTTGCTAGAACAGCAAGATCAAGATTTCCGGACTACAGAAACGTTAATTCCAACTATTGCCAGAGATTTTGATAAAAAAATAATGGAACTTCTTTTGGAGAAGCACGATCAAAACATTCAGATTACGGAAGAAGTTGTCGAAGCTACACGAAGAAATCTGGAGAATGCCAAGGAGTTGATGAAATTGTTCCTTAGCTGGAGAGGAGATAGTAGCACTATTACAAAAGGAGCTCTGGTTACTATTGTCAAAGAATTTAACAAGGAGGTAGTAACATTACTCCTTGACCGGCAAGGAGATGAGATTACAATTACAGAGGAGGTTATTGAAGCTGCAGCGGGAAATGAGAGTGGTAAAAATAATATGGAATTACTCCTTGACCGGCGAGGAGATGAGATTACAATTACAGAGGAGGTCGTTAAAGCTGCAGCAGGAAGCTGGTGTGGCGAGAGCACTATGACATTACTCCTTGATCGGCGAGGAGATGAGATTATAATTACAGAAAAGGTTATTGAAGCTGCAGCGGGAAATAGAGATAGGGTTTTAAAATTACTCCTTGACCGGCGAGGAGATGAAATTAAAATTACAGAAAAGGTTATTAAAGCTGCAGCAGGAAATCCTTATGGCAAACGCAATATAATATTACTCCTTGACCGGCGAGGAGATGAGGTTACAATTACAGAAGAGGTTCTTGAAGTAGTAGCAGGGAATGGGGAGGGCAAGGATATTATGGCGTTACTCCTTGACCGGCGAGGAGATGAGATTACAATTACAGAAAAGATTATTAAAGCTGTGATAGAAAACCGGTATAGCGGGTGGGATATGATGAACTTACTCCATGACCGGCTAGACCTGATCACTATGACAGAAGAAGCCGTTAAGGCTCTGGCAACATGGAAAGAACAGTATATTACTTATCAGTAATATAGCGAAAACTATAGATACTAGGTAGATTAAACAGCTTATAAAACAATGAATCCAGATATCGGGAACACTAGGGAGGAATCGCCGTTATAGATCACATTGGCGAGGATCAAAAGCCTTGTCTAAAGTCGGACCGGGAGGGCGAGAGACTTGAGGTCATCGCGGCGAAGCGCAGCACCAAGAATTCCAAGCACCTCAACGCACAGACCTTTGATGACCGGCCGCCTCTATTCGACTTTTTGAACGATCTGGAGTGTGTCGAGACCCTGATCCGGCACGCGGCCGGGATTGATGTGATGGCTAACGCCGGGAATAACGCTTTCCACCATGTCTGCATTTAGGGAGAGCACGGCGCGCTGGAGGGAATGTTCAATGACAGCTTAGATCCCTCTGTCACTTAAGATAACCATGGGAATACGCCCCTGATAGATGTCCCCCAAGTTGGACAACATGGGCGCTCTCATAGCAAGGACGGCTGGTCCCCCATCCACTACGTGACCAAAATTGGCGATCCGGAACTTTGAGAAGTCGGCCAAGACACTGGATGACAAGCAAGCCAAGGTGGCGGGTATGGAGGCCGGGACTTGGAACGGCAAGATCAAAGAACTGATCCTAGAGCATGATTATCTGGACTGGGATGATTGAACAATGGGACATGGCCTGCACGATGGAAACGCCGATGCAGAGTAGTATTGAGCCTTGAATGTGACTACATGTAGGTGGGGAGAGCAGCGTGTATGAATGGCAAGGGCTTCTTTCGGGCCGCCGGGCCGGGCCGGATGATCGTCTCCTTGGGAGTGCGAGGCGGCGAAATCTACCAGTTAAGCAGCATTTACTTTCTGGATTTTTATTCGGCTATCATATTAACTAAGTTACTGACCTAGATCCTCAAATTGTGCAAATTTCTAAGCATCAGGTACGACCTGGTACATTCCAGTTCCCCAACTAGATGACCTTTGATCCGTCTAGGTGGCCCGGGCCAGGTTGGATAGCCTTGATTAAGTTAAATAACGTTCAAATCAGATAACTCATCTCCGCCGCTGAGTATTCTTCAATATGGTACCTTTTTAGAGCCAGGTCTAACAACACGCTGGTATGTTTGTATACAAAGAATGCGCCACTGGGAATGTAGTAGATACCAGACACTTATTATCGGATCAGCTTTTATAAGAACTATTTTAGAGATTATCGCTAGAGAACAGCATTCTGGCTATTATGCATCGCAATGATGGCATTTTCGCTTTTGCGAATGCCCCTCTCCCATACCGGATATCTGGATTCGTACCACGATAGGATACCACTTGGGCCAGAGGCAGAGATGCATTTTGCAAGTTCGATGCCGTCCATGATAGCATTGTTTGCGCCTTCTCCTCCTAGGATAGGCTCTGCATGCACAGAATCACCCATAAAAAAGACGCCCTTCTTGGCGAATGCGTGAAGCTCCTGCTGTTTGACGAGAACTGTACGCATAAGCCAATGCAAAACCCTCTCCATCCTCAGTTTTTCTGCATCAAAACTTCTTTAAATGGCTGGCTCAGCCCACTAAGGGCCGCTACTTCGTCAAAAAACTCCTCTGGGATATCTGTTGCTCCTGACACTGGGCGGTTGGGCTTGTGAAGAGGATCGGTAGAGCCTCTGGCTGGACGCGAGAAGATCCAGCTCACGCTCACCACATCTGCCTGTTGCTCATTAACCGATATATTCAAGACAAGGTCGTATATTTTCATCTCGATAACATTTGACTCCTTGAATGCTGGGGCGTAGATGCTGTCGAATACAGCACGCTTTACCCATCGTTTGCCATTGAAGGCGACATATGGGAGAATACCGAATGGCGTGTTAGGAGAGAGGGATTTTCGAATATTTGAGTGCGGTCCGTCAGCTCCAACAACACACGAGCTCTCAACCTTTTGTCCATTTCGTAAGTATAAGGCCACTCCCGACGGTGTTTCTTCCACCTTTTCTAGGGAGTGCTCCCATTGGACATCGAGGCCCTCGCTAAGCAATTTCTCCAGCTTTTCGCGATGGGCGCGAAACGAGGTGGAAATTAGATTCCCAGGATAGACCATGGATGTCGATTCAATGTTCCCATTACCACCCAGCGATCCATCTACGGCTGTACGACGCCTGAAGGTGAGTTCATCCAGGCCCAGGATATCCAGAAGTGGCATATACGACGACGCGTGAAGCGTGACGCCATAACTATGGCGGGGGGTTGAAGGCATTCGCTCATAAAGTACCGCTGGAACCCCGTGCTTGAGAAGACAGCGCCCGAGCGTTAGGCCTCCGATTCCCGCTCCAATGATGCGCACTGGTTGCTGTGGCATTGAGATGGTGATGCGTTGCAAGATATGTTGGGTGAGTCTTACAAAGGTAGAAGGAGACGATTTCCTCTAGTCTGGCCTGTGGGGTTTGTAGTTATTGATCACTCATGGCCGCTGGGAGATTATATCGGCTGTGGCTTGCGCGTATTATTAGTTCGATTTGTGAAGAAGGACGCTGTTCTACAGATCGAAAAAATATATGCAGATGTATACATCAATATGTGTATTGGAGGACCCCTCAGTTACACAAGTGCAGTGCATCTCCACCTTGGATTAAAGATACTGAGAGAGAAGGGCGAGAAAGGAGTGGAAAGGATAGAAAACAGGGCCATTATCAACTACATATACATAGTATTGCAATGGTTGGTTCATATGGAGCGTATTTTTAAGTGCACGGCAAGAAAGTCGGTCGCGATCTAGCGCACGGGGCGCAATACTGGATCCAAAGTACAGAGTAAACAGGACATCGAGCTTATGGAGGCCTGGAAAGCCCGTGCCTGGTTGTAGCACATGTGTAAGTACATGTAGGGCACTAGATTGGTGCATGTAGCACTCAATGTCATGCTCTTACGTGTACCTTGCAAATAGCAGAATGCTGCCTTATTTTTATCTTGGCCATGTCGAGGCCTCTAGCTCAGCCTGAATATTCCTCTCTGCAGCATGCAAAATATCGCCTCACAAAATGGCTGAGGCTCTCGGCGTCGCATCTGGTGTTGCAGGCCTAATATCATTGGGGGTCAGTGTATGTCAGGGTATTTTGGCATAATACAATGCATTCAGAGACTCTCAAGAAGACATCGACCAAATGTGTGCTTCCATGGAGAATGTGGCCAAGATGCTTCTGGCAATCGATTTAACTATTCGCCAGTGTCAATTTGACCAGAACATCATCGCTGTGGTCGAGAGTAGTATAAACCTTTGCACGAAATGTCTGCATACTTTAGCGAAAAAGCTTGATAAGGTTTGCTCAACTCAGGCGGATGACAAGCTGTGAATTCGACTAGAAAACACGAAACGAAGGTTGCTTTATCCATTCAAAGAAAGCACGCTCGCCAAGCTGAGAGAGATTTGCCATGATCTTAAAACCAACCTTGGCTTAGCTATTGATGCTCTAAATGTGGAAGTCTCTCGGTTTAACGCTCTGCTAACCATTGTACTTAGAAAAGAAATCATGCTCATGAGTACTAGGCAAACCGCTTTCATAGCCCAGCAGCGTCTCGATATTTTATCTCATATTACATCTGCTGTATCAAAAACGGTCGGAAGCATATCGGCTGATATGGCAAACGTAACTGTGGATATCCGCTCAATTCGGCTTGATCAAGAAGGTAAAATGAAGAATCTAATACTTTTGAATAGTATTAGGCTGAAAATCCCCATAATAGAAAGCGTAATGGCGGATATATATGCTTGGCTGACACCCCTTACGACGATTTTTCGAAACAAACACCAAGAAAGCCTCTCAATCAAGGACCGTCAAGACAGTGGTGCTCAGCAGCTGCTGCAGCACCAGCAATTCGAGACATGGGTGGCCTCGACTGGCAGTATCCTATGGTGCACTGGTTTGCGTACGAACCCTTCTTCACTAGTGGAGACCGTTTAGCTTATTAGATGTCCACAGCTGGTATTGGAAAGACGATAAATGCGTGAGTAGATCATCATTGGCTTGAATGAATTAATAATCTGACAATGGAATTCCAAAGGTCTTATATAATTGAAGCACTGCGAAAACAGAGTCGTGGCGGCGATCTTGGTATTGCTTTCGTCTATTTCAGTTACAAAGATATCGAGACTCAGACCCCAGTCAATGTGATGGCCAGCATTCTTCAGCAGCTGGTTTCCGACAAACCAAGCCATCTCCCAGACCTGAAGAAGTTACATGCTCAACACACCAGACAAAACACGCGACCATCCGTTACCGACATAGTCTTGCTTCTTCAAGATGCTGTTCTTAGCTTTTCCAGGGTTTTTATCATTATTGACGCATTGGATGAGTGTACAGACGCTGACGACGCCCGATTTATACTTTTGACAGAGTTGAAGAAATTACAGCATCGAATGTGTTTACTTGTCATGTCTAGGCTGATTCCTGATCTAGAACAGCTCTTGGAGGGCGCTACCCGTCTCAATGTAGAAGCCAGCCTCATCGACATCAAGAACTATCTCCAGCAGCGGCTTGAAAGCACACGAAGCATGCAAAGACATCTTGGAGAGGAACCAAGACTACGGGATAGGATAATATCGGTCATCGTCCAGAAAATCAAGGGCATGTAGGTTTGGACTTGAGCTAAAAACATTACCGGGGGCTATTGGATCCTGATCATTTGTTTTACGTTTCTCATGGCTCGGCTATACTTAGACACGCTAGTGACCTAAACGACTCGTCGAAAGATAAAGAATGCCTTGGATACGTTGCCTGAAGGTCTCGACTCTATATACGAAGAGCTGATGAATCGAGTTAAATTGCAAAACCCCCATGATCACGCAGAGCTAGCAATGAGAGTGCTCGGCTGGATTTTTTATACCGCCAGACCTCTAACTGTCATTGAGTTACAAAATGCTCTTGCGGTCGAGCATGGCGACACTTGCCTGGATGATGATGGCATCCCAAATCGTGATTTGCTCGTGTCAGTATGTGCTGGCATTGTGATGATCAATGATAATAGCGACACTATTAGCTTTGTCCACTATACAGTGCAAGAATACTTTAAACGTAGCGGCCAATGTCTTCTAGACCATGCGAATAGAGATATCGCCGCTACTTGCCTGACGTATCTACATTTCGATAACTTCGGCTGCTACAACATAAAAGTGACGAGCCGAGATACCTTTTTAACGCTGTTACAAAACAATCCGCTCCTAGGCTACGCAGCACAACATTGGGGAAATCATCTGAGCCAATCTAGCGATGAAGAAACCAACGAGCAGGCGATTGAATTATTGAAGGATAGAGACAAAGTGCATCTTATTGCCTGGTTGAAAGAATATGCAGATAATCTGGTCAAAGGTACCTATTTTAGGCCGCGAACACAAGTCACCGGCTTAACACTAGCTTCTTCTTTTGGTCTCACAGTTGTGGCATCTAGTTTGATCAATTCAGGTTCATCTTTGCATGAAAAAGACTCAAACGGCCAAACTGCTCTGCATCACGCCGTACAAAATGGGCATACAGATACGGCAGCGTTGTTGTTAGATATGGGCGCTGAGGTAAATCCGAGAGATCTCACCGGCTCATCACCTCTCCATCAAGCGTCTGCCAAAGCTGACAAAAACACTGCCAAGTTGCTCATACTGAAGGGTGCCGATGTTAATGCGGTGGATGGCTATAATGCAACGCCCTTATACAGGGCTGCAGAAGCGGGAGACGAAGCAGTCACCAAGCTCTTACTCGATGCAAATGCCGATTTAAATGTCAAGAACAGTTACCTCCAAACGGCTTTGCACCGAGCAGCTGATATAGGGCATCTCGCTATAGTGGACTTACTGCTTAAGCATGGCGCAGATGTCAAAGTGAAAGATCACTACGGATATACTCCATTCTACCGCGCTACCGATCAAGGACATGAAGATGTCGCAAGACTATTACGAGCTCACATGCGACGAAGTTGATGATTGTATGTTCTTTATGATTAGGTGTGGTCATGGAGATGTGCTATGAATTGACAATGCTGTCTCAGCAGGCAAATATTTATATGACCTCAAATGCCAATAATATTAGCTTATGAATATATACTTTTCCTATCTTCTTATTTGCACCGCTTTAACTACCAATCTGCTTCTCATTGGCTTTACTCTAGGAGAGCGGACGGGGTCCTGACTAGTTCAATGAATAGGGTCGAATTGACAGAACACTGGGCTACAGACTTTCATGGAGCAATCAAGGAAGCCTTACGATCAGAGCATGCATTAAAAAACCGAAAAAAAAAGGTAAAAAAACATACAACAGCCGGTGTTCGCTGATGGTCACCCACTCAACTACTAATCTGCCGGTTAGTGGCTTATCTATGGGGGAGCAGACGGGACCCCGAGTTTTCCACTACCTATGGTCGTATGTGTTTGGTATTCTCTGTCACTAATTTATAAAGAGTTTTTGAAAAGGAATTACATTTATAATAAAATAAAATAAAATACTACTTAAAATTTTAATAAAATTTAAAATAAATAAAAAATATATATTAATTATAATTATAATAAATTATAATTAAATAAATAAAAATATTTTAAAAAAGCTATAAAATTTAATTAAGAAAGAAGAAGAAGAAGAAGAAGAAGAAGAAGAAGAAGAAGAAGAAGAAGAAGAAGAAGAAGAAGAAGAAGAAGAAGGAGAAGGAGAAGAAAATCCGACCATACCCTCTTGGATTGGAAGACCGGAAATACCTTGATGGTTTGATGGACGACTTCCACACACAAGGTCGGGCAAGCTGGATGAAACAGCCAACACCATTCGGATGCCCAATCTTCGTCGTCTGGCGAACGGTAAATGGACAGCGAAAAGGTCGAATGGTGGTGGACCTGCGACCCTTGAACAAAATTACCATACCGGATATATACCCTATACCATCCCAGGAAGACATCATCAATTCTCTGCGACACAAGAAATACGTTACCGTACCTGACGCTTCAGCCTTTTTCCATCAACTGCCCATCTATAGCAAGCACAAGATTCTAAATAATTCCAAGGCTGGGTATGGCTTTCCATTATTATGGCTTTCCATTATTATTCCATTGTTACTTTCCGTCTATATCTAGGCAGTCGCGGTCACAGTCACAGAAGATAAGGCAGGTCAGCCAAGGTATATGCCAGTAGTACTTGCCTATTTCAGGAGGCAGGATATAGACAATCCCAACGTGGCTCCTGCCCAAGGTACGTAAACACTATCCTGTATATGGTGAGTTTTGGCGACGTCGCAGCCTTCTTTGACCCCTTCATACATCGTCATAATGAGAGAAACGCCAAAAGTATCAAGCCAGCCATTCCCACAAGAGGAGATTTACTTTTGCATCGGGCCGATTTCTCTGGATATATAAACCAGACGTACAACCACATGTTGCAAAGCCTCAATTCGCGAAAGCCTGCTATTTAATGGACAAGACACTTGCACAATCATCAACCATGACTGTAATACCATCAACCATGACTGCAACATCGTCACTTTTGACTGTAGAATCCTCAACCACGGGCGCAGAATCATCAGCTACATCTACGCCTGTAGACAAACCTCGCTGCACGCACTATATCCCCTGCCATTGTCCCTCGCTCCCCGAGTATGCTTCTCCGCCGCTGGGAGATGAATCGTCTCCATTATGGCTGCAAAGACCTCATAAAGATGAAGACTATAACAAGACCATAATTAAGCATACGCAAAGCTCGCGTTATCGACGGATAGCGGCCGCCTGGCATGATGTGTGGTTGGCTATTAAGATTAGTCGTCCGCTAACACCACTTAAAGTACGATCATTCCGATGGCTGATATCAGCTGACCTTATTCCCCGGGGATATGAAGATGGACAAGCGCCATGGCGCATGCTTATACGGTCCTATCTTACAGACCTCCCCTTTCAATTAACTCAAGGAAACATCAGTCGAAAGTCTGTATTTTTATGGCAAAACTTTCCAAGACATCTAGGCCAACTGCATAACCGCACAAAGCTTGATAACGCACCTCCTGAGATAACATGCGGGAGACGAGCAGTTTTCTCCCAATATAACCGGGATTATAATCATAGCTTAATTGGAGACTGGCTTGTTATAGTCTACATTTGGGCTACTAATAAAACATGGATGGAGAGGACTGACTTTTTAGACTTAGTCTCTTATGATAGTGTGACTGGGTAAGTAACTAAAGCTTATGCCTTGTATATTATATTATTTTAAAACATTGATTACTTATATATTATTTTCTTTAGTATTCGCGCTTGGGAATTTGTTAATGCAGTTGACGCTTTTACCAAGATTCCACACCTATTCTACCAATATAAAATAAGGGACTCTATAGAGCAGGATGCCATATACGCTGGGCGCCCATATCAACACTATAACTCTGTTCAGATAAAGCCTGGAGACCCTGTACCGGCCAGACTCGCGGGGTTAAGAAGATTAATGAACGGGCGGTCAAGACATTTGTATTGTGCGACATATGAGTATGAAACGTGTGATGACAGGCACTCATAATAAAACTGCCTGTAGGGGGTAGAGCTTTAAAGACACTTGAATTGCCATAAGATGCGGGCTTTGTCTAATAGATCGAATCTTGAAAAATATCTACGTATAATTAGTTTAATTTCAACGCTGCATAGATTTAACTGTCGTGTACTTTTAATTTTAGAAGCCAAAGGCGCCGGATATAAAAGACTTTGAACCGCGTTATAGAACTTGACGGGACCCGAATTCTCCACTACTTCTGGTCGTATGTGATAGATAAGCGCAGAAATAAGCATTATAAATGGGAGTGTCTCGCTTGTTTCTAGTCGCGGAGAGTTCTCTTCAAGCCACAATGTTTGGAAAACTAACTAAAGCTTGCAGTTTGCTAGAGTGGCCACGAATGCCCTGCTGCCATTTGGCTTATATCTTAATTATCCTGTTTCAATAACATCTACGAGATCAGCTTCTAATTAGGGTTCCCGAAGAAAGGCTTATTATAACTATTCTTTCATTCATATCTTGCATAGTACTTTGCATTAGTTTATATTTATGGGGGGTCCTATATCTTCCAATGCATATACCTACGAGGCGGGGGCGTTTTCTGGTAAGAGATCAGGCAAGAAGTATGCTCTGGTAAGAGCTCTGCTGAGTATTTTTCCAAGCAAAAAGAGTCACCAGCAGCTTGAATCTATGACAGGACTTCTTTTTTTCCTCTTACCATCACCTCCGTCTTGCCATATCTCTCATAAAAAACCCCCCCGGGGCTCCTAGGTAGTTATATGCGGTGAGCTGGTCTCGAAGTTCAGCCTGATATCACTCACTATTGGACAAGTGCATACCAGTTTCACTAAGATGGCTTTATAACTCAAAGCGAATATTGTCTACAGCACAACACGGAGTGCAAAGTAGGGCACTCCATAATTACATATGCTAATACAGGTGTAAGAGCGTCGTGAAATGCCCCACCTATTCTTCAAATACATTTTCCAGCACTATACTGCTTAATATATAGAATTTGAACAGATATCTGTTATTGGTCAAGTTAGACGAAGTACTGCGCAGCTGACAAAGAAAGTACAAAACGATGCCCTAATACTACCTATAAAAAGATATTAATCATGCGGGTAGTCGTGTTGTTTAAGTACTAGGTAACTAATTTAGGCCTTACTCAGTGCGGAAAAGTACTGTAAGCAATATGTTGTCTAGACCATACCTCGGTCAATAAAGCTAGTGAGGAACAATTAGGCTTATGCTCTACAGGGGTCAATGGAATACCACCTTCCCAGATTGTCTATATGCCTGGACTAAGTAAGCTAAACAGAACTCTTGTATGTTCTTTGAACTATTTCATTAACCGACACTAGTATAAAGCAGCTGACTCAAGCAGAGATAAATGGTTCGTATTGGTGGAGTTATTGAAGATATAGCAGATGTAGGTTAAAATATCTGTGCTTCTATTAGTCTAATCTCAGAAGGGTACCAAAACCATCTTTAGAGAGATGCCTTCTTATATCTTCCCTTAATATAAGAGTGGTGTTGACTAATATATTAAGTAATTTACTCTAAGTAATATTAATATCGAGCATAACAAACTCCTTTTCTAACTTCTATATCATTCAAGTGCCTTTAAAATACCTGTCACAATTAACACTACTCCGCCCTATGCTCCCACACCCGTACAGCCCTACCTTCTACGGTGAGCCGTAAGCACTACAAAGAGGTCAGCTTGTGTCTGTGCTGCTCTAGTTGCAAATGTCACAACTTCGGGCAAGCTCGCCTCGTAAACTGGGGATTCAAAACTAATCAAGATGTAATACCTAGTAAGATGTAGCAAGCCATAAGCTTTCAACTCTTCTTAATATTAATGAACCCATCGTTGCGACGATCATTTCTATAAAGAGTGTCGAGTCCCTTGCCTTTCTAAATTTTTTTCTAGCAACTCAACCTATCAACTCTAGTCTTCCAACTCAGCCTTCCAACAATAGAGAGCCTCCCCGTTTAACAAACTAGGAGAAAATGATGTTCTTCGCTCTTGCCCTACCTCTCCTCCAGCTCGCGGCTGCTGCCCCTGCCGCAGATGTGGCAGTGCCAAACATCACTGATGCTCTTGAGAAGCGTGGTGATGGCTCGGGCGTACACCTTGTGAACTGTGATGGTTTTTCGGGCGAGGGTACAATTTTACCCAAGAGTTCCCACGTTGTTGTAAGTTTATAACCATGATAGCCTAGCTCTTGTATAGACTTTCTCAATGTTAATATCGTTTTGTTAGTACTGCCCGAATGATGGCAACTGCAACTTCCAGCCCTCCGGAGACAATATATGCACTATGGGAGAGAACTTCTGGTTCACATGGGAGGGGCAAGCTCAAGCCTGTACATTTTCTTCTGGCGTTCGCTTTTCTTGGTTTATTGACGGCGACGCACAGTCGCAACCAAACTTCCAGCATGTTGGGTAAGTCTTGCAAAACTCTCCAGCGTGGTCAAGCTCGCAGATTAACATGATGGGATGTAGCGATGGCGGTAACCAATTCCGGGCATACGCGGGTTTCAAGGACGATCAGCACACGATGTTCTCCTTGGGAAATGGCCAATGCCATTCTATCTACTACTTTATCTAATGGCGTCACGACCCAGCTTTTAGGGTCGCGACAATGGGTCGCTAATGACTTAGGTACAGAAAGCGTGAGTTATGGTGGGTAAAGGAGTAATGGATAGCGCCGGGTTAGTTGACCACCAAAAACGGAATTGTATGACTCTAGATTTGGAGTTTTTGGTTGCAAAAAATAGAAGACAATAAATTCAAGAAGAGAACTTGACGTGACCCTGAATTTTCCACTATTGATGGTCGTATGTGCTTGGCCACTGACAGACGTTGTCTAATATAGCTATTCTACTCAATAAAGAATATCTCAAGGATAAAGAGTATTAACCAATTAAGGTAACGAAAGGGAGCTGTTGTGGCCTAGTAGGTAGATCAGGGGGACGATCCACTTTTAGAATGCCCTTGAATGCTTTAACTTCTTGGCTTTTGTAGAGTAAACCAATCTTTACAAGGGCCTTGCTTCTTGTAACTAGTATGCTTTGCTTGTTATTTCTCTGATAGCGGTTTTTACATATCACCCGAGTGCCTCTACCTCATACCTAGACATTAAGTCCGGTTTGTAGAGTCCGGTCTGTAGACCCACTAGACACTGATGCATATATATATGTATATATATGTGTGTGTGTGTGTGTGTATAACGCTTCTTTATGTGAAACCCTTCCAATTACTATCAACCCTCTACTATTGATATATCTTCAATAGCGTTAAAGGCCGCACGACTATTCAGAATTAAATAGAAACGCAAAGTAAATTAGTCTAGCTCCATGAGTTATTTACATTTACTTTCTGTTTAATGCTCCACTTCCTCCGTCAATCTGTTTTCTCCTCGAATTAATTTTAGGTGGTAATAAGGATGTAGTCTAAAATACACACCAGTCACACGACGTCTAACCGCAAATGTAGCTTCGGTGTACATTGCAAGAGAGGTTAGCCTCGGCCAGGCGGCAATTGCTGTTAAAGGAGCCGTCTTCATTAGTTAGCCACAGCGACGGACCACCACAGCCTTGAAGCCGGTACTTGAATCCATTATCAAGCGGGTTGGCAAGGGGGACGTTGCACGGGTTCTGGCCGTTGTCGTTGATCCTGTCCCAGCGGCAAGGGTCGCCACCCTCAATCCACATCACTAATAAGTAGACGGACGGCGTTAATTTCTTTCAGATCAACTGAAGACATATAGCAGTGATGAAGTTAAACAGAAGATAGACGTACCGTTGAAACCCGCGGCGATTCCAATCGCAATGGCGGCCTCAGCACGCGTCACCGACAAGGCCATGGCCAAGACAGTGGGGATAAGATCTCGTGAAAAGAGCATAACGAAAGGTGAGGGGGTCTGCTGAATAGCTAAAGGAAAATTTGTCTATTTGGTGGCTCAGTGAAGAGGCAGGATTATTGGTGCTGCTATGACTGGATGGTAGATGCCGCTGGTGCCTTTTATAATATTCTAAGTTTGACGGAGAGATTAATTAACCTCTTTATACTCTAAATATTGCAGAGATACCTTCTGTTTCTACCGCTGGTTTAAACAAAAACCCCATAGGATATTTTGAACTTGCGGTGTCCAGTAAGGCTGCCGTTCCATGGGTTCTTTGTATTGCCCTATACAGTAAATGTAATCCTGGGCAACGGGTATTAATGGAAATGAAATATTCTGTCGACCAATCACGGACATTTTGATCGCTTACTTATGCTTACTCAAGTTAACCTTGAATCTTTTAGTTAGAATTGACCTTCAACCTTCTACTTAAAGGGAACCTCACTGTATGGGTGGGGAGAGTAGCGGGCGTTCTTGACAAAGCGGGACTCGTATATAAATGGCACGGACCTCTTCGGCAGCCTGATCGGACGATCGCCAACTCATGATGCCAAGAGTTGCAGCTCTTCAAACGTAAGCAAAGAGCTAGACGGAATCCGAATTTTCCACCGCATATGATCATATGCAATTGGGCTTGTACGATATCCACTTAAAGACTGCTTTAAAGGGAGATGGAACAGAGAGAGTTTCCATTGCCAAATACGTACTTATAACCAGGGGTGCCAATAGCTCATGGATCAGTTAGACTTCTAACCGTGGTGTACAAATTGAGTTAATGAGATATGATATTCCTCGAGCTGTAGAGCCAGAGTTCAAACAAGGAGAAGCATCTGCGCCTCAGCTGTTCCCAATTCACACTTCCGGATTACTTCGCCTTGCATTATCCCATGTACGTAGCATTCTCCTATAATCCTCCAAGCTCGTCTTCCTGTTATAGCTGGACACTTTCGAAGCACAAAAGGAACTCCGGACCCAAAAAGCACCGCAATTCTGTCCCCAGGTTTTAATTTCTGGGGGCCTAATCCAAAGTATCCCTTCTTAGTGATGAAGAACCTTCGCCCTAAAGCAAACCTCTCGATACCTGCTTCCAATGTATCCTGTGGCACCAGACTTGGTCGCTGTCTCAGAGCTTCATACACATCATCAATCAATAGCCTGTACATGCTTCCTATTAGAGTGATTTGCATCTTCGGAGTCATCGAGATCCCATGCGATACGATATAATCGTCTCTTTTTTGCTTGTCGCCCAGCGAGCTTATCGCTGTGTCGTCTGCATTCCCAATACGGATCGGGGACTATATTCGCTAAATTGAACGGCTGATGGTAACGATCGTATGACTGTTCTTGCCATATTGAAGCAATCTCCAATAGGAGTGCAGGATACTCATCATCATGCTGTGGAAAGGCTCGCTCTTTTAATTTAGGATCCAACCGGATCCTAAATTTTGGGGGATAATCTCTTCTTCCTGGGGTAAGAGTAGTTAACGATCGATTGAGGGCAGATATCGACTGATCAAGAGCTTCGCAGCAAACTCAACTAATCCCTTTTTAATTGCTGTTATTGGAGGCTGCCCCGACGACTAGGACTTCGGAATTTTTCTGGAAGCCATTCCTCGTAACATGGCTGGTACAAGTACCGTATGCCTTCAAACCGTCGACTGTCCCACAAATAACGTGGACCAAAAAGCTTCAAGCAGCTGATTGACAATTGGTTACCTGATAGATACCTTTTTATTGGATAAAGCAAGATGCTTGCAGCAACCAACAGCGACCATGAAACGAGTAGCGTCCGCCCAGTTTCTGTCAGTATTTTCAACAGTGCTCTCATGGCATATTTCTATCCCGTCCCACAATATTCCCTTAATTTGCAAAGTTTTCTCGTGTTTGTCCAAATTGAAGGAGGCATTTACGGAAGTAGCGGTTCCGTACAATGGCTTTGAGGCAGAGTGTTTCAACTCTTGTAGCAGCCATCTCTTCATCTCAAGTTCTGTAATAAGCTCACCTCGCTGCAATAGATCGGGGTTTTTAGATAGGTGAGGATTCTCATGTGCGATGACAAAGACGACGTTATCGCGATGGAGCACCTCTTAAAATTGCTCTTTGAGTCTAGGTGAGATTTTGTGAAATGAAAAATTTTAGGAATATCCTCTAGGTTTTTTATAACTGCGGAACCTTTGACAGCTATTTCTAGTCGTCTAATTCGGCGTTCCCGTAATACCTCATCTTTAGAAGTCCTCAGTGGAGAATTAATAGGGAACCTAACCGATGACCGTTCACCAGTTCCATCAGCCCCAACGAGCTTTTTGGGTTTTGTATATTTTGGTTCTGCTCACCACGTAACATCGAAATAACGTTGTATGTTTCTAAGAGGCAAAGGCAGCGAACCAAGTGGAACAGACCAGTCCGGAACACAAGATGGTAGATCTTGATCATCGTTGCCACATTGGCGAAGAATTTCTAGCTTGGATTCATCTAGCAGCAACATTGCAAGTTGTTGAACCCAAAGCAAGAGTTTCACGGGATAGACACCGTACATAACAATAGATACGATCGTATGTGGCTGGTTCTCTGCATTATGTCATTTTAAATAGAATCTGAGTACAACTTATTCACGATTGCCAATATTATTCACATCAATTCATTTGCCCTTACCTTGCGGCAGAGGCAACCCAAATAGAAAGTCATGCCTAACAAATAGGTTAAACAGCTTATTTGCTTTTGTTATATGAACTAGCAAACGATACAGCCTTAATTATCTAAATGCCATGAAAACAATCGCTTTCTAATATATGCACGCTAATTACTGGTAGAGGATCTCTCGTTCATTACCCGCCAGCACCTCTCTTCTCTAAAATAAGAAGAAAAAACTCCAGCCGTGAATTTTTTGTATCCTAAAACGCCGATATAAGTGATATGCTTTTCTCCTTAAACCATGGATGTATTGATTTTTTTCTTCTCAGCCCCTGAAAAAGCGTATAACAATGTAGCAAGACCTTTGCCGCCGCCAGAAACTGCGAGAGCAACTGCTGATCCAGCAGTTCGGTAAATGAGGGCACCGATGAAACCCCCAGCGACAAGTGCTATAAGAAACGAGACGCGTCTCGTTCGAGGACGATTATCCAAAACAAAGAGCTTTCGGTCAATCATAAGATCTACCCACGCTGCAGTTGCCATGGCAGTGCTGATTTCAGTTGCCGCCAGACTTCGAGATTGCACCACCTGGCTACCGGCGGCAAACGCCAACAAGGCCACAACAGCAATGGCTGTTGGGCCGTGGTCATGAACTCCATACCGGTATTGAACGGCGGTGGCACCAAAGATGAGACAAGTTTGTACTAGATTGCACAGAATAAGCCACCATCGCTTCCGAGGGCCGACGACATGACCCAGTTGGCCTGTTAACCACCCTGCGAAAAGGAAAACACCGAGTCCCGTGCCAATGTTGGCAGTATAGAACATGTCGCCGTTTAGTTTTGGTATAACCACGGCCAGACATAGAAAAATGGTATTGCCTGTTTGGTTCGAGGCAAAACAGTGATAGTCTGGGAACGTTGTTGCATCTTGGGCAGCCTTACGTTAGCCTTTGGGAACAGCAATACTATGCATAGAAAAGGGGGCCGTCTACCTTGAATGCCTGTGCAAACCGTTATTAATAAGAGTTGGAGCTCAACGAATAGTGACGTGCGAACGTCCTGGTTGAAGTGGTCGATAAATCCATGCTCAATTTCAGATTTTTCGGAAGTTTGTGGAGTCTGTTGTCCAGCACAGATTGACCCTTCTCGACTAGTGTCTTGAGGGCTGGTAACTGTCTTGGCCTCTGTTTCAGCCATTGGGCCTGTTGAAGTTGCGCTGATGAGTTTTCAGAGATTAGGATTGAAAACAAATTGATTTGGACCAAAAAGAGAGATTACCTGAGAGGCAAAACCTGGGGGCAAAGATTTACTTAATACAAATGTCGGGACCGACTTCCGTCTGAGGCACGGTACGAAAATTGGATAACCGCCGGCCCCACGTCCGAACTCAGGATCCATGAGCACTGCTTCAAGGGGAGAGCCAGTAGCGGACTTTTCCGGCCAAGTAGCTTGGCGAGAAGCGCATACATAACGATTTCGCTGCTTTTAAAGAAAGCTGCCTCTCAGATCAAAGAGTGGCTCACTCATATCTCCGCAGTACGGAAACGATGTCTTGGCGTGCAGGGTTTACGATAACGGACGCTTCGACTCAAGTCGCACACAAAGTGTCCTCGCTGCAACTTTGCGATTGTTATATAGTATTTCTCATCGCGGCGCTGAGGGGCAGAAAAAGAGAAGTACACGCATCCTTCGTGCTCATACCATACAGTTCAGCACATCTCAGCGAGTCACCCTTATCCTAGAAAGCAATTCTCTTTGTTCTCTATCTCTTTCGCTGCCCACGATGGCTGCTTACTCTGCTAGCCGAAATCCGACAGATACAGTCGCATCCAGCTCAGCTCACCGACTATTATAGGTATAGGCGTTGGCTCTTAGATAATGTTTACGTACATGAGTCCCTGCAAGCTGCAATAGGGGCGGCGTCATCGAGACGAGAGTAGAGAGAAAAAAAAAAAAAGCCCGATTTAAAGCGGCATGGCGGCGAAAGCCTGTTTCTTCCAGCCAATAGCCAAGGGCTGACCCGCCGCATCCGGAGTGGGCCCCGGCCGGCTGCCGACGAGCTAGCCGCGCGGGCCGGAAGAAGATCTGGCTCCAACTCCACCGATGCCGCCGACATCCGCGCTGCCAATGCTGCTGTTTTGGAGGGAAATCGTTCTTGACAAGAGGTTGGAATATGGTGAAAAATAGAGTTATGGATGATATAGACTGGGTAGTGCATTAGGAAAACGTGGAGTTGGATGATCTGGAAAATATATGGAGTAGATCTTGATCGATTAATTGTGGATGTAACTCTGCCCTGGACTATGTCCTAGCTACTCTGTTCAGGGGTATGTGCTATGTAGGATCGACATGGCCTGTGAGAGTCTTTGACTTATAGACCAAATTTTCCAATGTAAGCTACATGTACTTACTTTATACTAGTTGCCTACCTACCTACTACTAGGTAGGTATTTCTGTTAAGCTAGAATATTGGCGCTTTGTTATTTGACGAGTATACCAAAGGTATAGTATCCCGCTGCCAAACAATCAACATCTTTATTGAAGATATTGACGAGAAACCCTGGCCTCATTCTCCCTCCTAATAACTACCCATATATAGAACGAGTTCCTTACTAAATAGGCCTTTTCATCGTGATGTTTAATAGTGATCAAGCCAATTTGCCAAAAACCTTTTTCTCAATGCTTATGCGACGTTGTATACTAATTTATCCACTGATTTAATATCTGAAACATTCCCCCGTCTCTTGAGCAATTGTCTTATAGCTGTGTCTGGGACGTACATTTTGAACGAGTACCTTTCGGTCCCTGGTAGTTGGTGTTTGGCCGCATTTTTGCCGATTAGTAAAAGAGCGTTGGTGCACCGCAACGCGTTTAATGGAAATCACGTGCTGTCGCATCTGCTGACTAACCGACGCGATACGCGATGTTCGGGCAGCACCACTTTCATATTATTGTTCACGCCGCATACGGTTGAGAAATACTGAGTGCGATACGGAGTACAAGGGTCTGGCCTCAATGTTCGCCGGAATCCCAAATGCAGACCAGCCTGGCATTTATTAGCCGGCTTCATGACTCGAAATAACCTGTCAGGCCACCTCTCCTGGTTGTTGTTGAACGTTGCGCTGTCAAAACCCACCGCCCGCGAATTTCCCACCACAAGCGATACCTCATCGTTTCGTTTTTCACAATCGCAATCGCAATCTGCCGACGCACCTGCGGCGAACCTCAGCCAGGCAACCACTGCATCGACCAGCACAGATAAACGGATATCCCAGGTACAGGCATCTGGGAGCTCAAATGGCCTACCGAAGAGAGAAGAAGCTTTGCAGGATAAAGAAGTGGTGGTATTAGAGGACGACAGTATGGGCCGCTTGAACTTGTCTACCAAACCGAAGAAAATATCGCTTCTGTCCCAAAATGGCCAGCTCGCAACACCGTTAACCACTGATCCTCAGACCAAGCAACGCTTGAATGAGCCTTTTAAGTCCAGTGGTGCGTAAACCAGAATATTATTTAAGTGCTACTGGGTTAATATTTTGGCAGCAGCTGCAAAGACCACGAATCTAATACAAGATGCCATCTCAGAAACGAAACCAGGTTCATCACGCCGCATCTCATCGCCGGAATTTAGCGCTGATTTCGCCGACTTCGATGATGACGACTTGGAGTACATGGACCTAACAAGAACAACCGGCGCATCTGACGAGTCTCTACAATTCGGCGACGATGTGAAGGTCTGGACGGAAAAGGACGCATCTTGGGAAGCGCCGGCTAAAGCCAAAAAGAGAAAGAGTGCTGATACCGGCTACGCTGCTGCTGAAAGCCAATTTCCGGATGTATATCAGCTCCTGGGAGCTGATCCTCCAGCCCCGACTCCTGGTCGTCGTTCTGCAACAAAAGTTAGTTCCCCTAGTTTCATGATCTCCCAACAAGATGAATTGGAAAATTCTTTGTTGCTAAACTGTTCAAGGGTGCGAAAAACGGATCTTCCAAGATGTCCTTGGATGGGTCTTCCTCTCCTTTAGGCCGAGCTGCTGCTCAAAGGGCGCCATCTCCTATCAGGCGGACTCCAGAAAAAGACTACGCTATCAGCAGTTCTGAAAGACGAAAGAAATTAAAGGTTGCTGGTGAGCGACCTTCGTCTCTAGACTCTCCAGATCTCGACGACGCTGCCCAACCTGAGCCACGACAAGCTAACGAAATTTTCATCCCGGACTCCGATGATGAATTTGTTACACCGCCGTTGAATACGGCTACTTCTAAGAAAATCCCAGCGAAGCCTTTTGTTAATCTACAAGAGGAGGACGCTTTCCTTATGGATGTTGAAGATTTAGCTGTATCTCCTAGGCCAAGACACCAACGTTCATCTCCACCTCGGCCAGTTCAGACTAAAAATCCAGGTGCTTTACACCATCAAAATGTATCTGAAACCCAGAGCACTGGCACCATCGATAATTTCAACGAAACACACTCATCACAACATAAAATTCCATCATCTAGCCAAACACAGAAAATCTTGTCTCGCATTTTAGCAAATCCACAACTTCTAATCCAAAAAAGCGAATCCCTGGACAACCAAATTCAACAAAATGATAGGGACTTCTTACAGGCTATAAACGACCGGCTACCGAAAGATAAGAGAAACGAAATTAAAGCAGAGAAAGAACGCCTCATCCAACAGCAAAAAGCAATGCAGGACCTTAATGAAGCGGTGAAGAGCTATAGAGCCTTGAATGAACAGCGAGAAGCAGTTGCTCTACAGGTAGCCGAGTCTTATTCAAAGGGCGTAGATACAGATGACGACGAAGCTCGACTTGATGAACTTACTGAGCGTGTCGAGTCAACAGAACGAGAGCTTTCCCAAATACTAGTCGAGGCAGGCCTTGACGAGGCCAATTTCATGGAAAAACAGAAAGATCCTGTTCTGACTGAGAGAGACGAGCATATCGTTGTCCTTGGTACGCAAGCTGGTCATAGAGGCATGGTCAATATGTCACGGAGCTCAAGGGATACTCCGTTATCTATTGGAGGAACTCAAGTTGTTCACCAAACGCAGCTCCCTGAGCCGATTCGATCACAACTAGGCAGTGAGCCACTGCACAATTTTTCTCTTCCTGATCGTGCCTCTAGGTCTGCTTCAAGAGCGGCACCACATTCCAGCATAAATCACCTCATGGACGTAGAAGACGATTTCTTCTCTGATATTGACGAGATTGAGATGCAACTGCCTCCGAAACCCACCAAAAAGACCACTCAGCTCGACAAGGGCAAAACTCCTCTGAGACATCGCACTCAGCGCTCAGGAAATGAATTTAGCGATTTCAGCGACGATGCTGATATGCTTGCATTTGCTCAAGACTACGAGATACGCCAATCTGCTGGCGGGCCACCCCAAGACTCTCGAGTATTTTCAGAAACCTCGGGAAATGCCTTGCCTGCGCCAAAACAGAGGCAATTACCCTCAAAAAGGCAATCACCTCCAGAACCATCTCAAACAAGGATACCGCCAGAACTGATGAGACATCCTTGGTCTGCAGACGTCCAGAAGACTTTGAAAGATCGATTCAGGATGAAAGGATTCCGGCACAATCAATTAGAAGCCATCAATGCCACACTCGCTGGCGAAGATGCCTTCGTTCTGATGCCAACAGGTGGTGGAAAATCTCTCTGTTATCAGCTTCCAGCCGTTGTCAAGTCTGGGAGGACAAGAGGAGTAACCATCGTCATATCTCCTTTATTGAGTTTAATGCAAGATCAGGTGGATCATATGAAAGCCTTAGGGATACAAGCCGTTGCATTCAACAGTGAATGCTCTCCCGAGTACAAACGACAGGTCATGTCTGCTTTCAATGAGCGGAACCCAGAGCATTTCATTGAGCTTCTCTACATCACACCGGAAATGGCTAGCAACAGCGTCCAGTTTCTTAACGCCATGGTGAACTTATATCAGAAGAAAAAATTCGCCCGCTTTGTCATTGACGAAGCTCACTGCGTCAGCCAGTGGGGGCATGATTTCAGACCTGATTACAAGAATTTAGGCCAGCTTCGGTCCAAGTTTCCCGAAGTTCCTGTCATGGCCTTGACAGCTACTGCAACCCAAAATGTTATTGTTGACATTAAGCATAATCTTGGCATGATCAATTGCCAAGTGTTCTCGCAAAGTTTCAACCGTCCAAATCTGTATTATGAAGTTAGGCCGAAAAGTTCAAATCCGGTGGCGACCCAGCAAATTGCCTCTCTAATCAATTCTAAATACCGGAACGTCACTGGAATTGTTTACACAATCTCACGAAAACAAGCTGAAGACGTCGCTGAGAAGCTCTCAGATCATGGCATCGCCGCCCGTCATTACCATGCTGCCATAACGCCTGCGGAAAAAGTTGAGGTGCAAACAGCATGGCAGAGGGGCCAAATCAAAGTTGTAGTAGCAACTATTGCTTTTGGTATGGGTATTGATAAACCAGACGTCAGATTTGTTATGCACCATGGCATTCCGAAGAGCTTAGAAGGCTATTATCAAGAAACTGGCCGTGCGGGGCGAGATGGGAATCCCTCTGACTGTATCCTGTTTTACGGAAAAGCGGACATAAGAGTCCTCAAAAAACTAATTATAGACGGAGATGGTAGCAAGGACCAGAAGGAAAGACAGATGGTAATGTTGAATCGTGTAACAGCATTTTGTGACAACAAGGCCGACTGCCGACGAACTGAGGTCCTCCGCTATTTTGGGGAAGATTTCAATGCGTCACAATGCAACAAGACATGCGACAATTGCCAGGCCGGGTTAGTTTTCGAGCAGCAGGACTTCTCTGAATACGCTATTGCCGCTATACGGATCGTCCAGCAGCAGCAGAGACTCACAGCGAACCAATGTGCAGATATTCTGATTGGTAGGAAATATCCAGAATACCAAGAACAAAATTCAGACGAGTATCACGGCATGGCCAAGGGGATGAAGAAGCATGAGATGGTGCGCGTTATTGACCGCCTCTCGGCTGAAAAAGGCTTCCATGAAGAAAATATTGTTGGAAATCATGGAGTTGCCATTCAATATCTTCGAATCGGACCTGCTGCCAATCAATTCTTGACGGGAAGACGGAAATTGATGCTAACAGTCCAAGTTTCGGACCAAGTGGGCTCGAACCAGATGAAGACAAAGAAAACAAAAGTTAGCAAAAAGCAAAAAGAGCCAGCAGCTAATGTGCAGTCAACATACGTCTCGTCGCCAATCAATAGACGTAGAAAAAGAGCAGCAATTGTCGATAGTGATGACGAGTCGAACTTGCCTATGACATCACGAGGCTATGTGAATGATGGATTCGTTGTCTCAGACGAGGAGGCCGAAGAGGATGAGGCCGATGAAGAAGCTTTCGAGCCGCTCCCACAGCACCGGCCTGCAAAGCCGACTTCGAAACCTAGTTCCAAAAAGACTTCGCGACCGGAGCCTGTACCAAGCAAACACAGGCTGCAAGATTTGCCAGATATCCACCAAGACGTGGTGGACGCTTTTGTCCAACAGGCGCGTCAATTAGAAGAGCGTATCCGAAATAGATTGGGCCTCAGGCGGCCAATGTTTACGGACACTCACCTGCAAGAAATGGCTATCAACTGGACCACCTCGATCGACAGGATGAGTCGCATTCCCGGAATTGATGTTGATAGAGTCCAAGAGGTTGGCCCAAAGCTGATACCATTATTGAACACGTATCATGCATCGTATCGTGAGATTGCTGCGGCAGACGCGGGCACTGGCGCCTCAACCTCCAACTTGGATCAAGAAATAGTAGACTTGATCAGTTCGGACATCGATATCGACGAAGATGAAGGGGGAGAAGGGGAAGACTCCCATTACTTCTCTTCCAAACCAGCAGCTGATGTCCAAGCCTTCCATGATAGGCTGCAAACATTGAATAGCCAGCCAAGTCAATCCAGAGGCAAATCTTCCTATAGCCGAGGAGGAGGAAGCAGGAAATTCTCTGGTAAAAAGTGGCCCAAGAGAGGCGCTGGCGCTGGAGGCTCTCAACGCCGGAGCGGTGGTTCCGGTAGGAGAGGTGGTGGTTCCGCAGGTGGTAACGGCGCGTCGTCATCACGATCTGCCGCAGGAGGCAGCGGCGTCGGCGGATTCAAGCGAGACAGCAAAATCGTCAAGAAGAGCGGAGGTGGCATCGGGTTAATGCCTTTATGATCACTGGCCACAACCTGGAATCCATATTTCTACTTTTTCAAGCAAAGATAGATTTTAAAAAGAAAGAAGAGCAAGGGGCCCGCCTATTGATTTATGTCTATAATATGTTGGTTTTTGCGGGTTTTGCGGTTATTGCGTGGAGCATGAGATACGAGACATAACGAAGATATCCTCCCTCCTAGCATTCCCTTCCTAACACCACGGCGGAGGTTATTGCATTAACAAGGCGATTTTTAGTTTCGGCGTTGGAGCGTTTCGGCATTTACATCGTTATCCCTTTAGGGCGTATTAGAAGAAGAAAAAAGAGGAAAAAAAGTTGGGATGCGGGAGATGGCTACCTGATTAGAGACGATGTTTGTAGATGTGATGCAACAGTTGCACGTATATATATGTACTCATACATGTATTTCATCTGCACCGCTCGTTTTGTAGCAGCCTTTTTTAATGATAGAACCCTCAAACGCATAACAGCAATGGCTAAACTGAACTTGGAGGGAACATCCCGTCACATGATAGCAACAAGGCCTTGCACGTATGTGATAAGCATACTTTCAGAATTAAAACCCCGCATAAAAAGCCCGAGAAGCGTAATAAAGAGGAACAAAGCACATTCCATGTAAAAGGCTCATTTCTGCATGGAGACAGTAAAGAGAGAGGCCGGGGAGCAGATAGTAGTAGAAGATCTCGACTCCGTCGAGCAGAGAGTGCTACAGAATCTGATCACCTGGCTGATCGGAAATCCAAACGCTGATTGGCACGCCACCATGTTTTCACCCCATGTCGAGCAATGTATAGGTGGCGGCGTGGAATACATGGCATGGCCGCTGGAATCCAAGGTTGGCTTGTTTCATTTTCTCAACATGTTATTATTCAAGCTTATTGAATGAGCTCTGGTATATAATGCACTTACTTATACAACCCATTAAAAAAGTATCCTGGCTTCGATTGGGTCGTATGCAGAACAAGGCTGCCCAGCCTTCCCACCAGAACAGCCGGTGTATGGATCCCAATTGCCGGCTTCGACGGATGCAGGATTGAAGACGAGGGTGGGTTTACGTATAAGCTGCTGGTAGGCAAAAAGTATCAGATGCTTAAACCGTCCAGAAGGGTTACATTAAGAGTTAGAGAGGGCGATGTGATGCATGTGCTATGGCTTATGAAGCATAAAGATACGTGATTTTATTGGAGGTTGGGAAATACAACTACATAATGTATTTTATTTTTTTTTATTTTATTTTTTTTTCTGTTTGCGTATTATAGTAATAGGGTTAACTTTTACATCAAGTTCACGTCCAAACCACTACGGTATAAATAAAAATTTTCTGTATTGCAAATAGCGATGTTCTACAGACCAACGAGGAGGACTTATTGATAATGGGATTTCTAAGTGACATATAATAGGTATATATAGACGCAATAGATGCAATAATAATATTTTATTGACAGTCTTGCTATATCTAGTGAATCGTTGTTATAAAGATAACAAGGTGTCGTATCCCAGGGACTCCAAGGAGATGTGGTAAGTAAGCAGCTGTGCAAGTTGTAATTATTATCTTTGTTAATCAAGAATTAATCAAGTAACCAACTCATCTCTATATTTAGCCTCATTAGTAGTTAGGCGGCGTAGGCCCTATACATGGACAAGCGAAACATTGTATAAGTGTCTACTTTAATCTATAATCTCGGCTCAAAGACCAACGTATATACAACCTACATAATAGCTGCGCCAGAGAAGATCCAATACAGTATCGACCGTTACGTTAACGGGACTCGCCGCCTTTACTCTGTTATAAACTCGCAACTCGGGCTTACTCGTCGGCTACCGCGTTACCATCGCTAACTGCGCTCTCTTTAGGTGGTTTACCGATCACGGTAAGATGCTCCTCTCTTTCTATTTATTTTCATCTCTAAGTCTTACCTTCCCCCCTCTGGGCATTTCGATCATTTCTCTCTCTCTTTTACACTTAGCTAGTAGGTAAGCTTTCCAGACACACTGGAATCTCCCTAGACGAGTTCCCGCATATCGACAAGTGGCCGAATACGCTTTCCCAGAGGCCGGCTTTCCAGAATGGTCGGTAAGTGTCTTAACCGGTCGTCACTTGAGGCAACGTTAAACGCCTGAGGGTATATGAGAAGAGACAGGCCCCCAAAATGAGACCAATCAGTAGTTTTATCTCAAATAACTAAATAGAACAATCGCCAGTCGCTGCATGAATCAAAAGCTGAACATACGAATAGCCCATTCCACTCAAATATTATCAGAAATCAAGTGTTCGGATTGTTTCTAGTTAAGTTCAAGAAGAAGAAAAATTGTAGAGCTAGCCGTAGCATATAACAAGCTAGCTCCGGGAATCTCAGCTATTCTAACAGGAAAACAAAAACAAAAAAATATAAAAAATAAAAGACAATGAAGAGGATTAGGCACGCGCAATGAGACCGATCAGTGGGAATGGGAAAAAAGGATTGAATTAGGTAAAAGCAATATTGTGAAAAATAGAAGAAAGAGAGAGAGAGAGAGAAAAGATGCCGACACATGCCAACCAAAACCACCTTTTTGTGTCGCGTCCTTTTTTTCCACATCAACTCCCTCGCACACCGCCAGCTCAGCTCGCTTCGCTTCGCTCCTCCTTGAATCCTTTACGCCACGCTATGGAAAAAGACAAATAATGATAGAAATTACTTGAGGTAAAAAAAAGAAAAGAAAAAACACACGAGTGGCGTGTTATATATGTGAGCCGAAGTGAAGCAAAGAGGTTATTTGTTTTTGAAATTGAGTGGCTTCATATGAATAAGCATTCCAAACGTGATGTTACAGAAGAAGCAAATAAACACGCAAAATAACGGACAATCCGATTCCATTTCCCTTTAACAAACATTTGATACCATAATCTTATGAATGTGCCATCAAATATTGTTGATTCAAAATCGCCACCTGGGCTTAAGATCTTTCGGCTCGGGGGGGTTGTCGCTATACTTGCGAGAAGTAAACCGGCTGAATATGGGGAGAGGGCTTGATCCACGGGTTGAATCTGGCCGTCTTGGCATAGGCAGCAAGCTAGTCCGACGAGACGTAGCCATGGAGCTGCTAGGGCGGACGTTTTGGGTATCCAGGTTCAAGGTTGAAACGGTGGGCTGTACGTTGGAACGACGAGATGGTGTTTGTTTGGACAGAGTAGATTGCGAATAAGGTCCAGGAGAGGTGAGACGGTCACGGAATGAAAGTCGAGAGTTGCCCGTCCTAGACCAAGATCTGGGGAATGACTCCGACATAGGGGACTCTGAGCCGGCCCGGGTGAGAGAGCTCCGGGGGGTCGGCAGCTTGGAGGTAGACAGCGGCGTAAGAGCCGACGTCGATCTTATGGGCGCAGGCGTTCTGTGTGGGGTGTGGCTACCATCGACATCCAAAGTATTTGCAGAAGAGTTCCATCTTGGTCGGTGCCCCATGGTGGACGCAGGTCGTAGGGTCGAGGCAGATGCTGAAGGGGGGTAGTAGGAGAGTCGAGATGGAGTCTTCTTACCCATCCTTGAGACTGGAGCAGGTAATGACGAGTCTCTTCGGCTAGAGGAGGCGGACATGAGGCTAGAAGAGCTCGCGTTAGGGGATCGAAGTTGATTTACACCTTGTTTCCGTGCAGGCGTATGCGGATCACGGCCAAAGTTTGGCATGATCACAGACGAAGGGGGGGAGCTTCCTGGAGTTTCCATGCCGCTGCCATTGGTAGACCTGTCGTTGGAGAGCATGCTGGAGATGGAATCTCGTAGTTGCTGGCTCTTTCTCTCTGCGTAGATATCCTCGAGAATGGCATCCATATCTCCCATATCAAGCTTCAGTGACTCCCATCGCGTTTGCATTTCTGCATGAAGACGCAAGATCTCACCATTGACGGTCAAGCGATCTTTGACACCCTTGTCAATAATAGCCAGCACTCGCCCAATAGCGGGACCATAATGCGTTTTCTTGGCCTCGTAGCTCTCAATCTTTTTGGCGATGGAGGGTTGGTTCGTCAAATGCATGCCGGAATCAATAGCTTCCCTTAGCTTCATCAAAGACCGCTCCACAGACTCGTGCATCTTCTGCGCCTGCCGTCCTGCACCGCGGAAGACAATAACCCATCTATCCTCCCCGAGCTCTTTACGAAGAGACTCCGCGTCCTTTTCGAGCTTCTTGTAGCTCGCATCCAGGCCATCGTGTCGCATATCCAGCTCTTCACATGCGGTAGGAAATGCATGCTTCGCCCTTTGTTCGAAGACGGACAATCGCATGGGCAGAAAATCTAGAGATGCTCTCAAAGGCTGCATCCTAGCAAAAAGAGCGAGCAGGCTAGAATCATCTTGAGACATGGCCGTATTCCCTGGTGCGTTGGGAGTAAGCGGTAAGGCAAGACTGAGGCGATTCGACGGCTGCAGCCGCGCGGCTGAAAGAGGGTTATCTTCAACAATAGTCTCCAAATCACCAATGTCGACATTGTCACCGCTTGCGGCCACGGCAAGGCTCTTGTGTCGACGCTCTTCCATCTCAAAAACGAGCCGCGAAAGTTCATCCATTTCGGTCTGTATATCACCCAGTACGCTATTCCATAGTTCTTCCCACTCCATGGCAATTTCCACTTGGTTTCGCACGCTCTGCAGAGTTCGCTTTATCCGAGCCCATTCATCTGCAATCGCCTCCATCTGGGTAACGGCTCGTCTAAGATCGTCGGTGGACGCGTCAGCAATATCAGGCCGGTTTTGCAGCTCATCGATGGCGTTAACATAGGCGTTGATGAGATGTTCGAAACGACTGATGGCATTCTCAACTTCTTCCAAGCCTTCACGGCCACCGGCAGCCGCCCACTCTACGTCATCTTCACTGTCCAGTCCGGCAACGACTTCTAGGGCCTTGGAAATCCAGCTGCGAATCTGTTCGGCAGCATTGATAAGAGCCTTGGAGGCCACTGGTGCCGTTGGGATTGCCGAAACCTTGCTAGAAAGTGCATCGGCATCAGGAATACCGAGCGTTGTTAGCTGAGCTAGCTGATTAGCAAACGACACTCGTGAGAGAGTGTATATCGACCCAGGTCGGTTGTGGCTCGGCGTAAAGTATGAGTTCATGTCTGGCGTGAAATCATTGAAGGCGATTATTTCGGGAGGCGCTGTTTCTACAAGTGGCGATTCCTTTGGTGGAGGAGTTGGAGGGGAGGGGGAATATGCGGGGGAATAGGAAAGAGAATTTGAAGGCGATTGTGAAGGGGAAGCGGCGGGAGGCGAGGAAGGCAAAGGCGGATATTCTTTGGGAGAAGGCGGACGCGTAATTCGTTCAAGGTGTTCGCGTCGAGTATCCAGAGTGACCTTGGTTCCATTACCGTTTAAGTGGTCGGGCAGCCGATATTTTTGCGTATCCATGGCGAGAGATTTAGCAAGGGCGTCTTCGAGGGATTCTGGTTCCTGGATATCAGGCAGTTCAGGTAGCTGATAGGAATCAGCGAGAGGAGACATGGATACGTCCGACTGGCTAAGTGATCTGCTATGCGGAGGAGGGGCGCCAGGGCCTTTCCAGGGACGGCCGCGCCGAGAGATGACGGCGGTGACGGATCCTGCTTGGTGTTTCTCGTCGAGCTGGCGGAGCTGTTCTTCGTCAAGTCGACCGATGGAATCGATGTGCTGCTTTTCGATGGCTGCTCGCTTGGCTGCTGCTTCAAGGCCCAGAGCCTTTAGGCGAGCAGCAAGACCAGGCGATGTCTTTCGAAATGCGGCAACCAGGACTTCATGCGACGGCTCAGGTTCCAGAAGAGTGCTGCTTCGGCTGCGATATTTGCTGGAAGTGGTGCTGGTGGTAGGGCTTAAAGCAAGGTCGGCAGCATCGACTGGAATCGTGTCGTGGCAGATGCTACTGTTGCCGTTGTTGCTCTTGTTGGTGCTGTCAATATTGTTATGGTGGTTAGTGTTGCTGTTATCGATGCTCGCGCTGCCGTTCGTCCTTGGTGTTGACAGATCTGCAGGCCCTCCGTTATGTGAGGGGGTGGATGCGACCGTAGCGACAAGCGTGGCGGTAGCTGCAGCTGAAGCCGAAGCTGGAGCTGGAGCTGGTTCTGAAGCTGGAGCAGCGTAAGGGGTGGCGGGCGACTGGGCGGTTTGGTCGGTTTGATCAGTGAATTTTTGCAAGTTTATGTCCCGCTCGCCTGCATCATGGCCGCTTGGCTGCTGCTCAAGGTCGCGGTTCGGACTCAGACCCACGTCGGCGTCTGTTGAGCTCTCGTTGGCTGGGTTGGAGTCGCGGTCTGGGCTGCCACTGGCGACCACGGCAGCAGAATGGCTGGTGGTCATGGGCCGCAGGTGATCGCTGGGGGGGTTCAGTTGAACCCGCCCGCCCACAGGATCGTAGGGAACTCAGTGTTGCTGCGGCGTAGCAAGCGGCGCGCTAGTGGAGGGCCCAGGTGCCTTTCAGTGGACGGCGGCCCTGAACGGCGCCCTGATGGCTGTGCGGCGGCGCAGTGGGTGGGAGGGGCAAGTGTAGGCGGATATGTGTTGACTGCGCGTACGTAGGGGCCGGCTCGAGATTGGTTACCGAAGCCGCCACCCGTGAGGCGTCCAGTGTTGCTGATAAGCCGTTGTTGCTGCCCTATCGCGGTGCTCGTTTGGAATGGATTTTTTTCCTGTCGCGCGACGACCCAATCAAGACGCGCACTCTGCTGAAAAGTCCCGACGGTGCCGTCGTTGCTGCCAACCCAAGCGAGGACTGCGCAAGTGGGCTGGTGTGTGCGGATGCACAGTAGGGTTCGTTGGATGCCTGCACTGCTGGTTCCGCTGCGCTGACCAGGAGACTGGGCGAAAGAGCGGATTCTACCCGCAGACGATGCGGTGCCGGTGGAGAGCGCTGCAAAAAAGACGGCAGCTCGCAGGACACAGCTATCAGCGATGGTGGTAATAGTGCAAGTAAAGCTTGGATGAGGCTCGGTCGTTGGCGGATTATGCGGCTGCCAGCTCGTCGACCTGGCGAGCGCGCAGTCGCAGAGCGTGGTGTTTGTAGTCGTCGATAGGGATTAACTCGGGTTCTGGCGGTGATCTCCTGGAAGAAGGCTCGCGATGGACCTTGACCAAGAGCTGGCTGAATCAAGTAAGGTCCGCGTACCGGGGTTGTTCGACGCCCAGGCTGGCCGGAGTCTGGGTCAGGTCAAAGGCTGAAAATAGTCGAGTACAGCAAGAAGTCGGCAGAAGGGGAGAGGGCGGAAGCGGCGAGCACGAAAGCCAAAATGGGAGATTGGACGAATAGCCCAAGCACAGCTTGCTTGAATGATTATGATGGTGAATCAAAAAAAGGGGGCTGAAGGAGAGGGAAACTCTGGTCAGGAGGGGTGCAAGAGGAAGAAGCGTGGGATCGCAGCTCATGTTAATTAACGGGAGCTGCTCGTTCCTGAGCTAAGAGGGAGAGACGATCTACTGGAAGAGGTACCCTCATCTCCCTCTGGGGGTACTTGGTACTTTTGGGCGTTGTGGTCACTCTCTACCTATCTTACTCTTGACGCACCAAACGAACTTGCACATTTATTGGTGGATAGATGAATGGATGTGGCATGGGGTCACGTATAACTAACGAGACAATAAAATAACAAAGATATTTTTAAAAGTCCGTGGGTTCAACAAATGGGATCCTGGCAAAGATGCTCTCTGTATGCCTTACAAGCGGACAGCCCTGCACATGTACCTTGCTGTGAGGACCGAGGTACCTTGCTAGTACTAGCCCATTAGTACCTGAGGTATGGATTGTGTAACTGGAAATGGTATCTCTGTGCTATAACAGCTGCCTATCGAAGGGAGTTATACTCCGTTGGTGGGTGGTATTCTCGCCGATTGAGAGCCTAGATAAACGGCCAGATGCGACACGTTTGACACGTGTGAGGGTGATGCGGCCCAATGCACTGGTGGGAGAAGATGCCACCTTTCAGCGCGCCTAATGAATGGCACTGGCTGAGACACAGCATGGGACAAAGCAAGGGCGCGAGGTGATGGAATGGCGATGGACCGGATTTGGGCTAGGTTGCCGGCTAAGCAATAACTGGCGTGCTGCAAATTGCTTTGTTGGGGACCAGTTCCAGCAGCGCACACGCTAATGCTGCCACTGCCGTCCTCCACAGCACAGCTTCCACCAGCACTGCAGCGTGCAGCTTCGGCGCTCTGTTCCACTGAATGTGCGCTAGCATTAGAGCCATGCCGGGCTAATTAGCGCATCTCCACCGCCGACACGGGAGCTTCCACAGCACTTCCACAGGCATCCGCTTCTGGCAGCTTCAAACCACTTGAAACGCTGTGAAATCTCCACGGCTCCATGCTGCCCGACCCGCCTCCACCAGGGCGTCCTGCAGCCATTTTCTGCATTATCAACCTGGCAACATTAGCCTGCCGTCCGATATGCCCAGGCACCTTGCGATGCTTTCTTAATTCCATGCCGGGGTCACGAGCGTTCTGGGATGGCAGAGGGCGGGTGAGACAATGAAGATACTTGGCACGACTGCGACGGGGCAGCTACTGGATATGGCCGGAAGCTGTCATTTTACTTTGCCGAGCTCACAGTGGTAGGTACCTACTAGGTAGTAGCCTGGCATCTGGTTGGTAGCTAGCCCCGAGGCAAATTACTTGGTCCATATAATTGGATGGCCAATCTCTCTGTTCGTACATGATGCGACGCGACGGCCCGCGCTATTCGTCGGTGGCTACCTGCTAGGTGCTGGGAACAGAGGGAAGCAGCTTGAAAGCGAGCAGCTATTCTTGGCTTCTACCTGCCGGCTTATGATGCAATAGCAATACGAAACAAATGCACTTCACAATAAGCACGGGTATACAACGTCGTATTACTATCATCAGCCTTGGCCATCGACAGGCAGTTGATGAAAAGCGACAGGGCGGTCGAGTTGGGAGCTGGGTCGAGGCCGTTGCACCTAAAAGAGGCTTGCGCTTTGAAACCTTGACGGCACAATTCAGCTCTCCTCGGTATAATCTATCTACTACACCTACAACTACAACTGCACAGCTTGCTTAGGTATACTCCATTGGTGCTCCGTACGGCTCCGTGCTTCCAGATCCTTCTTACCCGACTTGGGCACAGCCGCTTCTCTTCTGTTCAGTTCTGGCCGAGTCTGTGGAGATAAGAATTATGCACAGCACGTTGTCCTGGGATATGATACCAGCGGCAAGGACCCGTGGGAATCGCGATGACAGCGAGAGAAGTGATCCGTCACTTTGCCTGGGGCGCACATGGGCTTGACCTGGTCGCTGGCCTCTGGCAGTACGAGTAGTGCAAAACTAACAGGCCTGTGATCCTGGCAATGGCCCATGACTGGGAAAAGTCCCAGGTTCCCATCACCGAATCCGCGACAGCTGCGAGTACGAAGCATCCGGTGATATCATCAATTACCAACCAGCCTGTATCTGCGCTCTCGCTCCTGGTTCCAAACCTGGAGCCAAACATGAAGCGCTGAGACTGTGCTGTGCCCGTGCCCAGTAGACCAAGCGGTTGAGGCGCTGTGGGTGCTGCGACATTATTCAGGCGCAACGCCACGATAGCGGCAAACTCCCACAGGCGCGCTCTCGGACTTGGCGAGACGGCCAAATTGCGTCCCAAGCACCTTGGGCGGAGATGGACGGAGTACCTAATACCACCTTCCAATGCACTAATCAATGTACCTAAGCATCGATCATAGGTAGCTCGACGGGCTGCGTGAACCGGCGCACGCCAAAAACCACACACCAAAAAAAGGCCGTTTCAAGTCGTTGCCCCCCGGACAACACCAAAACACGCAACGCAATTTCCCATCTCCACGGCTCCTCCCACCAACTATGGTTGGCGGCCAGAGCCACAGCCCCTGAGTCCGCTGCCTCGGATCCTCAGCGCCAGGCCAAGCAGCCCTACCGTTTTGCTCTCTGTCACTCTTTTTGCTCAGTCTCTTCATCTACGGCTGCCGCCTGTGCCCCGTATCCACCACGCTATTGCTGACCTGACTGCTTTGTTAATGGCAGCTACCTAGTGGCCATTTTGCCGTCACTTCAAACTGTTATATCCTCCCCCAGTCCGTGGTGCACGCGACTTGTCCAAGCTGCAGCAGGCCCGCCGGCTTAAGTGAACCATCTTCAATTCTCCATTCTCTTCGCCCGGCAGCTCTCGCTTCTCCTTCGATAACCATTCTGCTCTCTCGGAGCCGCAAAGGAGACAAAGAACAAGGATCCGCTTCCCCTCTCCTACGAGCAAGCACCACCAGAGACACACACAGGACTCCTCTGGCTTGGACTCCGCAAAACTCTGCTTCTCTCTTGCTGCTACAACTGCTTGTATTCTGTCTTTGATTCTGCCTCCTCCGCCATGTCTGCCGAAACCGAGAACCGCCCGCACTCTCCCGAAGCGGCACCGTCGCAAGCTATTGGTGCAAAGCCTGAGCCCGCCCGCGCTCTCTCGGCGGCTTCCACCACCTCCCAAGGCTCCAGCACCGATGCCAACTCCCGAGACTCGCTAGGCAGCGAGCTGTCTTCTCGCATGTCCAACTCCTCCCGCATGTCCACTATGTCAATGCAGTCCATCTCCGGGAGGTCGTCTTCCAGGACCCGGCGCCGAGGCTTCATGCGGCCTCAGGGCACCGACTTTGCGGCCAGCGCCAAGTCCCGCGAGAGCGTGATGAGCTTGGGCAGTATTGCACACCTGCAGTATTACTTTGCCCGAACTGGCCTGCTTGATGGCAAAGGCGGACAACTAGCTCGGAAGAAGCAGCCACGAGCGACTCTGGATCTGGCAGTCTTGGAGGGCACAGCGCCTATGACGGTACATACACCCACGACTGCGGGATTCGACGTGGACCCCTCTTTTGTTTCCATGGGCAGCAGCCCAGATCTCTCTGGACAGGGGTTCATCACCGACAATGTCATGGAATCTCCCACGGGACTGGGCGAGATGGACGACTTCTCCGACGACTTCGAGGAGGACCCTGACATTCTCCCGCCCACAGTCAGCACATACAACCACAGGCAAAAGGTCGTTCCTAAGCCCCCAACGGTGGCGGAGCTCAAGGCAGAGCTAGAGACCACGCTGCAAGATGCTCTCAAGGTCCTGAAGGAGGCAAAGGCCCGGAAAGCAGGGTCATTTCATGCGCCCAGCGATGCGCCTCAGTATGCCAACATGCCTGCAGAAAACACCCAGAGCTGGTACGAGCTGCAGGGTATGAACATCCTCGACTTCGTGACCTTGGCCATCCGCGCCGCCAAAAATTACTACACAGCCCACGAACTGCCTGACCGGCTGGACTCCATCAAGTCGGAAAAACAGATCCGGACAGATCTTTTGGGCGTAATGGAGGTGCTGAAACAGATGGCCACCAGAAACTTCAAGGACGGCATGAAGGACGAAGAGATTGACACCATGGTTGCTTGGATTGAGAGTGTTTTTGACATCCTCAAGAAGGAGGCCGCCATCGAAGCAACGGAACAGGCCGAGCGACAGAGCTGGTCGTGGATGACGGGCGACTGGGAAGGCAGAGAACTGGAGCGTGAACGACAATTCCTCATTTCCATGGACCCCGACGACGAGCCGCTGCCCGAGTGGACGCCGGCTTCCAGCGCCGCGGAACAACCGACACCGTTTCTAGAGGCCATGCAAAACGGACTTAGACTTGTGAGGCTGCACAACGCCGCAGTCAAGAAATCCAGGAGGCGATTCGGAGCGATCCCAACCTTCCACGTCGACACGCAGAAGCCGTACCGGAGCGCCGATAACCTCCGATACTGGGCCAAGGCTGCCGAGCTGCGCTTCGAGTGCCACATCTCCATCGACGCCCTGGGCATTGTGTACAACAATGGCCCCCAAGTCTGGCTAGATTTTGAAGCGGCCATCCTAAGGTGGTGTGCGCATGTGAGGGAAGAAATCACAAACGAGTTGGTCTAAGACCCTTAGCACTTGCTTTTTGCATCTTCCTTTTCTTTTTTACTTCTTTTTTTGAATTATCATGTTTTAATAACCGTTTTAATACGTGCATCTGCTCATACAAATGGTATTAATACAGCAGAAAAAAAGCCTTCTCGCTCCTTGACGAATTCACGTTTCGATAAACAGACATTTGACTGGAGACTTCTTCTTTAATACTTTTTTTCTGCTGGACCATAGGGCCTATCGCTATCTTGGCCTACAACTTTTTTTTTCTTAGCCTTTTCTTTTTGGATTATTATTGATTCTTTCAGGACATACACACACACATACAGATATATCGAGACAGAGGGACCGGTTTTCTCTCACTGAGACAAAGATTGACGCTATATAACTACCAAGGACACGCATTTTTTTTCCCCGTTCCCTCTCTCTCTCTCTTACAATTTTCGATCTCTAATTTCCTCATCATATCTTTTGATACTTTTAGCCTGTCGAGTTTGCATCGCTGGCGAGGTTTCTTCCATTTTCTTACCTTTTTTTTTTACCCCTTCTTACTTGGCCCAACAGATTTTCTTTCTCTTCTTTGTGTATTCTCACTATATCATACACCTTTTTTTATTTTGTCGATTGGGTCGAAAAGAAGGAAAGAATGAAACAAAAAAAAAATACAAACATTAACAGAATGCTGTACAGATATATATGGATGGATGGACGGAAGGGAGGAAATGAATAGCGCGAGAGCCTAACCTCGATGCCATTTGTCAACATATAAATACCCCAGTGGCGTAAGCGCAGGCGCAGGCGCAGAGAAGGATATTCTTTCGATAACGGCGGGGCGGACAGAACGGTAGACAGAGAATGAATAAAACTGGTTATTCACAGTAATATTACTTTGCTACGTGTGTGATTTGCGTTCTAGTATCTCTTGATGTAGACGAAGATGAAGCCAATTTTGTATTATATTCGGTTTGCTATTAATACACTCCAAACCCAAAATAACGCCCTAATTACCATACTACCTAACATATAGAGAAAAGAGAGAAAGAAAAGAAGGTCCTAGCCATCTTCCAGACCAAAGATCCAAAATACCATCCATCGTTTACTCAATGTCCACCTTTCGCACCTCCATCCACTCCTTCTCCACCTTTGGCACCGTCACAATCAACACTCCCTCCTCCATCTTGGCCGTGATGCCAGACCCATCCACCTCCACGTCCTGATCCTCCTCGGCCACGCCCGCGGGAGGCAGCTTCACCTCCTTCTCGAAGACGCCGACCCTGCGCTCCCGGACTGTCGTGAGCGTCTGCAGGAAGGCCTCGTCGCCGGGGCGATGGACGACGCCGGCGATGCGGAGGGTGCGGGACTGGGGGTTCCAGGTCACGCCGATGTGGTCCTTCTTGGCACCGGGGAGGGCGGCGTGGAGGATAAAAGCGGTAGGGGTGTTGAAGATGTCAATGGGAGGAGTGAAGGTGTCGTCGGCCTCTTCTGGCTGCTGTTGCTGGGCGTTTCTGTCGGCAGGGCGGTAGTACCGCTCAGCTTGGTCGCGCAAGTTCTGGAAGAAAGGATGGTCCATGAAGCCGCGCATCATGCCGGGGAAGTCAAAGGGAGGGTGGGGAGGAGGAGGGTGATGAGGAGGGCCTCCGGGGCCGCCAGCGCCGGGACCGCCTCCGAAGGGTCCTCCGAAGCCTCGGCGCCATCCGCCGCGACGGCCTCCACAGCGGCCGCCTCGACCGTGGCCGTGAGCGTGGGCATGGCCCCAGCCGCCACGGCCATGAGGGCCACCGCGTCTGCCTCGTCGGCCAGAGGGGTCTTCGGACGAATAGAAGGGAGGAGGGACGCCTTCGTGGCCGTGGTCCTCGCCGTCGCTTTCCGAAGGAGTGACTTCGGCGGGGTCGGGGAATTCCTCTCCTTCCTGTGCCGTATCCGGAGAGGCATCGTGACTGCCCTTCTCGTTCTCGGCCTCTCTGGCAGCGGTATTCGTATGCGCAGTGCCCGTATTCACATTATCGGTGTACGCCTGCGGATAATCATGGTAATGAGGCGAACGATTGCGTCTGCCGCGTCCGCCGCGTCCAGCCCAGTCGGCCTCGTCAGGGAAGTCGTTGGGGGAGAAAGGGAAAGGGCCGTGAGGTGGCGGGTGAGGACCGCCGAATGGGAAAGGCGGCGCTGTGTTGGTGTGATCTACACCGGCGCCTGGCTGGCGAGGAGGGACGCCATTAGGATTGAGAGCGCCGTAGAAGGAATGGAAAATGTCCCATGGGTTATCGTAATGGGGTGCCATGATGATGGTTGTGCGTTGTTTGAAGAAAGTTGTAAGAGAAACAAGGTAAAGAAGGTTGTAGGTGTGTGTTAGATGTGTACAAGGTTATACCGTTGGTGTTCAAGGTAAAGTACAAACACGTCAAGAGATATCTCGTGGTTATCGTCCAATTTTATATCTCGAGCTAGGATACACAATGGCAAGGGACTAAACGCAAGAATAGATGCCGCGTAACCGTATTAATGACTGTTTTAGGCAGTCATTCAGCCAGCTCAGCGAACTACGTACGTACGTCGTCGACACCCAACGAAGCGGAGAGAAACAGGAGAGCGGCAAATTAAGCAATGTGCGCGTACAGTATGGAAGCCTTTAGTGCACCTGAACTATCTATTGATGAGTTGTAAGAAAACGATACCAGAGATGGTGTGACGAAGACACGCGTCACCCAGTTGAGAAGCTGCGTGGCAAAAGCCCCAGAAAGCTACAGCTTTAGCACTAAAATTGAAAGCTTCGTGCGAGATACACGCACTACGGGAGTCGGTTCCGGGCCCGAGGCACACCCGAGTCGGACGGTCGGTGAGCGGTGGCGCCGTTGTGGACGTGCGGCTGGGTGGGTGCCTGAATGGGAGTTTTATCTTTTTTTTGGGGTGTTTTGAGTGGTGAATTGGCATGTGAATTTGTGATTTAAGGTACATGTTTGATGGCTTGATTTGGTCTGGTGATTTCTGCAACTATGAAGTGCATATTATAAGTTTGGGCGTGTTAGTTCATGAAATAGGTATGCCATTACTGCCTACGTATAAGACAACGTGATTATGATGTGGTTTCCATTATAATAAGTATTCTAAGATGATTCGTCAACAGCAGTTTTGTTTAATAGCTACTACTCAAAAAAAGTGACATGAGACTTAGGATCCGCAGTCATCAATTGCTTCCCTCATAGGGTAGCTACCTATACGGAAATGTATTCGAATATGTCATGGAACGCTAATGTTTGTTTACAAACCGGTATATATAATACGCCAATGACAAGAACGATGATGCAGCACAAATAATCGAATGGAAGTGCTCCGTAAAAAAAATCATTATTCATCATTTCACTCCCACAGCCCGTGCACATGCTCACTTACAAGTTACAAGCCTTCCTCTTTATTTCCCCAACAGCCACTTGAATCCCTCTTCCGAATCCTGAGTATGCTTCTCGGTAATCTTCAAATCCGGGAACATGGCCCAAAACGCATGCGGCATTCCAGGGTAGATGTCCCTTTTGGTAGGCACCCCATCATCCCGGAACACTTGCTCCATAATCAAACCGCTGTCACGGACAGCATCGAATCCGCAAATTTGGAAATACGTCTTGGGAATGCCCTTGTGAGTGGGGAACGCCAATGGGAATGCCTTTGGGCTAAGTGGATCAGACTGATATGTCTCTGTTTAAGAGAGTGAGCAAAGATTCAGCAGCGTTAATCTGGCAGTGATGGAGGAATGAATTATGCAACTTACTCCAGATAAAGTCCACTGATGAAGCGGATAGGATTGGCGCATCGGCATTCTGCTCAAGGCTGATGAATCGATCCTTGTACTTTTCAGGCACCGTTTGGTGGTTTACGCCGCCTGGCATCGCCGCATAGATGCCGGTCAAAGGAGGAGACAGCTTGTTCACATATAGGTGGGCTGCGATTACGGCCATCTCACCCCCTGAGCTTTCGCCTCCAACCAGAAATCCCTTCTCCGGATCAATACCCAAGGATTTGACGTTTTTGGCAGTCTGACGGATTGTAAATCATCGTTAGCAGATATTGAGCTGTTGTCTGGTTTGTATACCCAGCATTTATGCTCACCCATTTGAGAGCATCAAAGGCGTCGTCAATTGCCGCCGGAAACACATGTTCAGGGGCAAGTCGATAATCGACATCCACGACAACCCCTCCAAGCTTTGCAAACAACGCACAGAGCCAAGCCTCCGTATCCAAGTCCCCAACTGTGAATCCTCCTCCGTGGAAGACGACAAGCCCTGGGCGTCCATCAGATGAGTCATCCCTGGGCTTGTAGACGCGGCCGCCAACGTTGCGGTTGTCCCGCACTGGGATGCTGATGTCCTCTAGGGTGTACGGAAGAGTGGCCGGGTCAGCTTTCGGAGCTGCATCTTTTGCGGCTTGCAGCATAGCACGGATTTGAGGGATATCGGTGATTGTGCCCCAGGGGGTTAACAGGGGCGACCCTGAGTTGAAGATCTTCATATAGCCATATCAATTATTAATTATTCGAATTATATGCACCAGAATCAAGACCAATGCTTCCTTATAAGAAACTACCGGAAGTAGAAGAAGGCTTACAGGCTCAAACTCAGGATTCACTTTGCTCAAGGCACGGATCTCTTCAATGGCAAGCATTGTGGCTGAATAAGAACAAATATCTTCTAACAAAAGGATGAATTCGATTCGCAAAACGTTTTTATTTTGCTTTCGGTGAATTTAAAAACAGCCATCGATCAAGGCACAAGAGTCTATTTATAAAGAATGAAAATGGCACTTCAATGCCTTCTTCACCACTACTATTTCACCAGCTCCTATTTCCTATTCGTGGAAGTTCAATGAAAGCCAATCTCGCAGTTTGAATTCCCAATCGGGAAAGTTTTAGAACGGAAAATGTCTCAAGCCAGGCCTCCAAACCAGGCACTAAACCGTCGAGACAAAGCGTCTGGTGCTGCTAATTTCGGGGATAATAGCTCCTGGCGTCAGAAGAACCCATCCGCAGCAAACACCGTTAAACGGCTGCCCGGAGCTAAGATCGGATCCGCGTACTGTGAAAAATACAGGGGTTCGCCGGCAGTGGAGACCGGAATCTCCACGGCTACATCACCTCAATTAAGTGGTCAGCTCGCGAGGCTTTCTGTATTCAATGGAATCTAGCCCTGCTCTTGGACAGAAATGAGTAACGGCAGAGCTATTACGGGGAGCTCCAGGTACAAACGAAAATGGCCCTCACAGAAAATACTAGCTACAAAGAGACTTAGGCGGATGACGTCAGCGGAAAACTTGCTCAAGTGCGCCAACCTTCCGCGTCTGCACGTGAGATTCCAGCGCTGTGATTGGTCCAACTGGCTGCTTAGAAATGCAAATGCGAATCTGGCGTGACCCATTTCAACATCCATCGCCATGCTTCGAGGGAGCAAATAAAAAAGAATTAGGATGAAACAGGCCTCACTGTTATAGAACCACCATACACATTCCATTGCGCTACGACCAACGAGCACCATGGACGCCAAACCTGCTACTTTCTGTACGTCAAGTTGCTCCCACGTCCTCTCTGCACAAAGCTAATTGCCATACAAAAAAAAGCCTTGGCCTCTGCGCCTGTTGCGTCTCCCGCAAAGTCCGAGAGTGCTTCCAAGCCCAAGGTCGGTTTTGTCTCATTTTTAGCATGGAGGAACATCCAGTACTAATGTTAGAGCAGCCTTGCTGCGTATGCAAGGAAGAAAAGGCGAAGCGTGATGAGTGCATGCTTTTCTCAACAGCCAAAAACCCTGCTGCCGACTGCATATCCCTCGTCGACCAGTACAAGAGTTGCATGCAGGGCTTCGGTTTCAGCGTGTAATATTGAGGGTTTCAGCTTGGTGTAGGACTATGTACATTATGAATATCTAGACGATCAAAAGTACGGCGCTCAATTCTTCTCCACTCTTGTTCAACGATTCGATCACTTTGTCAAACGCGATGCAAACTCGGGTAGTGCTGAGATTGTGATACGACTCCCGCTGTTGGGTGGATGTATGGCCCTGTTTATGACCCATGCTGATGGATAATCACCTTCTCTAAAGCTGTTGCAGCATCATTCTCCCTCCCTTCATATCCAGCCAGCATCATATCTTCTAAATCGCCCACCATTCTTTGTGCGTTGGTTACTAGTTCCACCATCTGAGCTTCGATATTCCCTCTTCTATCCATCAACCGGGTTATCTCTGTACAACAGTATTGCCGCCTCTCTTCACTATAACAAGCAGTTAGCCTGGCTCAGGACGTAGGGTAAATGCATGCTTCTTCACCGTTGGCGTTGCAAGTCTTCTTGCCAAGCAATGGCCTTTGCTCGTAGTTCCGCAAGCGCAGCATCAAAGTCGGCTGTCGCTGCCTTGATATTCTCATCTCGATCTTTCTTAAGCTTTATCGTATCAATGCTTTGTTCTTTTCTCGTTTCTTTAGCAATGATATGGGTAATCCATCGACATACTCTGAGAATCCGCGTTTGCGCCTCCAAAGCAGCATCGCCAGGACCAGACGACTCGCTGGAGCGAGGACGAGTATTTCTTCCCGCCATTGCGAGAACGTCTGACTGAAATCTTCTTTTTGGAGCGAGAGAAAATATGTGATTAATTATTCTCACCAGAGACTTGAATATGAAGAAATTAACTGGGCTAAGACCTGAACCGTTCTGAGCAAGTTATGGGGGATGATTGGTTCTCGTTTAGGAGGAAGGCGCGAACTACGGGACTGCGCACTTTAGAAAGGGGCACACTCAGACTCAGGCACCATTGGAAGTTATTGATGCATCTATGAATCGACTCAATTGATTAACAAAATTTAGAAGAAAACACCATTACAGAGATATGGCAAGCAATAGATTTGCATCTTTGAAATTCAAATATTATCTTACAGCATCCTGCTAGAAAGCTGACTTTTTATCTACCTTGACAAAGCAATATCGTCTATCCTCAAAATCATCTTCACCGTCTCGGCCGCCAGCTCAATAGCGCTTGTGCTGACCAAGAGCGGCTGCAATACGTTCTCCTTGGAGATATTGGTGTTGACTCCTCCAGATTTGATGCTGACACCAGCGTTCTTCTCTCCCATCTCGTGTCGATGTCTCAGGTCAGTAACGACCTTGATGCTGTTCAGACCAGCGTTCTCGGCCAGTGTTGTGGGAATGACCTCCATGGCATCCGCAAAGGCCTTCCAGCAGATGGCCTCGGTGCCTGTCAGGCTGCGAGCCTGCTTAGACAGCTGGGCGGCAATCTCAATCTCAGGAGCACCACCACCAGCAATCAAGGCCTTTTTCTTAACCAGACATCGGAGCACACAAAGAGCGTCGTGGAGACTTCGCTCTGCTTCCGCCAGAATAAGTGAGTTGGCACCACGCACAACCACAGACACGGTTTTGCCAGTAGCCTTGGCTCCGGTAACCTTGACCATACGTGATCCTGATGATTGAACTTCCTCAACGAGATCCGCAGATCCAAGCTTGTCCTCAGTGAAGGAGTCGATATCTGCGATGGGCTTGCAGCCAGTAGACTTGCAGATAAACTCGACCTCGTCTCGCTCGATATCCTTGATGGCCATGATGCCAAGCTTAGCCAGGAAGTGTAGGGAAAGGTCGTTGACGGCATCTCGAAGGATAGACTTCTGGATCAAGAGCACGTTGCACTTAGCCTTCTTGATCTTCTTGGCCATGTTCAAAAGGTACAACCGCTCCTCCTTGACAATCTTGTCCATCTGGCGGTAATCGTTGACTTGGATCGTGTTTTCCATCTTTGTAGCAATATTTAGTACAGAGTCTTAATAGTAGGTGGCGTGGCAACCGTGCAGACTTACATCAGGCTTAGGAGGGCTGAGCTGGAACTGGATAAGACCAATGCGAGCCTTCTCCATTCTGAAAGGACCACCAGCGTTCTTCAGGACTGGCTGTGTGAGGACCAGACCATCCACCAGCTCACTATCCTCGATCGTTCCTCCTACTCTTCTGATAATGCGAATGTTGTTAAGATCCACGTTCTCAGCAGTCTTGACATCGATCGTCTTAGTAATAGCGTTGACAGCCATGGGGCCGAGGAGGTTCGAATACTGAGAAACGATCTTGGATGACAGAGATGTGTTGGCAGCCTGGAGAAGGGAAGCGTTGTCAGTTAGTGAGATAGGCTGGGACATCTCGTGTAGAACTTCGACGGCGGCGGCGGATGCTCTTTGGAAGGACTCGGAAATGACTGAGGGGTGGATGCCCTTGGACAGCAATCGGTCAGCGGCACCGAGAAGGCTGCCGCAGATGACAACGACGGAGGTTGTTCCATCACCGGCCTCGACATCTTGGGCTCCTGACAGGTTAACGAGCATCTTTGCTGTCGGGTGCATGACCGACATGCTCTTGAGCATTGTGTTTCCGTCATTGGTAATGATCGTTTCCCCCTTTCCGCTTCGGATCATCTTGTCCATGCCTCGAGGGCCGAGAGATGTTCGGATTGCATCGGCGACAGCTAAATTTGTGTTAGCAAGTTCAAACGCTCTGTCATGCCTCGATCGAATAAACAAACCTCTGGCAGCGACAATGTTGGACGACCGCACCGCCATGGGCTTCTCCTTGTCCTGTGTCCATGGTTAGCGGGGCAGCTCAGGAGCTCGACGTGCAGCTTTGGGTTTTTACCTTGAAGGCGGCATTGTTGGTGTTGCCGCTTGAAACAGCCGGTGCAGACATTTTGGAGATTCTGGTTTACTTCTTGTTCAATGTAAAAAACAGTCTCCGAAAAGCCTTGATCACGGCGAGCTTTGTAAGGAAGCAGGGTCGCGGTTCTGGTAGCCTGGTTGACATCCCACCTTGTCTGCCCTACTCCGCCATATCAGTAACGGAAATTTTGGAGTCGGCGCCAGAGATAATCCATGCTCCGGCGGTACCTTCCCCCTGCCCAGCAGCTGCTATTGGCCCAAACCAGACTAGCTTAGCAGGGTCCCAGCGACAGGCTCCAATGCGCTGAGCTCAAGGCAGCTGAGATTACGGAATGCTTCTATGACCTTCATCAGCCATCATATCCAACGCGCATCACAACCAGCAAAACACTCCACCCGTCATACTGACCACACGATTGCTCTGGTCTAGCTCATACCAACCCAAATTCATCCTTCCGTTAGCCCCGACCTCGTTTTTTCTACGGACATTGTGTCCAGTTTGCAGATCCCATCATGGTAAGCAAGCCAGCTAGACTCAATGAATGCTGGTCATTACTAACTGCCCAAGCCTTCTGCAACCGGTCAAAACTGGGAGAAGTACTCGAAGAGATTCGCCGACGATGAGATAGAAGAAAAGAAGATCACCCCTCTCACAGATGAGTACGACTTGTCACCCATTAGCATGTTCCTTGAAGCTGGGAGGGGACTAATCCGAACCTAGGGATATCCAAGTTCTCAAGACATACGGCGCTGCCCCATATGCGTCGGCCATCTCAAAGCTCGAGAAGCAGATCAAGGAGAAGCAACAGAGTGTAGACGAGAAGATTGGTATCAAAGTATGAGAAGCAATGGCGACGATGGATCTGCACACATGTCTAACGCATTGCCATAGGAATCCGACACCGGTCTCGCACCACCACACTTATGGGATGTCGCCGCCGACCGGCAACGAATGTCAGAAGAGCAGCCTTTCCAGGTGGCACGATGCACAAAGATTATCGCCGACGAGAAGGGAGACGAGTCCAAGAGCAAGTACGTCATCAACGTCAAACAGATAGCCAAGTTCGTCGTTCAGCTTGGCGACCGCGTCAGTCCTACGGATATCGAGGAGGGTATGCGAGTTGGTGTGGACCGAAATAAGTACCAGATTATGTTGCCGCTACCTCCGAAAATCGATGCCAGCGTCACCATGATGACAGTTGAGGAGAAGCCAGACGTTACCTACGGCGATGTTGGTGGCTGCAAAGAGCAGGTTGAGAAGCTACGAGAAGTCGTCGAGATGCCCTTGCTCTCGCCAGAGAGATTCTCAAACCTTGGTATCGACCCCCCCAAAGGCGCACTACTCTATGGCCCACCCGGAACCGGCAAGACTCTCTGCGCCAGAGCTGTTGCAAACAGAACAGATGCTACCTTCATTCGAGTTATTGGCAGTGAGCTTGTTCAGAAGTACGTTGGTGAAGGTGCTAGAATGGTTAGAGAGCTGTTCGAGATGGCCCGGACAAAGAAGGCCTGTATCATCTTCTTCGACGAAATCGATGCTGTTGGCGGTGCTCGATTCGACGATGGTGCTGGTGGTGACAATGAAGTTCAGCGAACCATGTTGGAGCTCATTACCCAGCTGGACGGCTTCAACGCACGAGGAAACATCAAGGTTATGTTCGCCACCAACAGACCTTCAACACTGGACCCTGCTCTGATGCGACCTGGACGAATTGACCGCAAGATTGAGTTTTCGCTTCCCGATCTCGAGGGCCGAGCCAACATCCTGCGAATTCACGCCAAGAGCATGTCCGTCGAGCGAGATATCCGATGGGAGCTCATCTCTCGTCTCTGCCCTAACGCTACCGGTGCTGAACTGAGGAGTGTATGTACCGAGGCCGGTATGTTTGCCATCCGAGCACGAAGAAAGGTGGCTTCTGAGAAGGATTTCTTGGATGCGGTAGACAAGGTTATCAAGGGCAACCTCAAGTTCAACTCAACAGCGACGTACATGCAATACAACTAAATAGGCTTTCTTATAATATTATTGATGTATGAATATGGGCAAACCTTGGGCGATGGGGTGTGTGCTGATGCATCCTTAATCTTTCTTACTCCATAAAGGGAATAGAAACTGGCGTTTACGAGTGGTTTAACCTGCTGGTTCTGTAAAATCAAGAATGAGGTGATACCATTTCCTAACGTGAATCCAATTACTTTACACATAATTGCCTGCCCATGAAGCATACAACAGATCTTGGAAGCTTTGGCGTTGGGGGTGATATAATTAGGTATGAAGCTTTCACCTCAAAGACAACTGCTATCGCGTAATTATTGCCCAGCAAATCTCATTTATCTATTTCGCTTTCGTGAACTGTTTATGCAATAATCAAAATTAACCAAACGCTTAGAAAGGCTATGCAAAAGGTTCTTTTTGTCTTACTCGTCCGATTCCATTAAGTGGCTCTTATAGCACTTTTCGTATACTATGCCGCGTCCAGCCCTCCAGGTAAAATACATGACATACAAGTCAAGAATCAGACATTGAATATGGCTGATATATGGGAATAGAATGCTAATGAGAAAAGAAAAGAAAACAAAATAAAAAAATTGCGAAACTCGAAAATGAAAGCACATGCTGCTCTCCTACCTAGTGGTATCTACCTAGCCCATTGTTCCCAATCTTCCTATATCCTAAATCCTGATCCTAATAATTGCAGAAAATAAAAATTAAATAAAACAAATTCAGTGCGCTATGTAGTAATAAAAGCCGTTATAAGTCGTGACGGGGAAATTATTGTCCGTTCTCGTATTGTTGTAGTTTGGTTTGCTGTTATGGATGTTGAGGCGTAAATATGCTCCTTTTTTTTTTCATGCAGTGTCCATGTTGGATAAACAGCCCAGACAGACAACTTCGCCCTCGGGGCCCTCTTCGACGCAGCAACGGCTGCATATCATGGCGTGATGGGTGCTGCTGCTGTTGTTGTTGGCTGAATTTCTGCTAGATGTGCCTTCTCGATCGCTAGCACGACTGTCATCATGCTGCGGCGCGTGTGTATTCAAAGTGCCTAGAGACATCTCGCATTCGTCTTCGTCCATGTGAAAGGATCGCTGGACGCCTTTATTCTCTTCAAGGAGAGGCGTTTCTGGGTCGTTGTGGAGGTTCTTCTGGCGTCGGCATTCACGAATGCAGACGAAGCAGGTTTGCTCTTGGCACGATTGGCATCGGGCGAAGGAGTCGAGGTCGGATTTTTTGGTCGGCCTCCGGTGGCAAACGTGGCACGGCATGATGGCCACGCCGTTGATCTTGACAGGGCCTTTGCAGTCGTTACTGCTGGCATGAGCGCCTTGCGATACGGGTGTTGTCGCTAATAGCTCGCGAGAGGCGGCTCGCCGATGTGAAAAGTGCGAGTCGCCATCGTCGTGAATCGTTCTGAATCGTTTTGTCGGGGGCAGCGTCTTGCGCGCCAAAATACTGCCGTCCACGCTGCTTTCTGGGGCTGTCTGTTGGTTCAAGACGTGAAAAACCGCGGCGCTGGAGCTAGGATGTGGAAATCGGAGGGATTCATTGCCGTCGTGATCCCATTTGCGTTTTGTCGTCGCGCGATGGACATCGTCGCCCACATAGGGCATGATTGGATGCGAAACTCGGGTTTGCTTTTTGGCCTGAAGAGAGAAATGCTGCGACAGCAAACGCTACTGCAGTTGCAAGGGAGACGGCCACTCCAATGAAGGCGACGCAGGAAGATCGGCAGCGATTGGTATGCTCGGTAGAAAGAACGTCTCGTGCGTAGATTATCGGCAGAAAAGTCGCAGAAGCGGTTCTCGGAGACGATTGCGCCGGGTGACGAGTTGTACCGCCTTCACGCTGGAGAAAAGAAATGAAAATGGCTCAAGGTAGAAGGAATGTCTAGGTTAAAAAGAGATCATGTACGCTTTGCCCCCCCGTCAATTTTGGATCTGGATGTCCCTGTTGATCCAGCTTAATCACCGGGTGAATTTCGATTGAGGTGACGGGCTGGGGCGATTTTATTGGAGGTTTGCATTTATATGGGGCGTAGTCAGCTATGGAGGATTCTTGATGCAGGCAGGCCTAGTAGGGAGATGACACTCTATCACCCAGTAAGCAGCATTTTAAATCGTACCATGATACGGTAGTGATTATTATTTACAGAGTATTTCTCTTTAGTTAGAATATAAGCGTTAATTTAATCCATTTTCTCTTTACAGTCAATGGCTCAAGTATCCACGAGCTGGTTACTCCGTCCCTGGTAGTCGAGTTTCCATGTTACACCTTGGCCAAGACTGATTCGCTTTTAGCCTATCTGCAGCCCAATATGGAAAGGGAATAAGAACATGCCTTGGACATTCCATTAAGGAATGTTGTTCTGCCATCGGCTAGATACACAGCTTTCTGCCGGCAACTCGTGAAGTAGACTCCTGGGAATATGCCATCAGAAAATCACATATATATATATGCAGCACGTCTTTCACATGATGCGTAGACAATATTCAAATCGTTGTATAATCAGCAAAGCCGCTCGACCATGGTATATCTCATATCTCCGAATCAATAGATGATATAAAACTAGTATTGACACGGCATCTGAATTTTTTTCTTAAAAGCTCTAAGGCAGCCAACCCAGCCACCAACGTACATACACGCATCACGTCTTGTCAGAAACGACCAATCCATTTTATCCGCCTCCGCCAGCACAAAAGAGCTTTTTTTTCTAAGGAGGAAACTAGTAGTATACACAGGCACACAGGGAATTATAACCTCCTTCATCGGCGGACCTTGGTCTCCGCGGGAGGATCGTAGGCAAGCTTTCTGGACTTCAGCCAGGCCCACTTGTATCGCTTAACCCAGACGCTGAGAGCCCACAGAGCCGAAGTGGCAACCAAAACCTTCATACCCATCTTCTTGCGCTCGTCCATCTCGGGCTCGGCAGCCCAGTTGAGGAACTCGACAACGTCCTTGGCCATCTGGGAGGTGGAGGCAGGGGTTCCATCCTCGTACTCGACGAGGCCGTCGTACAGAACACGAGCCATAGCAATGCCGGTACCAGGGAAGTAAGGGTTGAAGTTCATGCCGGGAGCGACGGTGACACCCGCAGGAGGCTCCTCGGGGTAACCGGTGAGCAAGCTGAAGATGTAGTCACAGCCACCGTGGCGGGCCTTGACGATCAAGCTCAGATCCGGGGGAAGAGCACCGTTGTTGGCAAATCGAGCAGCCTCATCGTTCTTGTAGGGAGCAGGAATGTAGTCGGCCAGCTTTCCGGGTCGCATGGGGATCTCGCCCTGCTCATCGGGTTCGTCGGGGTACTCGTTCTCCTCAGCCAAGGCCTTGGCCTCGTCGACAGTCAGGACGGTACCGACGAGAGCTCGGTAGGGGACTCGAGAGAGGGAGTGGCAGCTGGCGCAGACCTCGCGGTAGACCTGGAAACCACGACGAAGACTATATTAAAGAAAAAAAAAGTCGGATGTGAGCAATCGAGCCTGCCAAAATAGCCAATTCTTGGAAATAGAGGTTTTATCTTACGCCTGGTGGTCGAAGGTCTTGAAGAACTGCTCGTGAACCCAAGGGTAGTGAGTGGCATGGAGACTGTGGTCAAAATCGTTAGCAATTGGTTGTGTAGACAAGAGCAAGCCGTGCAAGTATTTTTATGCCGCATCAGGCACACATGGCCGTCGACGTGATGCACAGCACTGCCATACAGGAACGGGGAGAAGTCACATACCCCTCCTCAGCAGGGGCCGAGGCAAAGGCCACGGGTCCATAGAGATGGTAGTACCAGGCCAGAGAACCGGCGGCGAGGGTGGTGGAAGCAATAGCGGCGATGTTGAGGCGCGCAGGAGAAGCTTCGGCACCAGAGCTTGTTGAAGCAGCACGCTAGAGAACACAGGTCAGCTCCAGCATTCCCCAAAAAGACTCAACAAGCCCCCAATGCAATTGAAATGCTCCCAGCTTGACGGCCTGCAGTTATTGTTGCAGCTGCCCAGCCCTCGGCAGGGCCTCCAGCGAGCCGTGGGGGAGCAGCATCATGGATTTTCGAGCTTGTGGTAGGTTTCGGGCCACCCACCTTGGAGACGTTCACGGCGGCATTTCGAAGCCCATTGAGGGTGCGCGCCGGGCGCAGACACGACCTTGCCAGCATAATTGGCAAGCTGTACCGAAGCCGCAGGGGGTGAGCCGCAATCAAAAGTGAGGACGGCGATGTATCGATCTCGGGTCGGGACGTTCAAAAGGGCTCAGCGGGAGAAGTTGATAGAGAAAATCCATCGTTCCGAAATGGGCCGACGCTGATTGGCCAAAGTCACGTGCGCATGGGATGTTTGGCTCGGAGAGGTGGGGAGCAGAGAAGCCGCCCGGAATGCGAGGGTGCAGCGACTTTTCAGCAGCCGTGCCAGCTGCGCGACAGCTGTCCGCCAGGTGGCGGCGCTCGCTAATGCACGCTGGCCAAACCCGCACTCCGCCCCCTGTAGCGAGTTTCATACAGCCTTATCTGCTGCAGGTTGCCAGGCAAACCAGGCACTTTCGCCGTGCCCCGCCCCCACCATTGTCAAAACAATCCGTCAATCATTTCGCACCTCGATACGAAGCCTCACCAAAAAAATCTACCAGCAGGGCTCGCAGCCTCGATCTTGCTTCTCGCGCTTGCCGCTTTTTTTATCTGTTAGACATCATCATACGTATTAGCTTTCGACTTCGTGCTCGCCTGCGAAATGGCCTCCTCCAAGATCTTCTCCCTCGAGGGCAAGGGGCTCAAGCTCGACACCGCCGAAGACATCGAGCCTCATCTCGCCCCCCTTCGCGCGCTGGATGACGTCGAAGAAGTGCGATTCTGGGGCAACACACTCGGCGTTGGCGCTTGCCAGCGTCTCGGCGAAGTCCTGTCTACCAAGAAGAGCCTGAAGGTATGCGCGCTCCCGAGATCGCCCCTTATTTGTCCAGCACCCTGAGATCTAACAAGTGCAGTCTGCCAACTTCGCTGATCTTTTCACCGGCCGGCTGTTGAACGAGATTCCGGCTGGCATTTCCGCCATCCTTACCGCTGTCCTGAACCACCCCAACCTCACCACCATCAACTTGAACGACAATGCCTTCGGCCTCAACACCCAAGCCCCGCTTGTGGCTTTCCTGTCATCCCACGTGCCCCTCCAACACCTGTATCTGAACAACAACGGTCTGGGTCCCCACGCCGGTATTCTTGTCGCCGATGCCCTCTCAGAACTCCACGCTAAGAAGGAGGCTGCCCGCAAGGAGGGCAAGGAGGTGCCTTACCTCGAGACTGTCATCTGTGGCCGAAACCGACTTGAGAACGGAAGCATGGCCGCCTGGGCCAAGGCCTACAGCCTTCACAACAAGATTAGGGAGATTAAGATGGTGCAGAATGGAATTCGACAAGAGGGAATTTCTCGTTTGCTCAGCGAGGGTCTCAACCACGCCAGCGAGCTCAAGATTCTTGACCTGCAGGACAACACCTTCACTATCATGGGAGCCAGGGCTCTCGCCAAGGTTGTGCCCACATGGGTGGATCTGCAGGAGCTCGGTGTTGGCGACTCTCTGTTGAGTGCAAAGGGTAGTCTGCTGCTGGCTAACGCCCTGTCGCAGGGAAAGAACAAGAAGTTGGAGACCCTGCGGCTGCAGTACAACGACATCAAGGCCGAGGGCGTCAAGCAGCTGGCTAGATCTGCAAAGTCCGCTCTCCCTGCGCTAAGACGTATTGAGCTGAACGGCAACAAGTTTACCGAGGATGACGAGTCCATCCTCAGCCTACAGGAACTCCTCGAGGAGCGAAAAGAGAAATACGCCGGAGACATTATCATTGAAGACGAGTGGGGCGTTGACAGCCTCAGCGATCTTGAAGAAGAGGAAAGCGAGGAGGAGGAGGAAAGTGAGGAGGAGGAAGAGAAGGAGGAGGAGGAGGAAGTCGAGGAGAAGGCCGAGAAGCTCATCAAGGATGCCGAAGAGGCTCAAAAGCAGCCCGTTGCTCAGCGCAAGGACGAGGACGTGGACGATCTGGCATCGCAGTTAAAGAAGACTCAGCTATAATTTTGTTACGAGTTTTCTGTTCTTGTTCTTGGTATTCTTGGTTCCCTCTTCTGCTTCCCCCCGGCCCCCTTTTTTTCCAACAAGTTGGTTTATTAGACATTTCATTTCACACACAATACTCGCACTCGCACTCTTGCACATAGCACTCTTGACACACTTCACAAAAGGTTGCTTCCTTCATTATATCTCTCAATGAAAAAAAGTCGATACCCCCTTAGAAGTCGGTAGTTTTTTCATGGTCTCATTCATATGTAAAATAATCCAGTTAGAGGAGAATGTTACCTATGTATTGTCCCAGTCATCTCCGCCAAACACAAGTACATAACACTATTAGTAATGACACAAGTCACAACCCATACGTAATTTCAGTGTAAAATTGAGAACCAATTTTGTATGTATTGATAGCTGCTTTAAACTACTAGTACTACTTCTGGCGTAGATATACGAATGGATATTGGCGAGGTTGAAAGAGGGGTAAGGAGCAAGGGGTAAACAAAAAAGTGACACATACCTTGACCGACATCACAGCATCTCCTAGACTCTCTGTAGAAAAACATGTTAGCCCTCACTGTGTCTATCACAAAAGGTTTTATAGGGGAATCAGGGAGTTGAGAGTTGAAAGGGTATAAATGGAGATGAGAGGTTAGTAACAGAATGAGAAAGACCTGGGGAGAGAGAGAAAGACAAGAAGAGTAATTAGAACATGAGCTCAAAAAATGTGCCCCAAAACCAGCCACCTTCCAGAGTAATTTTCTTGCTCCTCATCCCTTGTAAGAAAGAAAAGAAAGACAAAACCAAGTGCGTATAGACATGATACCAACCACCGACAATTGACAAAAACAAAAACTAGAACCCTGCAAAGCTAGTCTGAGCTGCTATCTGACGGCGCCTATGACCACGAGCTGGCTATGACGACGCTTTACTATATTGTATGCGCTATTCATTACATATCCATAACATCCACCGCCTGATTTGCCCGGTGCTGTTCAAATGAACCATACTGTTCAGCCATAGCCAGCTGCAGCTGGTGCCGTGCGTAGTCGGCTCCGAGATAGACGGGGTCTGTAGAAGGGACGTAACTTGGGCCGCCAATAGAGGTACCGAAGTGGCTGTATGCGTCTCTTGGACGAGAGGCAGCCTCCTCACGCTCCCGCTCTCGTCGCATAATCTCTTCATATCCGGACAGCATGTAAGGTTCGCTCTCTTGGCTAGCTTGATGAACCCATGTGCTGTTAGAGTTTTGAACAGTCGTGCCGTCTAGGCTCATGACATTGTTAGGCTGCTGTTGCTTCTCATAACGCAGCTGAGCCAGATGTTCCTCCTGATCCATCGTAGTGCTGCTCCAAGCAAGAGCAGGAATATCTCCACTGCTGGTGGGAGGACAGATACTCCAAAGTTCGACCAGTCGCCTCTTTTGGGTGATGTCAGCTATGCGGAAGAGCTGCAGCTGTGAGGGCGTGAGTGTGGAAGGATCAACACCGTGATTCCGTAATATTGTCTCGGATGAAACGACGTCAGTCTGCGGTGGTTCTGATGAGTGTCTCTGTGAGTCTGGGTGCTGGAACTGAGGCTTTACGATGTGAGCCGAGTGGTTATAGTGTTGCGATACAGAATAGACAATCTGCTGGGCGGGAACAGCCTCTTCCTGGGGCATTTCCTTGGGAACAGCCTCTGGGTTGAATGTCATATTTCGCGAGAAGAGCGCTGCAAGATCATCGTGGATCTGCATGTTCGTCTGCAGTGATACCATGTTGCTGCAATGCAGAGAGTTAGCGCTGCAAGATGAGAGGGTGTATGCATGTATTCAAGTACACGGCTGTAGTTGATGACCAATAAGATGTAGGTACCTGGTGAGTTGTGCTGGCGATGATGATGAATGCAAAAATAAAGCGACCTGTAAATACCTGCTGGTGGTTTACTTGATTGAACAGCTCAACGAGATACCGCAGCGTTGTATTGCTCCAAGAATACCTAATAGATATTTTGGAGTGCGTGAATCCTTCTGTGGTTTGGGGGGTGACGATTTTATTAGTTGGGTATCAACGAGGTCAAGAGACGAGACGAGACGCTTGCGACAGGAGGTTCGAGCTGTGACGGCAAACGGAGGCAGCAAAAGAAGGGAAACTTGGGGTGTTATATTGCGCTACACTAAGATAAATGTCAAGACGAAGTGAAGTCGACAAGACGCAAGGAACGGGAAGTATCCCGAGTCTCCTTTTTTATTTCACGTCGTTCGTGCCTGGAAGCGGATACTGCTGCGTGCTAGCAGGATATTGGGCTGCGGGAGCAGATGCCAGGGTCGCCGGCCAAACGAGGGGTCAACAGACAACGCAGCGTCTAGCGGAAACTATCGGTGCGCTGGCGATGAACGTTTCACGCTGGATAAGTGGAGGCCAGTCGAGCCGGTGCGGACTGAAGCAGACGCGAGAGGCACGGCAAAGATACAGGCAGCGGGGCCAGAAGCACGCAAGATGCAGCGATGCAGAGACGCAGAGAGGACCGGTCCGGTGAGGAATCTGGACAGAACAGAGGAATGGACAGAGGCAAGGAGATGGTAGGTACTCTGCGTTGGGTATATATACCGGGAACTCAGGGACTGTTGCCCACTTATAGCAGGTCGCGGTAATACAAGGTCGTAATTCTCAGGCGGTCATCCGGGGGCTCAGGCGTGTATCCCGCCTATCTGATGTGCAAAAACCAAAAAACCGTTGGGGCCAGCCACCACCAATGTGTCACTGCTATGTGGATAGCGCCCTTTTTTCACGGAAACGAGGGGGATCACGCAGGTCATGAGGGAAGGTTCCACGATGGGCGTGACGCAAGACACTTTTGGGCCGCCTTTGGGCATCTGTACGGGGGACATGGCCGGTGGGGGAATCGACGTGGAGAGGCCCAGAGCAGAGGCGCTGGCGGCGAGTAACGGGTACCACGCTGGGCCGTAGACGATACTGACTGCTGGACGCTGATGCTGGCCAAAATCACATTTCCGAGCAATAAGTAAGACGTGCATGTAAGTGTATACATACAAACATGCAACACGCATGGTGTTATGCCGCCGCTCTCTCACTAACGGCCCCCTAGTTCGCAGTCGGTCGCTGGACTATCTTGGCAATACGGAGGTTTAATGAATGGCATGACACAGACGGTGTGGCAAAAAGCCTCCTTTATCGCCCGCCGCCTCGTCTCGATGTAGTCTGCGGTCTAGCAAGCTACCTTAGGGAGGTAGGAATGAAATGAATGACGAAAGTGCGCTTCGTTTGGCAGGCTAAAGAAATAAGTATCTGCTGCTAAATGCCAGTAATTTGCGACAACATCAAGGTTGCATCCATTGTAGCCCAAAGTCGCTGGCCTGCGTTGACTGCCACCCTCCATCCCACGCTCACGGAAATAGCCAGCTCGCCTTTGGGACCGAGGTTGAGCTGAGGCGTCTTCGAATGTCTTTAGGGTAAATCCATCTTGCAAAGCAAAGCCAGCTGCTTGTCAGTATGTGAGTACCTATGTATAATCCAGTGACATCCATCGCTGAATCATGGCTCTTGTTAAAGTATAAAACGTACTGAAAAGAAACTGGAAGCAGCATTGCCTTCATTCTATAAACTATCGATACCGAGAGCCATCCTCTGATTCTCCGCAGTAGCGCCACTGGTCATCCATGGCCCCCAAAATCTCCATCCACTCTCCCGCACTGCTGCCAATTTGCCAACATGCAGGGATCGTCCTGGCGAGACGGCAAGACGGGAATGTGGCAGACGTGGCGGTGTCGATTCGCGGGATGTGATCAAGCCACTCTCGTCATGGCCACCCGTCACCCGTCACCAGCCACAACAGCTACCAGCCACATTGCTCTCTGTGGCTTGCCCTTTCTTCTAGAATCTGCGCGCCTCAGGCACCAGTGCGTCCAGCCTTGTGCGGGCGATTGCAACTACGCAGCTCTCAGGCTGCCTGGTGCTGGAGCTCCAAGCCAAAGCCCGCCAAAAACGACATCTCGACTCTCACCAAAGCCCCTCCAGCCACTGATTGACCTTTGACAACATCCCGCCCTTTGTTATACCCACGAATCTCACGAGACTGGTCAAATCCTCCAACAGAGCTCCCAAGCAATCATGGTAAAGAGCATCCCACCCCCCGCATTAGTTACTGCTATCTGGTGTCACACCCGGTAGCTAGCTGGGGAGCTTGATTGTATCTGAGCGGCGGGCTAATCCAGACATGCATTCGATAGACGTCGATCGGCACGGGCTATGACCTCCTCAACTCCATCTTCTCGCCTGATGGCCGAAACTTTCAGGTCGAATATGCCGTCAAGGCTGTAGAGAACGGTGGCACCTCAATCGGCATCCGGTGCAAGGACGGCATCGTCCTGGCCGTCGAGAAGATTGTCGCATCCAAGCTGCAGAAACCCAATGCAAACAAGAGAATTGCCAGCGTTGACAGCCATGTCGGAGCAGTACGTGCACTACATCATATCCGTCTCCCCTAGTGCTCCATGATGCCACAATGCTTACATTGCCCTCCAAGGTCTACTCAGGCATGATCCCCGATGGACGTCACTTCGTCGACCGAGCCCGAGACGAAGCCCAGAGCTGGCGCCAGAACTTCAAAACCCCCATCCCCACAGCCGATCTTGCCTCCCGCATGGGTGGCTACCTCCAGGCATACACCATGTACGGCTCCGTCCGTCCATTCGGCATCACAGCCATCGTTGGCGGCGTCGACACCTCAGAAGAGACTCCCGTAGACGGCGAGGTCGGTTCAGGGCCTGCAGTCGGCGCTGGCGGCAAGGTCCCCGGCAAGCACGGCGGTCCTTTCCTCTACATGATTGAGCCTAGCGGCCTATACTGGGGATACTACGGTGCGGCGACGGGCAAGGGCAGACAAGCTGCAAAGGCTGAGTTGGAGAAGCTAGACCTACCGGCTGGCAACATCACCATTCACGAGGCAGTTAAAGAGGCTGCGAGAATCATCTACATCGCCCACAAGGACAACAAGGACAAGGAGTTTGAGTTGGAGATGACCTGGATCAGCACAGTAGACGGCCCTACCAAGGGACGGCATGTGGAGGTGCCCAAAGAGCTGAGAGAAGAGGCAGAGAGATTAGCGCGGGCAGAAGACGAGTCTGACGACGAGGAGGAGGAAGAAAAGAAGGATGATGATAACAAGATGGAAGACTAAATAAAGAGGGTTAATTCTTTTTAGGGAGATGTTCAGATCAAATGTATTATCCACGACAGGAAAGGGCTTATAGAGTAAATGCTTTTTTCTCTGGATGAGAATGTCCATATCAAAGACACAGTCCTAGGATCTTTCTCCACCCCCTCTGTTCTATTCTTTGCATTTTTTTTTAAAACTTATTATGACAATCCTGCTCTATCCTATATTCCCTTCCTTTTTTTCATCTTACAGCTATGTACATGGGTATCAATTACGCCCCTGAGAAGCATGGTTCTGGCACCAGTTGTTCCAGTCCGCGAAGAAGGAGTTCTGCAGCTTGGCCTCGCCCAGTACCCAATCCGACTGCGTCTTGGCATATACCGCCGCCGCCTGCTTCACCAGCTCCTTGTCGGTAGCAAACATGGCAGAAGCCACAATCAGACTGGCAGCGCTGGCAGCCTTGGCGTACGCGTGCGCGTTGTCCTTGCCGGCCTCTTCATGCACTTCGACTAGTACCGACAGCAGCTGTTCAGCATCATAGACTGGCGCAGCGACCTCTGCGGTGGTTGCAGCAGCGTCCTTGTTGCCACCGCTTCTCGCCTTCTTCATGCCCTTTTGATAATTGAGAATAATCTCACAAGCCCGGCTAGCCAGCGTCTTCGTGCTCGTCGTGCGCATGAGATTCAACAGCGGGATGAGCAGCGAAAAGGCAAGCGGGCTGAGGACCTCGTTCTTGACGTAGATGTCGAGGAAGTCGAGGATGCGGTTCTTGAAGTTGACGACGGACTGCTTGGCGTCCTTCTTCTGCTTCTTGCTGTCCGGGCGGGCTTTTGCGCGCTGCTTGAAGACCTCGGCGAGCTTGTCCTCGAGGGCGAACATTTGGGAGTCGGACATGTCGCCCTCGTCGGAGGAGGATTCGGCTTCGGCGTCCTTGTCGAGGCGGTGGCTTTTAAGGATTTTGCCCATGAGCTCGTCGAGATCTATGGGGCTTTCTTTTCCGTCTCCTTCTCCTTCTCCCTCTTCATCGTCATTGCCCTCATCCTCGTCATCGTCCTCATCGTCATCCTCATCGTCATCTTCTTCATCATCGTCGTCCTCGCCTTCTTCTCCATCGGCATCTCCAAGATCAACAAATTCCACATCAGAATCGATCTCGATGTTCGAGATTTCTTCCACATCATCATCCTCCTCATCAGAAGAACCTTCGTCGTCGATGTCCATTCCATCGTCTTCTGTGTTAAATAGCTCCTTCTGGCCCTTGGTACTCTCATTTGCTCCCAGGGGTCCAAATAGCAGTTCCAGGCCTCCCGCGGAGATTTGCGATGTGAAGGCTTCAAAGACTTGTTGAGATACCTGTCGCATCAATGATGAGGGGCGAGCCACCATGGAGAGTAATATTTCAACCAAGAACTCTGAGCTTCCGGTATCGTCATCTCCGAGTTTGCCCTCTTGGAGCCTCTCGTGAAACTGAGCGAGGTCATCTAATACCTCCATCGCATCGGGGTCTTGGTTGTATAGCTGGAAAATGGAGATGGCATGAAGCATAGCAAGCCCCTGCGTTAAAGTCTTGTCGTTATCCGTCTTTGTCTTCTGCTTCAGCAGTTTGTGCATTCTTGACAGTGCACTCTCGATGGCTGATTTGATTTCCTCAGACATAGTAACGGCACTTGAGTCGATAGAGGCGACTGCCTGGCAGAAAGTGACAAAATCAGAAGTTTGGCGAGTCAGCTTCGCAAGTGCAGTCTCCAATCTTGACCGAGCAAGCTCTTGAATCTGCTCTGTTAGGACGTCCTTCGGGATCTCCTCCGGCTGAGAATAGGCAAGACGTGATAACTGCTGCAGCGTAGCGCTTAGGGAGGTGTTTTTAAGCTTGTCAGCTTGAGATTCTTTTCCACCTAGGGAAGCGCAGGCCCCTAGAACTTTTGATAGATAGTCGATGTGAACTCTTAGGATAGTCTGGGCCTCGCTGACTTCTTGCTGGGACAGGCTAGCAATGGGGCTTTGGATAATCTTCAGACACCCCTTATCATTTTCTAGGTTGAAATTTTGCAGAAGTCTGTCGATTGTCTTTGTATTGGTACGTTGATCAAAGTTATAAACTCCATTCTTGCTCAGAAGGTTCTCAAGCACAGGGACCAGAGTGGAGGGCTGAGATGATACTGCGGCCTCGATAGCCTTTAACGTTTTTATAGCTGCTCGATGTAGGTACCGATCCTCTTTTGCGGCCTGGTTCATGAGAGAAGTCATGAGATTCTTGCTGAATAAGATTTGCAAGAGCGCAGGATGTGTCGCATAGCTTTCGAGGAATTTTTGGAAGACCGTGAAGCCCTTGAATTTTTGACCGTCGGTAGCCTGCTTGGAGAATAGTCCATCTAGTCTTGAGTTAGCTTCTGCGCTATAAAATGTGTGCAAGTTCAGTCTCACCATCAACAACTC